TGACAATGAATAATAGCTGCAACTGTATTGGGTTAAGCTTGTCAGCCAACAGCATGTCAACTAAAGAGTTTATAACTGTCATGCACAAAACTTTTGTCGTATACCGAAGACCAACAAAGGTAATACAAAAATGGCTCTTTTATTATCATATGATATTTTTTTTATTGCTGAATGGAAATAAATGCTGTATGTTACCTATGTTTAAGTGTATAACAGTCTCATTGTGAAATAGTGAACCCACTGGCTTGTGCTACCATCCCTTATTCCCTGTGTGACTTCAGACTAATTTTTTAACATTACAGCTGTCCATTTAGGGTGACGCAACAGGGCGAGGAGCGTGTCCCGATGTAAATGCTTCTATTGAGCTTCTTATTCCTCAAGGACCATTGTGTCAGCGTGGATGTATTCATCTGTGCCAGCTGTGTCAGGTCATAATCATGCATCCGTGCTGAGGCGGCAACAACCAAGTCAGTGAACTTGAGCTCACATGGCAAATCATTAAAACTGTCCATCACAGTGGTGACAAACTAACATTATTCATCTTGACCACTACATCGTGCTAACTTTCTTTAAGCTGATTCTGTTCTCTTTTGTTTTTTTGGTGGATTTTTTTAAGTAATCTTGAATTTGTTTTACAGTAAAAGGATGGAACCTCTAGTTTGATTGTACAATTTCTAGCTTTGTTTGTAGGATATGACTATAATAGTATAGTCATCTTAAAGAATGTGAACGAACCACTAGTTCATATTAAGGTAGAAAAAAACAGAATTCTTGAATGTCTGGTGAAATAAGAACTTTAAGGTAATTTATGGTTGACAAAGGCTAACAGCCATGATGTTGTACTTACAATATATATATAATATATAAGTATTCCAAAACAGTCACAAGCAGCTATCGTGTAATGGAAAACTAAGTTAGAAAATATCTATTTTAATGCCGTGTGTGCTGGGAGAGTACTTTTTTAGACAACTCTTTACATGTCAAATGCCATAAGCTGCATTATACAGGGTTCACTGAAAAGGTAATTATTTGAACCAATAAAAAGTAAAGAGATGATTGCACGTTTGACTTTTGCTCAATGAAGAAAAAGTTTCATTTTGATCTTAGAAGGAAAACCTTTTATGGGTTATAATGAAGGGACTGTAAGCCCTGGATTCATAGTTGATTTGTCAGAGGTATCATGCTCTCCCCCCTTTGATTACATAGACTCCAGCTAAAAAGTAAGCTGTGATTGGGACTGTCAGGTTGCCATTTTCTCATGATTGGCTGATGAAAGGTATAATTTGGAACTGCCAGGAGAGCAACTTCAAAAGCTTCCAATGCCATATTAGGCTGGAATGTGAAAGCTGTCCAGGCAAAAAATGATCCAATTTTCTACTGGCTTTAATTACAAAGAGGATCCCCTTTCACTGGTCAGAGCGACTGCTGTCCATTTCTGAAGACCTCTGTGGAAAAGTATCAAGTCAAGCATATCCAGAACTCTTCAGTCTGGCCTGACTTCATGTGGCCTGGTAGTACTATACTTAAAAGTCACATTAATCAAACACCGATTTACTTTTTTGTTCCACAAATAAACAAAACAACTCACAATGGAAACACTGATGTGTGCACTCCAGGTAAATGGTCATTTGCCTTTTAACCATTACTTTTAGAAAGGTTTCTTCCCTTGGCTGTCAACACGCCAGCAAATAAAATTATAAACTGTGGTTAATCCCTTGTGCAGGGAATAGCGCCTGAAGCCTGTTGTAATGGCCTTTCTTTTCTAAATAAACTTAAGTGTTTGTAACAGCGTCTAGATTATGGAAAATCCTATTTGTGATTGCAGCATCTGTATTTAACCTGTGGGTAGCTCTCTGTTTGTCCAAGCAATTAGACTGAATAGCATTTCCATGATTAGTTTTCCAGGAAACTTGCATGTGCATGACCTTGCATGCAATGTTTATGATTTATATGCAAAACTGAATCCCGAATATTATGAGGACAGAAAAGAATAACATCTCAATATTCTCCAACATGCAAACCTTTACAAAAAGAACTGGGAAATTGCTTGTACAGTCACTCTCTCCCACTCAAAGTCCCTTATGTCCTTACAGTGATGAGCCAGATTTGTTTGGCAATGAACAGACATTACAGAAAAAAATATTGAGTGTTTTAGTTTATCTAACTGACATGACATCATGAGATAAATGAAGAATTTTAAATAATTTGCGCTTCATTGAGAAACTATGTTCTGGCTCCTGTTTTGTTCTGGGCTCATGAAAAGCATATTTTATTTGTTTTATTGGTGCCAACCAAAGCGAACTTAATTGCTTTCTGTAAAACATTAATAATGTTTCTGCCTTGGCTGCCATTTGCCAGATTATGTCAAACCTTGTCACGAGCCGCAGTATCCAAAAACAGGGGAATATTCTCACACTTTTTGGGATGTGTCCAGAAGCTTATTTGTAAGCTTGCTGGGTGTGGCACATTAGCTTTCACCTCAAAGGCAGCAGCTCCCTCCCATGTAATTGCTCTCCATCGGTTCCAGCTACACGACATTCCTGCATTCTGTGAAAAGCGCCAAAAGAAACAGTTAACTCCCATTAAAGGGGACAATCTCTAAACTGGATCACTTCTTGCTGATGGGATATGATAGAGTTTTTAACTCAGGTTTCAGACTACACCCTGCTAATAAACAATACAAAACAAAAATGCACACTGACTCTATTCAGCAAAACACAATGGGAAAACATGAGACTGGTGACCCAGCGATATGCAGACCAGTCACCCAAAACAATGTTTTTCACCCCAATATGTGATTCTGCTCTCAGAGCAACGGCCATCCTAGCAAGCCAGAGAAAGGATGCGCCCTCAGGGCAAGCAAAGATAACAGCTTTTGATATAATTAAGCCAACGTCAAAATGCCAGTAGATGAGTCTTGTGAAGATAAAGGAGCCTAGACTGACAGGCCTGATAATACTCCAAACAAAGAGAAAGTGGAGAGTAAGGGGCTCCTTTTCAGGGAGTTAAGTGGACTGCCCAAAGGACACTACAAAACATGGCTCATCTGTCAAGGACGAGGGGAATGGACACCATCACTGACGCTTCATTCAAGGATAGATAGTATCTAGGAATGTGTATAAAGAATGTGCAGTGTATTTTACTGGTTATTTTTTAGAGCATCATTAGTAACAGTTGTGTCGTGATTCTCACATGTTTTACATTTTCCCTGTTCATTTTCCTGCGGTTTGAGAGATTCATGAATTTATGAGTGGAGTTTTAAGTAAAAAATCTGAACATTACTAAATGGAGTTGGCCTTCAAAAAACAAGGGCTAAAACAGAGCTGTCTTTTCGTGTTAACATGAAAGTTTGTTTACCTTATATTGACCTCAGGATTTTACTCGTTAACCTGTAAATCTAAGAATAGCTTCTTTTTTTTAAAACCACCTATAAGTCTTAGAAAATGGGGGGATTACAAGCCCAACTGTGATGGGTAATACCTGATGTCATGAACAAAAAAAGTACAGTATTTCATGTTGGCGGACATATGGATGAATTAAAAATAAATAACTGTTTTGAACTTGAACATCTGAAAATGCTATACATAATAAAGTCATGACTACTTACACTATTGAGTATTATCCAAGAATGCAGGAATAGAAGCTTACCTCTTATAAATTTGAAGGCACTCATAACTTTCTTTGTGGTGCATATGAAGTCATGTGAAAGCCACAGTGAAAGAAGTCCAGAAACCACTTTTCTAGCAATAACATTACTAGAATGAAAGTCATTTAATGTTTCATCAGGAAACAATAAAATCAACTAATAAAACCTGAGTCACACGAGTTACTTTTCATTATAACCAGGTAGTGTAAAGGATTACAGATAAAAAAAATAAAGGGATATGAACAATCTGTTAAATGATTAACTAAATGTTTTCGACCACAAAGAAAGTCATATTTTCATGTGCTTCACCTTTGTCCTTGAAATGTGGCCGTCTTTCCATACTCAAATCTCGGTGTTCACAAAAAAAAGTAGTGAATGCTGAAATGGCAGGAAAGGAGAGACAGTCACCACACTCAGCTGTAACACAGTCTGGCAAAACACTAACAAAGGAAATGAGCAAACCACACAGCAAATAACAGACTTATATTCAACACTCTGGGCCCCACAGCTTATATCTGGGTGCCAACCCCAGTCACTTACACATAAATGGATTTATAAGAAATATCACACACAGATTACTACATGTGTCTAGACAGAACAGAAATTTTGCTATGCTTACATTGGCATAACCAAGTTTTTACATTTACAGCTTTCAAAATTTCACTCATAAGTCAGTGGAATAAATTCAATTGGAATTACCCAACAAATTTCTTTGTAGTTTAAAAAGAATAAACTGTTATTATCGATTTCAGTTTCCCACATTTTTAGGATAGAATATATCAATTTGGGGGCGGGGTGGGGGGGGGGGCAGTGGTTATGGTAATAAAAAAATTAAATAAATAAAAAAGAATATTAACCTAAAATTAATGAATTTGTGTGAAATGAAACGGTTTTTGGATAATTCCATATATGTGAAAAGAATAAAATTATTACCAATACACCACAAGATGGTCTGGTAGAAAATATTGGTTTTCACATTTTTCATTAGTGAGAAACTATTTCTTTCCAGCAAAGTCTGTTGTCTTGATTCGATAAGTCTCCTTCTCCTGCAGGTCACCCATTCAACAAGATGTAGTGCCATTTGTTTGGGTTCATGTAAATTGTCTTGACGTATGTGTAACTTTTTTCAATTTTTTTAATAAGAATTAACTAAGTATTATAACATAGATGTGATTAAGTTATATACAGATTTTTATTATCATCCAAATATTATTAAGATTACTGCAGCATATACAAAGACAAAGTTGGCTCTTTTTTTTAAAGCATCTGTCTTTTATAGAATGCAAATACCATGAGATTTCTTTTTTAAATCCAGAAACCCTGGAGCACCGTTTGAGTGAAGCCCTTTAGCGTCGCAGGATGATGACGTCTTCACCTGATGACGTGTCAGTTTGTTTACAGCGGACTGTGTCGCGCTGCAGCTGCTTAGACATGGCTGTGGATATAACTGTACTTTTTAAAGCCAGTGTCAAGACAGTGAAAACTAGGAATAAGGCCATAGGAATTGGGTTTGACTCTACCAAAGATGAAATTTTCAAACGAAGTAGACCAAAGAGTGGCTTCTCACCGCGGGCAAAAGAAGTGGTAAGTTTTAACACGAGCTAGCTTTAGCTTTCTTTGCTAGCTCCTTTACCAACCGTTTACATTCAAAGAAGCTAACAAAGTAAGTGATGCTGTAATTAAACTTCATTTTCCAGCACTATAAGAGCAAAAGAAGCATTAAAAGTAAAGTTGAACATAAACTGTTTATTTATTGGAAAATCGTTACAATCGATCCTTATATTTTTTAAGCAAGGCCTTTCTCTATGTAAACTGTTAAAAGCACAAGAACTGAAATTCATTAACGAGTAAGCAAGACTATTGAAATATTATATTACCAATTTGTTGAGAAATGTCCGTCATATTCGTGACTCGCTTAACAGTGGAAAAATGTCAATAGTTGATGCAGTTATATCCTTTAGTAATACTACTGTTTTGGGAATCCCAGAATCGCTCATCTTTTAGTAGTTATTTATAAGAATATAATTTACAATTTATTGTTCACGTTGGAAATGTATGAAGATTTTAGCAATAACTGCCAGTATACTTTTTAAGCAGCAGACTAACACGATGCCTTAACAGATATAAAAACTTTTATTGATAAGACCAAACGTGCCTCAGATCAGACTGGTAACCTGAACTAGTTTACAACCTGCTTTTGTTTTTATCTGAACTTTGTTTTCTAAATTGCCCAACAAATCATATTGTAATTGTAAAACCTTTTTTCCCCTTTTTTTTCAAAAGAGAGTTGATAAAGTTTACGCCGAATTTCATGTTTGTACTCCCACCAACAATATTTCTGCTCTTCCATGAGCACTTTTTAGCACGGGGGTGTCTGTAAAGAGATTCAGAAACTGATTACATTAAAGCAGTGACATGCAAATGCTGAAATGACCTGAAAATGGTTCAATTTTGTATTACATCCTCAATATTTTAATGTCAGATTTTTTGCTTATTTACCAAAATTATGATGAAAGTCTGTTGTTCTTAAAGTGAGTTTTTGTTTGTTCCTTGATGCTTAACTCACACATGAAAAGTTGGTGCTATACAGAAACTGGTGTTGTTTGCAACTTCAGTGAGTCGTGCAGCCGGTGTGGATGCTTGGGAGCTGAAATGAAAGTCATCCCAATTCACATATGTTGTGCATATTTAACACTACTATTATGAACCTTATCTTTGACTTATTTAATGAATAAATCACATAATTCATCTTACTCAGCTGTTATTATCCCCTGAAAGAATAGATGTAAAATAGTTAATATTGGCCACCTTTCTCGAAGGTTCTCATAATACAACAGCATTGGTTAATTTAGATTACTTCTTCCTCATGCCTCTTTATGAGGTACTGTGCCTGTTCATAACAACCATAACCTGCTTACTATTTTATACATTCTTAATTATTCACTCCAGAGTAGCTAATATGAGGCTGCCAGGTGCATGTTATATATGAGTTGGAATTCTGAAAGTTTAAGATCTGAAATTGGACAAATGCAGTACCAAAGAAACCTGGATCAAAATTGTCTACCTCTTGTTGAAACATGGATTCTTTATAATGATTGAAACAAAACAGTTTCAGTCTTCAAAATAAATAACTGTTTATTCAATTTTTTCTATCAATAATTTCTATATTTTACGTGACTGAGTCAAAGATATGCTTTAAGCTTTTTGTCATTAGAGTGGACTTAATAAAATCTACAATGTCAAGTATGAATTACATTGAAATCACACAATCTTTTGATTGTTTTTTTTAGATAATTTGGTTTGGAGCCATCACCTACGGTTGGCAATAATAGTGGGATATTTGAAAATTAAACTTTACTCCTTGTCCAGAGTATTGCTTATGCAGCCAGAAGACCTTGACCTGACATGAATATCTTGTGCACAGACTTCTTCAAAGGCACCTTTAAGAACCACTTTACGTTTCCCTCGGGGGAGTAAGGTCTTTAAGTTGTACCTGATGGCTTCAACCAGCAGTCTGAGGCCAACACAAGCCCAGTTGTAGCAGCTTTACACAACCAGGTTTTTGTTATGTTCTTTTACATTGATATTAGAAGTGGTGGTTTAATAAAAGCACTGCTGCTGATTCAAAAGAAACCTGATCTTATCCTGTGGTGCCCGCCTTATGCAGCCCCCCCCCCCTCCCCCGTTGTCTCCTCTGCTTTGCAGATATAATCTCAGACCATCTCAGCGAAGAGTTTGTATGGAAATTGAAATAGCGAGTTTGGAATGTCCTGCCTGCTCAAAGTTATGTGGCGGTTTTTACCCACATGTCCCTCAACTGTACGACCCATTCTTTTCTATAGAGCCTGACATATGCAGCATTTTTTGCCTGAGTCGCCTCTTCCCACATATGATTCCATAAACATGCTGCAATAACATTTTCTTTCGGCTCTCAAACAATTTCTGGAGAAAGTCGATCCTCCCAAGAGCGAGTGATTAAAGGTGGAAGATCAAAACAGAGAAAATATTAAATTAGGTCCCCAGTAACAATGTTGACGGCCGGCACCTAATGCACAACAGATGTGGGTGCCCTTCAAGACATGCATGACTCTCCCTCCCTCCCAAGTTCCCCTTGAAGCTCCACAAAAACAGAGGGAAAACATCAAAGTTGACAAATACACAGTGGTCCTGTGAGACTTTCCCCCCCTCAGAAATCAGCTCAGCAAGAAAGGAAATGTTGCTTCTTTCAAAGAAGTTCCTGAAAGGAAAAAAAAGGTTTTGATTGACTAATAAGAGGGCCAGTGTTTGCAGGACGAGGTTTGGTCAGGGGAATCTTTTACCTCATACGGGCTTGGCTTTGGGCACTGTGATCTCTATTTCACTGCTCACCTCGTCACTCCCCACAGCACGCTGCCCTTCTCGAGTTTAAATGGAGGGGGGTCACTAAAAATTGTTAAATTGGGTGTAGAAAATAGTGCTTGGCTCCCCGCTGCGCATTCAGTATTGGCATTCCAAAATTGGATCCTTCTCACAGTGTATTTCTTTGAAACGCTGAAGTGTGGCCATCAGCCAGCTCTTAAAAGGATGTTGTGTTATTAGAGGGGCTCTTCCCTGTAAAAACCTCATTTTGAAATATTATACTCATGAATTTTCAAAACATTTAGTTTGATTGATATTGATCTTGTTGATGTGCTTTTAGTGATGATTAAGTTTCGAGTCCTAGTTTTTTCAACTTTGAAAAAGTCATCAAATTATGTTCAAGCCTAAATTGCATGAGCTCATTAAAAATCACAGTGAGAATGAGATTAGGATATTCTCACCATTGACTCTACCAGGTGGTTAAAGAACACGAGTAAAGGTGCAAATTGCATGTCAAACTTTGCCATAGGCTGAGGGTGCTTGTGATCCTACAGGTGTCAGCATTCAAGTGAAGCTCAGGTGTTTTTGGAGATTTCATTGATAAGATTATTTATTTGCTTGTTTATATGGTGGCTAAAAGTTTTTGTTCACACAGTGATCTAGCCAGCATGGTGATCGTGAATCATCCCTTTTTTCCAGGGCTTTCCCTGAGGAAAAACTTATATCAGTCAGATAAAAGTCAAAAGATATATTTGTGAGATGTCTAACAAAATAAGTTTTTGTATCTTATTAGATAAAATAAAGTTAATTTAAGTCCTTATTTTACACAGACTATATGTAAATTTAATCTATAAATTCATGTCAAGTGTCAAAGTTTGTCATAACATAGGAATGCCTGGGCATAGAGGCTTAGTCTAAGTAAAATCTGTACTGGGTGATTTACAGGGATCATCCGGAGGAGCTCTGCTGCTAAACGGGCTCATTACCAGTTTGCCTAATCTGTGTTCTGTTTTTCCTCAAGAAGCCCTGCTAATTAAATTTGAAGGCATCTGCTGTCAGACCCACGTAAAACTCGGGTTTGCAGATCAATGTCCACTTCTAAAGGAGGAGTTGCACTCTGAAATCTGACACTCAGAAGATGAAGGTTTGACTATAAGCAACAATTCTGGGCGGGTTTAAGAATATTGTGTGGTATCTTTTAAGTGTTTGTGTTTTCTAATCAGGCAGCTGGACACATACTTGTCCGAGCCCCAACAAATTATGGCTGTGAAAGAGGCAGCAGTCATGTTTTGTTCAGATTATCATGTTGAAATAATTCGCTTCATATCGATGCTGAAAATACTCTGAAACTGAAGCAAATTTCTCTATTTATGCAACAGTAAATGTATTGTTTGGCATTGTAATCTTTGATCAGTGGTTATCTGAAGTTTGTAAATCTATCTTGAAATAAATTTCAGCCAAATGATTTTTTTTCTGTCTTGGAGGTGTAATTTGTTCTTTCAGTATTTCTCAGATTTTAGTTAGATTTAGTTCTGCTGTCATCCCCTCAGTTTAAAAGCCTTTTTTCCCCTATAAGGGTTCTCGTTCCAGACAGGGATTTCCAGAAATTATTCATATCATTATATATATTTTTTTCTTTTTCCTAAAGAGTGGTTGTGGTTTATGGAGGAAAAGCATGTTGTCATGTCTTTTTCATTCTTATTTCTGTCTTTTTTTTAAGATGGAGTAGGTCTGTTTTTAAATCATTTCCTCCTTCACTACATCAGTTTCCCTTGTACTCATATGAATTAATTGCCTTTTTTAAAGCGTGTAAACCGACATAGTAGTATGCACACACTTTTAGCATTTTTTATTAACAATTTAATATTTGAACACCGTAAAATACAGGTTTTCTCAGTTGATTTCCCGTCCCTCACACTTTCACTCAGTCACTGCTATTGTACCCTGTGGTGTCTTTCATTATTTAAACTTTACATCTGTTTCACATGAAAGGTGATTACTTCAGAAAGCAACAGTCAGGTTTCCGTTCAAATACGTCCAAAATTGTCCACAAGACCTGCCTCGTGCTGATGTCACCGACTCGGTCCATCTCACTGAGCTGGTGCAGGAGTCCTTACAGGCAAGGAGGAGCTGGCTTCTTAAGGTTTTGGTCAGTCAGTTTTGCAGAGAAGATGTGAGACTTATTCAGCTCAGGCTGCATGTGTTGTCTCAGTTTAGTGCGCTTTGCCGTGCGCACTGCATCTGCTGTCATTCCCACAGCGTTTGAAAGTGCCTTCCCCATGAGTCATGCACCCTGTTACATGAAAATGTTACGTTGACATTTTTATGCAACAGGTCTGACCTGAGTGATCGAACCCGAACATCAAAGCAGAGCGCATGACAGTGCTGTTCATCACATCTGTGAAGCTAGAAAAGTTATGCGTTAAAAACATTTCACATGAATTCAACTTTACGACATATCAAAAAGACTCAATACTCGGTTTATGAATATTTCCCAATCCTTTGTTTGTTTCCCTCTTCTTTGTTTATTAAACTGACTGAGGCTTTCTAATTGAACCGAGGAACTCGGCCCATTAGCGAGTCAGACATAACCATGATAATAAAGTCAACATGTGGCACAGTCCTCTCCACTGAAGCTTCCTCTCTGTATCAGGCCGGCATATTTAAACAAAACAGCACGGCGTCAGTATGGATAGCCCATGGTCAGGACACACAGTCAGGAACTTAAACCGAAGCAGTGCAGTCATCACCGAATTCTGTCAGTTACCTAGATTTAACAAAACAAAGAGCCATCCAAGCTCTTTAGAAATCTGCTTGCTAAGCCTTTTCTCTTTTCTTCCTCATAATAATCCCCCCTGATGGTTTGTTTGGGCTCAGTCAGGGCTGGAGGGAAGCAGGGGGAAGGAGAAAGTGAGGAGGTAAAGTGGGGGTCTTTGATGATGACGAGATTAGATATAGCCCGGCAGACTGTCTCCTCCTGCCTCCTCTGCGAGCTTTGCCTCACACACACCTATGGCACTGCACACACGCTCACACATATGCTTACACATACTTGTGTGCAGGCATATATGCTGCGCCACATGCTCAAGGCCACCCCCTTCCTCATTGTTGAGGAATTACTTGCTCTTTAAGGTCTTAAGTTACAGGAGCAATTGATCCTTCTGACCCCCTGCAAGCCCTTGAGGTTGTGCTGGGAATCTGAGCCCCAATGTATACACACAGGAGGCAGCTCAACCCCCAGAGCAGCAGTCCTGACACTCCCCACAACGCGCTCTAACACACACTCCTCTGGCTAACTTGTTTTCTGATTCAGCACATTCAGACGCTGGGCATTTAGCACTGCCTGCTGGTGGGAAAGGTGCAGTGTCACCAACTGACATCTGTAGCCAAATACAGTCGGTACATAAAGTCAAAACTGGAGCCAAGGCCTGATTGCAAGCAGAGAGCATAGTTTATACAAACAGATAAATTAGTCATGTCATGTAAGAGTTTATATATTCCATCTTGTGGCAGGCCAAGATCATTACTGAAACTCAAAAATGTGCTTCCACTGTGGCTTTCTTCATAATTAACCATTCTACCACAAGAGCTGGTTCTTCTGAAATAAGTGGAGATCATGTCATGACAATCTTGTAATCATGCCTCTGTGACACTAAAAGGCCTGGCCTAAGCCGAGGGCCTTTCATGTCATGTTTCAAAAGAGATGCAGCACAGATTCACAGACGCTTCAAAACGCTGCGTGCCACTTCAGACAATGGCTTTCTTCTAATTCTTATTTTAGTTTTTACATCTGGAAGTTTAATTTGAATTTTAAGAGTCCAGGTAACGGCACCAGATTTCATTTGAAACGGCTGTGACATTTCTGTGAATTCAACCAAAACAACCTTTGAGGACTTTAAATAAATCCACTGGTTCGGCTGTTTAGCTGCTGTCAGCCTTCATTGCTAGAAAGATAAGTCTAGCTCTCTTATTCACGGAGAAAAGCTACACAGCAAACAGTGTTTTCAGTAGCTTTTAACCATAATCAGTCTCTGTTCTTACTGAGCCTCTCTTTAAGTTCAATTGCACTGAACCACAATTAACTCTTGACCTCAAATAATTGTATTATTACAAGGGTCGGCTCGCCTTAGCCACCCCTGCTTGTGTTAGTGTGTCCCCCACGGCAAGGCTACACATCATACAGTTTTTATACCCAAGTAGAAAATAAATTACAGGTTTATGAAAAGATGGTTCGCTCTGTTTATCTAAAAATAAGAGGAGGGAAAAATAACAAATCTTTCTGAATTGAATCAAAACTTCAACACTTGTCAAAGTGCCCCAAGTCACCATACCATGGCAGGAGGATTTAAGGTTTGGAGACATTATTAGCCCGCTGGTGCCAGGTTACGTCTTACAGCCAAGGCAATTTGATAATTGAGGTTGTTAGACTGAAAGGGCTGAAGGTTGAGGACAGCGTCGTTATGCTATCCAAATAATCCCCCGCGATCTGTCACAGTCAAACTCATTGTGTCATTTTTCAATCCCCAGCTTGTCTGAGTTCTGTCGTCTGGTGGATCCAACAGAGCCCGCTGTGTGCGCATTCGCTCCCATTTGTACGCTGCCAGCACAACTCTGTGGACAGGGAAGCAATTTGGGCTTTTTTTTTTTTTTTCATATTTAACCAAATTACAGCAGCAAATATTGGATAGAACCGTGCTTCCTCTGGTTTCCCCGCGCGCACACACACAACAAACATTGACATGTCTTCTGTGATAAATAGTAACAGATCATAAATTTAAAGCTCATTAGAGGTGGCTCTGTAGGAAGCAGTACATGATTTTATTTACGGGAGCTGTTTCTGGAGGAAATTGCTTGTTTGAATTTTGCATGTCCGAGAGTTGATGAATTGTCCGTAAATATTAAGAATTCGCAGACAAGGCGGGGTTTGCTGGCCCGTCACATCCCGCATGAGTTTAATGAGGCCTTTTCTCCGGCTTGATGTCGGTGAAGTGGGGAGAAAGTTGTTTCCTGTGTTTTTGTTCAACTGTATTTAAAAAAAGGGCTGTAGGCTGGACACTCCCGGACACAAATGTCTCCTTTCTTCTTGGCAGATCACAAACATCACCAAGCTCAAAGACTTTCTGCTCCAGCACCGAAAAGATTACGTGAGCGCCGGAAGGTAAGCTTCTTCACCCCGAGGCGAGACTTCTAAAGGCCGTGGGGAAGGCTGATGATGGAATGAAGACTTTTCGTGTGGACAGAAATCAGCGAAGGGCAGGATTCCGGGTTATTTTTGGGGACTTTCTGCGCTCTGTGTGTGCTGTAGGAGCTGGCGGCTGGCACGAGGTCAGCAGCGAATAGGGTGGTCTGTTGAATCAGGCTCCAGTCTAATTGTCTGGAATAATTGAGCTGCAACCAAGTGTAGAACAAATCACGCCCAGGGACTAATCCGGGCCTTCCTTTGCTCTAGGGCTTTGTGTGTTTTGTAGGTGTGGGTGTGCAGAGAAGCCCATAGGGTGAGAGATTTGTTGATAAATCCTCGACGGAGGACGTTAAGAAAATATAAGAGAGGTCAGCAGTTGGGGTTCAGTTGAAGTTAGATGTGGGGAAAGTCCAGCGGTTTGTGTGTCTGCAAGCTTTAAGTCCAACCCTCTGCTTTCTCTCTCTTTAAAAAAAAAACTTTCCCATAACTTCTTTTCTTTACATAAAATTTGGAAGACTAGATTCCAGTGAATTAGATAAAGGTCATTGTAGTTAATATTAGGCAATGATTGGTTAAAAAATAGAGCTAAAATTAATTGAGTTTTAAAGGTAATAAAAGTGAATAAATAGCAATAAAAACAAAGTCTGTTCACTCCAAAATAGTTAGGAATCAACATTATTTTTACTTTCTGATTTACTCCAGCCAGCACGCTCATGCTCAGCTAAATGTTCACACTCTTTCAGATGCTTTTGTGTGAGAACTGACTCTTGTGATCGGCTTTGCTCTTCAGTGTACCTCGTCTCCGTAGATCAAACTAGAATTTAGGATATGTAATACTCCATCATACTTAAAATACATTGTTAGAGCCCCCTCTGCTGGATCTGAAAGGACATTACTGCAGAGGGTCCATGTGGCCTCCAGTGTACATTTGAAATCAAGAGTCATTTTTATTACATTTAGGTACCTCAGTATCTGATTCTGAAAATATTTCTTTCTAACTACTGAATAGATCATCGGCCTGCTTCATGAAAACCTAGATTTAGTGAGGAGACGTGTGTAGGATGTGTCTCTGTTCAGCGTGACCCTTAAGACCTGTTTTTATGTGGTCATTTGACATTAAGATTATTTAGCACTGAGCTTTTCCACATTTTTCCAAAACAACCTGTTAGTGGAAGAGTATTTCAAACAATGTGTTGGGAGGTTAGAAGTTTGCGTCTGTAATGGTTCTGTGTGCTTTTACAGTCTCCTTTCAACAGATCACTCCCGCATGACAGATAGTGAACGAGACCAGATCGACCAGGATGCTCAGATCTTCATGAGAACCTGCTCAGAGGCCATCAAGCAGCTGCGCAATGAAGGTGTGTTCACATGCACAACTGGGTCCACTTACTGTCAGGAGAAATAACATCATGTCTATAAAGAGATGCACGTACAGTTGTATGTGCAGCACATTTTCAGAGTTACGGTTTTGTACACTGATGCTACTTTGTGCCCTTTAGAAAATCCCTCATTTGTTAAGTACATGTTTCATTGCTGTCACCATAGTTGAAAAGCAGGTGACATCGGTTCAGATCAAGGAGCACAGGGGTGCAGTTCTGGACCTCATTGAAATGTATCTTAAAGGTAAGCTTCTTTTACAAAAATAGACAGTTTCAATTCTATCGTTGACTTCCTTCATTTCAGTCCTCTTTCAGAGTTACAGTCTACATTCACAGAAGGGCACATCAGCATCATGTATGTTCTTTGGTTTTTAGGCGTGTGTAAGCTGTACTCTGAACAGAGAGCTATTAGAGTCAAACGGATGGTGGACAAGAAGAGACTGTGAGTATTTAACAAGGTGTCATCCACGTTCACTGAAACAGTAGAAAGTCCTTTTGAATCGGAAAAATGCTCTGCCCTATGGTTCCAGATCAAGGCTGGCCCCGGAGCACCCCAGTCGAGTGGGAAAGCCGAAGGAGGTGGAGCCCACACAGGAGAAAAGTGTGAAAGAGGAAAGTTCTGGTGAGTGAGGCTCTGTTGGTGTGAAAACATGAAGATGGAGAAGGCTGACCCACTGTGTTATATGAACACTCTGCTGACAGCGAATTGGGTTTAGCTGGGTTTGTCATTTTATCCTACTGATGTCATTATTTCTGTTTACTTTGTCTCTGACACCTTTTGTTACTCCTCCTCTAAGATGAACTTTGGAGTTGAGTTTCCGGCTAGACCAAACCCAGACAACTATGTGGTTTTGTAGAAACTATTTCTTGATCATAATTTATTTATTGCAGAATCACTGTAAATGCTCAAACAGGAGAAGCCTTTTCAGAGCATCCTATCTGTGATCAAATGTCTTAAATCTGCTCAAACTACAGCCGGTCGTAGGTTCAGTGTTTCTCCTTTGCTCCTTCCTGCAGAGAAGAGTGTGTTTGAAGTCACAACAACTCAGAACAACTCAGTCAACCTGTGGGAGGAGGGCAAAGTGGAGGATGAGCTCTCTCCTGAGGAGATCCAGATGGTGGGAGACCTCAGCAATGATCATTCATGTCATGCATGCAATTAGTCCCTTCCCTCTTTTGTTTTTTTCCATGAACAAAATTACTGACTCCGTAAACCTGATGATAGTGTAGCAACTCAGACAATGCAACGTGTCCAGGCTTTCACTTACAGTGAACTAAAGGCTTTATATCACTGGTTTACGCAGCACTCATTCAGAGGCTGAAGTGTTTTCCGTTTCTTTTTAGTTTGAGCAAGAAAACCAGAGATTGGTCAGCGAGATGAACAACATGGTGGATGAAGTGAGGTGAGCCTTTTCTAAACATGTTTTTTTATCAGAATTGATGCTCACAGTAAAATGCAGTGACAAACAGATGGGTTACACAACTTCCCCTCCCATGGTACACTTCCTGCACATTTGCATATTCCTGATGAATGAAATGCTGAATGTGCCAAAACAACAACAAGCATTACCTTCCATGACAACGCTAATGTCATCTGGAGTCAAGCAGTTCTGCTTTTTGCACCAACCAGACAAATCGAGGGGAAGGTGGTGGAGATTTCACGACTTCAGGAGATCTTTGCCGAAAAAGTCCTGCAACAAGTGAGCTATACCCATTCCATGTTATGCGCTCCATCATTCAACGCCTTTTGGTACACAAACTGATCGTCAATCTCATGTCCTGCTGACAGGAAACGGAGATAGACAGCATTCACCAGCTGGTTGTTGGAGCAACAGAGAATGTCAAAGAGGGAAATGAGGATATACGAGAGGTACGCTTTACTAAATAACATCTGAAATTGGTTTTGGATGAGGATTACTGTTTTTTAATCTGTCAAATTGAATTGTTTTCTTTTACCAGGCAATCAAAAACAATGCCGGCTTCAGAGTATGGATCCTCTTCTTCCTTGTTATGTGTTCTTTCTCTCTCCTCTTCCTGGATTGGTACGACAGTTAAAACAACTACAGCCGTGGACTGAACAGCAGAAAACCACCTGGAACTGGTACCTCCCGGTTATCTCATGAAGAAGAGGTGACAACACTAAGACTGAACGGACAGTTTACGCTGCTGGACTTGTTGCACATGACATGTTCATGGAGAGTGACCCCTGATGCTCCTCTGTTAATGTTTCCCAGTGCGTTCGGGGTAGCTTTGATGTTTTAGTCTGTCTCTGTGGAGGAGAACTTTTTATGTGGAGCACAGTGTGAGGTCTCACAGGTTGTCCAGTGATTGGCCACTCAGTCTCCGTCTGACACCCAAACGGATTATAAAGATTTGAGCAGCAGCAGCTCTTAGATTCTGGCTTCTGTTGTTTCTCATTTTGGGGAAATCGACTTTATTGTACTTCAAGATTATTCGTAATTTACTATAACATAAATAATTATTCTTTCAGATTTGGCAGAGCTCTCTTTAAAACAACAATTTCACTCTAGTTAAAACCAATACTCCTAAATGGATTTTGTATCTTCTTTCTCTACTCTTAACATGTGGTTTTATTAAACTGAATGCAGTCTCCATTACTGCAGAGCTTTGGATTGATATTACGAGCAGCATAGAGCCGCAGCATGTCTTGGTTTGACTCTTATTTCTGCTAATCCGGTAATTAGGATTAACCCAGATTCATGTGAAAGCATTTAAGTGCTTTCAAAATGTTTCTTTGATCTAAACTCAAGGGAAATATTTGCCATATTTATTTCAGCAGCACTGAAGAGACGTCCTCACTGAATACTGAATAAAATCTTCTCACATCTAGACATATGTTTGAAATGTGGGCACTTTATTTGAGATCTTCGTTTGTCTTTTTTTTTACATAGCAAATGCACTTCAATGGTAATAATTACATTGTCTGAAAAAAGTACATCATTTGTGAACATTCAAGTTAAATGACAAATACAGAAAAAAGCAACAGGACAAGCAACTACCATCAGATTGTTCCACTACATCAGCCTAACTCTAATATCTGTGATGACTGCCAACAGCCATATGTGGTGACGTTAATCAATGCAAAGCCTTTCACAACACAGTGTTTTCACTAGCAAAAACATTCAATACAGTTGCATAAAAGTTATGCTGTGAAAATTACATTAAAAGTCTTGTGTAGCCAGCAAAGAAAAGCAAATGTTCACAAAAAGCTCCAATGCTAAAAGAAAGAAGAATCATGAGTTAGTACTGGCTGACTCAAAACAACAATATTTAAAATATTTTTCGCTGGTATATTTTCCTTGAGGTCAAGCCTCAACTTTTTACAATAAGACATTAAAATACTCCGGCACAAACGTAGCAAATATGCTGCCGAGTTTTCCCACTTGATGACAATTCGCCACTTGCCTGATCTCAGGAGGCCTCGCATGCCCGATCAGTACTCAAAAATAAAAGAAAGAGATCTGATGCAAACTGATTGCTATTAGAGTCATGCGTGCATGTGGAGTAAAACAAGCGACGCAGACACAAGATGGCTCACAGTCAATTCACAATCTCAGTACTAAAGTGAGTTCTGTTACAGGTGGATATACAAAGACTGTGTGTGTGTGTGTGTATGTGTGTGTGTGTCAGGGTTTCTGTGGCTTTTTCTACATGTTTGCCACTCTATTTTGTCATGTAAATAAATAACAACATATGCTATTCAAACAAATCGGGAATCCACCGAACAAAGCCCCGCTGTGCTGAGGACGTTTGCAACACTTCCACATATTTCCAGCTACTGTACACATCAGTTGACCAAACCACAGCAACAAGGCAGCATAGCACCTCAGGCAAGAGAAGATGATTTTTCACCCACAAGAAAGCCACAGAACTCTGAGGTTTGCTTGAATGGCACAACCATATTATTTATTTTTTCTGCTGCAGGAGGAGGCCACACACCGATCCCCAGGCGGTTAGGCCAGTTTCTGGGAAGTCTCCGTCTCCTGCTGGGTTACCTTCTCCTCGGACATGATGGTCATCCACGGTGATACCGACCGAGTGATGGTCTGCTTGGCTATGTTGTAGTGGTTGATGAGGGTAAAGAGACGGCCGCGGCCCCCAGGGCCCTGAGGGGGGTAGTTCCCATACAGCGCAGCCGGCAGGCAGCGGCCTTGCTGCTCCAGGAAAAATAAAATAAAATACACCAGTGATAAATCGCTGTGACAACACAATGACATTTACAAAAGAAGAAAATTAGATGAGACAAACTTAAAAGGACTGTTCATCTCCAAAAAATGTGACTGAGGGACTGAAAACAAACTCAGCCTAACCACCTGACTAACAGAGGCACCAGTGCATATTAATTAGTTTTATAAATAACAAGTATATATTCAGCCTGCTGTGGAGTGTTGCAGCAGGAAAGCTTTGCTGAAATGAAACGAGACAGTCTAAGTCCGCTGCCTCAAAATGATGGTTACATTAACCAACCAGACTAAGGAAGAAAAAAGAACTGCCACAAACACAGAATGCTCATGAGGGCTTACCGTGTAAACAAAGCTGTCAGGACAGGGCTGCTCGTACTGGTAGACCTTGTAGACCACTAGGAACACCACACACACCAGGAACGCCAGGGCGCAGATCACCAGCAGGGTCACCTGCAGCACAACAGCAGCAGGACTACTCAATGGGTCGGTTGTTAGGAAGAAAATTATGACAGATTTTAATATTTTCTTTTGAAATACTGGAATCAACCAGATTTTCTTTTTCATAAAACTTTACATACGACCTTATAATGAATCATTTCTTTAATCTCAAGTTAACTAGGTTCCATTGGGGGTTTTGCAAGTTTATGACTTGCCTATTTAAACCAATTCATTCTAGGCTTCTTATTCTGTACATACAGCTTGTTTTCTTTGTCACGCAGCAGTGACAGTTTTTAATCTAAATCTGAAATCCATATTTTCATTATTTCATTGGCATCATTCCACCACAGACCTCTGGACTAATCTTAATGTAACCGAGGAAACATTATATTCATTATTGAGATTTCTCAGAGTCCCAACATGATAAATCCCAACATCTCAGCAAATATCTTTAATTGCAAAACCTATTTGAGAGTGTTCACTTTAGTTTATTACTCACAACTATCTCGTAACTAGCTCGTAACACGTTGTTGGGTTTGTACAATCTATGGAGTCACAACATACTTTATCCAAAACATTCATTAATGACTGGTTATGGCTGACATTTGAAATGCCAAACCTCTGCTACATCTTTGACCTTTAATCAGTGTTGTGTGCACAGACATTTCTGGTTTGATGATGAGCTGTATACACCAGTGTTTGAGAGCATTTTATGTTTGATCTCTCGAAAAATGTTGTAATCTTTTTCATTGCAAGCAGACAAAAAGTTCCAGTTTGATCCATGCTATGTGACTGCCTAAAGTCGTCTGGTTACTACACGGTGCAAATAAAAGGTCACGTTTTGTGGAACCTCAAAACAAAGAAAAAATGAATTTTCACATGTATAATGCCTGAAATTCTAATGCTGGGATCATCTGGGGGCTTTATTAATTCCATTTGAAGCCATGTAATTGCCTGTTGATATGGAGACTCATAAAAGAGTCAAACACTGCACTGTCGACAAACAAAGGAACAAAGTGAAAGAATGAACCGCTAAGTAACACAAAAACCCTTAAAAGCGACAGTTACAGCCAGTCAGCACTACAGGCTTTTCTGCATGTAGTGGCTCATCTGCTGAATGGCTTGTGTGACCATTTGTGGATTTGAGCTCTCGACTCTCCAGAGAGTTATGTAACAGCTACTGGTGTTTCTGAAAAGCTGGAGGGGGATCGAACAGAAGGGGCGAGAATTTGTGTTATTTTTGCCCAAAATGTGCCTGGTTTCCTAATATCATTAGGTTTATTAAATAAGTATAATCTTCCCTCTTATTCATTGATGTGTACATTCATTCAAAAGCAATTGTCTACAAATACACTTGCCTTGCCTAATAGAAACTGGCTCATTTGAAATAATATAATAGAAAATATATTTTTTTTATCTTTGTGATTTACTGTATTGCATAGGTGCATGCAGGATACATTAAATCAACCTTGTGCATAGGGGCAAAGGTTCCTGTTCCCTGTTTAACAGAGCAGATAAAGCTCTTTTTATCTGTCTGTCTGAATGCTGGGGTCCCACAGAAAAGCAACAGGAGCTTATGAAAGAGAGGAACCGCGATGAAAGGCCTGTCTTCTTCATTTCAAAGCGCAGATGCTGAGCTCCCTGAGACGAAGACGCTTCTTTTTACCTCGGAGACTTCTGAGAATGAAAGTTCTACAAAGGAAGCCGAGCCATCTGTTGATTGAGAAGACTGCATTCAGAGCACAAAGCCGTGTGGATTTAAGCTTTTTTTGAGGAAGCGTTGAACACGTGAAGGTCAGTCACCCTGCTGGGACTGTTGCTTTCACAAAACTGTGTTTTTTTTCAGGTGTGGACGGTATACTGGTCAGCGGGGAGTTAGCGAAAAGTGGAAGAAAGATGGATTTGTGGAGACAATCACAATGGCATCAGCTGAATGAGAGATTTAGGGCGGGGCTAATTGTATCAGAGTAAATCCTGTCTTCCATACATCCAGGCAGAAGACACTAAGAGTATAAGTTGAAGAGGACAGGGAATACCATGATGATGGTGACAAATGTCCTGTGCTGTGGGGAGACGGGCTCCCCAGCATATGCAGGCGTGGCTGTGGGAGAGATATTGGAAATGGGATAAGAAACTCATTATTCTTACTTTGAGGCGCTCAGATACACCTTCAATGATGCTTATGGAGAACTCTGCAATTTTGGGAGATCGCAGCCTTCCCTTCCTGCTCTCGCCATCGTAGTCTGCCTTTGTCTTCACCACCACCTGGTAGAAAACACAAAAAATAGCCTCTGTGACCAGAACTGTATGATTTTTTTTAAATCTCTAAGCATATTACATGTTATCCCTTAAAAAATATATATATAAATATAAAAAATATACATATATTCTCCAACTGGAACAGTGGAAATATCATCAAATATCATCAAAAACTCGGTTTGACTCATAAAATGTATGGAAAAGCCTTGAATAAGAAATCTTACCTTTTCAGGTGGGGGGAACTGCAACTGGCTGGCATCTAACGGTGTTATGAGAGGGATGGTGTCAAAGCCGTCCTCGGAAACCACCTTCCCGTTGTTTTTCTCGGTAAAATTATTCCCTAGTTTGACCATTTTCCCTGCACGAAAAGGGTGTAAACATGCGCTCACTGTTCAGAATCGACAGCCACGGTCTGTGATCGCGTCCATGTGTGATAACAGAAAACCACCCGTGTCCAATAACGCCTTCTCACACATGAACACAGCGGTGCAAAAAAAATTATGTGCACGAAGTGAGCCTCTTTGTGGGCCACGGGAAAGCCTTCGATGGAGAAAAGGCGCAGAAGAGGACACGCACAATGCGCCCCACGCATCACCGCGAGAATGAGAAGAAAGAAAAAAAAAACACTTACCAGCTCAACAGAGATGCTTCTTTTTTTTTCTTGCAATCGCCGTTGTTCCGTCGTGTCGATTTGGTGTTCCACCTTTGTTGTGTGAGCGTGTGCTTTTTTTTTGAAGGTGTGACGCAGCCGATTTACGAGGAGCTTGGTGCACAATATGGCCAGCTCTGTGCGTCGCGCTGCCCCCTGAGCTCTGGATGCTGCTGCTGGCGTCTGGCTGCACTGCAAGTGATGTGACGTCCTCATCACATCCGTCCACACGCACAGGCGGCCGGAGCCCAGCCAGGAGCAGAGCTGTTCAGCAGCACTCACAATTCAGCAACATTTCATTTTGCGAGCGGGCGACGTTTGGATGTGTTGGTTGCACACAGTCAGCTTTGTAAAAATAAGCATCTTTGCCACCTTTATATTTGCAAGGTGCGCAGGAACAGATAAGATAGGGAAATATGGGATTTTATGCAAGGATCAGCCTTTTAAATAGGTCCAACGTCTGTTTGATGTGATCTGAAAAGGGTGTCAGATTGCGTTCAGCCAAAGGCTATGAAAGTATTTTTAAGCTGATATTTTCACAAAAAGGCAGAAGAAGCGTCAGGGGAAGTCTGCAGCTTCATGTGTCTTTTACTGAGCTGCGTGAATTTCTGCGTTTTGCTTGTCTGTCCAGTTACCAGCTCTTTTCTTTTTTCCCTTCATCTCATTTTCTAGCAGAGCAGGTGGCCTTGCTGTAATCAGCATTAAAGGTGATGATGTGTGAATGTTCACAGCCTGTTTCTGCTGCCCCTAAGTGGACAGAAAATAGCTTACTGCATGTTTTAAAGAATCTCCCTCAGTCAAAAGCTTGGCCATTTGTTTTATAGTTGTCTTTAAAGTGATAGGTAGCTGGTGAAAAAGGTTGGGGAACCAAACTGCTCCGAGTTAGCTTCAGTGGCTCAAACGGAAGAAAATAAATAAGTTAATTAGGACAATCTAGTATTCCCTGTATGTTTGACTGAGAGGCGTCATGCCTTATTGGACTTCATCCACCGGGTTTCCTTACTGTGGAGAGGCTCATGTTGAACTGAGGCTTGTGGCTGCATGTTATCCAATTGCTTGTTGCCAGGTTACAGGATGACTAAAGGGAAATTGAGGGTAGATGCAGAAATGATTAAATCAAGCTTATTCATTATGAAAATGAGTTGTTAAAAGGAAGCAGCCAACAAAAAAAAATCTGAATGATCTAATCACATGTTAAGATGGAGGCCACAGAACCAAGGATTTGGCCTCTTGGCACATAGAACACGTTTGTTCCCATTGGGCTGGCAGGTTGTGATGAGTCAAATCATTAGCCACCACATCTCCCACTGAGACCTGAGCCGTGAACTCATTCATTCTTGGGGGGGAAAAAACTACAAGGCATTAGATGACTCCACTGTATAATGATCTAATGTAAAACTGTGATAGCTCATATGTAAAGTAAAGCGGTATCTAAATCAGAAGTAAATGAGTATCAGAAGGATAAGAGTTAATGGAAAAAATGTTTTTATTAAAAACATTCAGAGCTGTTACTGATGCAGTCAGATATTGTGTTGCCAGATTTGCCCCAACTGATTGTCAATACTAATCCTCATCTACAAGAAATACCTCATAAGAATTCTATCACTTTGTTTCCTTTTACGGTGTTGTGTTTTTCTCTGTGAATGTTTTAAGCCTCAGCATCTCAGCCTCATTTATCTTGGCCACAGAACACTGCCTGCATACTGTAGCTATAATGTCAAGAGCTATCGTGAATGTCATTTCATCAGTAAAGCTTGAACTGGTTAGACTGTCCATAACACAGCAGGAATTCCTTCTTTTTATTCAGTTATTCTTTGCGACTAGATGAAAACCAGTGCATGGATTTTCTGCAGCAGCCGCCCTCTAATGAGGAAAAAAACACTAGAGGGAGACACCAGCTCATTCATTTCACATGCTTGTTGGTCATTTTGCTGACCTCAGTCTGACGACTGGCTGGTGTTTGACAATATTAGCTGTACTGCCTGACCACGCATACCTTACATATTCTAACTACCAATCAAAATGCAGCGTATCTACCACTTCGTCCAGGTTTCTGATCCAAGTGAGCATCGATCCAAACGTGTCATGTGACTTATCATGCTCTCAAAGATTTCAGTGAAACCATTATGATGTTACTGTTAAAGGTTAAGTGAGCAAATATTTCATTCAGAATTTTCCATATTGTTTTTGTTGATGTTTCCAGAGATTAAGAAGTGGCGTGCCATCTCAGTCATGTGAGTGTTCACAATAACCGCTGCCTGTGAACTGTGCTGGAGGGAAAAGTTCCGGCCTTATAAGGCAGTGGACTGCTGTTTCTTTAAAAACCAACTCTGTTCTTGGCACCCAGCCCAGAAAGTTTATTTCCCATTTCCCATCCAGCCACATGGACGGTGCTCTGCCACGCAGAGAGAACAGGACTTTTTCCCTCTGAGCGCGGCTGAACACAGACTGAGGAGTCCCGCTCCCACTGTTGTCCACCTCCCCGCTGACCGGCCCCTGCCCGCCGGTCCCCAGGGCAGCGAGGTATGATCCACACTCAGCGTGACAGCTCTCAGGGCTCCGTTACGCACATGGTTTGTGAGCATTGTGCATCTGCTTTTGTTAAGTGTGTGTGTGTGTTGCTGGTATTGATCCGCTGACAGCTGGACAGTGTGTCAACCGGCTCATTGGATTGTGCTGTGTCTGGTTTAAAGGTGCTGCTGCCATGTGAGAGCCATTGTCCCATGAAAACAAAGCCGCTTTTCACAAATTGATAATTCCACTCACCGGTCAGCCCAGCAGTGTGAGGTGTGTGTGATGTTGGCCATGAAGTAAGCTACTTTTGCTTTTCAAATACTTCTTTTATGGGGATTTAACCACGCGGCTAAAAGTCTGGAAACCTTGTTTTTTGCTCTTGAGGATGAATTCTTTTGAATGGAGAGAGTGTTGGTATGAACAATAAGATGAAGACTGAGAGTTTGGTTTGTTGAAGGACTCCTGGCAATGGTGAGCATGCTGTCTGAACATTCGGGTTTACACGCAGAGGCTGATGCCGGCTGAATGAACAGACCTTCGCACGGGACACGTTATGTTGTCGTAGTAATCCCCGTCAGACGTTTCTCCGCTCTCCGGCTGGCTTGTTGTTATGGGCAACGCGTTAAGAGGCTGCTGCTGATGTCTAAACTCACATTTTCTGGGAAATGAGGTCACAGCGAGACACACCCAGAGGCTCGGGCTGCGAGCAGGAAGGGCCAGGGCTGAAAGACATTCTTCAGTGACTCTTTCTGTAATTTATTTGCCAGAGGGAAGTCCATGTTTTGTCAGCATTTCCATTCAGTTTGGGGCACATGAATTCAGGATGTGGTATTTAAACTGAAGTTTAAATGGGAGTGGTCAACTTCTACTGAAATACACCAACAGACACCACATGACTGCCATAGCAAGACTACATAATAATAATCTTTCATTTCACAGTGATTTTGTCAGACTTAAAGAGTGAAAATTGATTTCCTTAAAATGAGGACTTTTTAGTTTTTGGAATGCGATTCATTTTTCCTTGCCCAAAAAACCCACAAGTCAGTGGACCAGCAATCATCCAGACGCTCACTCCTGCTGTGGACATTCACATTCAACAAGGGGAATCTCTTTGTAGTCACTACCAAATTCCATAACGATGTAGTCGGATGTTTTAGGACAATGAGTGCCTCTCTGATTTGGAGGTCAGGAGCCCAGATTTAGCAGAGCAGAAGGATGTGGCTGAGGGGACTGAGGCGGAAGTGGGGGTGTGGGGCAGAGCTTTGAGTCAACACAGGACTGTTTCTCAGACACTTCTGGTTTCGTGCCTCTCATTGGACTCACAGGCCCAGACTCAGACGCTGAATTACACAAGACAGCAGCAGACTGGCTTGTACAGGGGTTTTCTTACTCTGGATCAGTAAACTATTGTGATGCCTCAGCTATTTTAGAAATAGAAAAAGCACATATATGAATATATATTTCAATTTGAAAGTGAGTTTGTGATAAGCAAACAGACTCTTTTAACACTATATTGTCCCCTTTGTTTCTGATCTGGAGGTCCTGTTTCTGTAATTTCCCTTCCAGTAGAGACAGTATGCTAAAATGGAGAAAACATTGTCTTCAATTTGTAGCTGTAGATATCCTGGTTATGTCTGTCCATGTATATGAGATACAAATACTAAACTCTGGACTAAAAGTTGTCAGTGTGTGATACTGTTGATGCCATCTGCGAGCTAATGAACATCTAAAAAATGTAAATTAGGGCCAACCAATGTTTCCGTCCATCAGTCATTTCAGCTCTAGCCATTACATTGGTGTGAGATTTAAAGTTTGACGTCATATCTGAAACACTAGACACGCATATTTACACATCATCATATTTCAGCACCTACACTTAATTTATTTCCTATCTGACAAGATCAAAATGAAGCTCCCTACTGTGTTTGACAAGTCAGTGTCTCTGAGCGCATTGATGTGGTACAATGTGTGGAATGAAACAGTGTCTGACCTTTGACCTATGTGCAGTACACATTGAAGTGGAACGCTTCTTCCACATCCAGAGAGCATTTATGTAAACTTAATTCATTGTAAGCAAAAGTAAAGTTCTTGCCTTCAACGAGGATTGAAATAATTTTTGCCGCCCATCCCTGATGTGGATACAGTCCCAGCCTACTGCAAGACTAAATGGAGAACTTGTTTGCACTTGCTTGTGACAGCTGAATCCACGGAACCACTGTTGCCTCGGGAAGGGTCACATTTTTACCCATTAACACTGCTTACTTTGTACAGACCGTAACACATTTGCGTGAATGCGGGGATCAAAATTTGCAAGTCAATATCCATTTCTTTTTTTTAATGCAACGAGTGAGTGATAAGAGTTCATATTGTCATGTAGTGTCTTGTACTAGAGTTTGAAAACAAAGTGAGCGCGGTATTCAGAGCCGTGACCCTTTGCTCTAACAAAGCAGGCAAACTGGAAATGCTACATCTCTAAAACACCCTGAGCCAAGTCCCACTTTATCTCATGACTAACAACCAAAGCAACCGTGCAGCAGATCAGGCACCCTAGTGCCTCCCGCTTTCATCCAGCTACTACACCCCGAGTTGTGAGTGCGCTCCACTCGAGGGAGGAGACCTGTGAGGGCGGCCAGGCTGAGAAGGGAGGGGCCCACCTGTCAGTCGCACACCGCTGTTACCTGCTGAGCCGCCACGGGATCTGCAGAGGAGGTGGAAGACCTGAGGGAAACCTTTGCGCAGTCTGACCATCGACAAGGGAGAGGGAAAGCAAAATGGGTGGCACTCAGAGTCAAAAGAAGAGCAGCAGGCGTGCGAGCACAAGGAGTCACACCAGCAATATGTGAGTCAACTGACAGACCTGTGTGGTGGCCATTTGCAGCGCACTGCAGCAGGTTACTACTTACAAATGTGGCTGCTCGCCTCTCGAGCCTATTTTGTTTTTGGTGTCGTAATAACGCACCACCAGAAAGAGCAGGAATAGTCAAAACAGTGGCTTCAATACGGTCTTTGTAGAGAGGTTTTTCCTTTTGCATTTCATGTGAGATCGGTCTCTGTTCAACTTGCACACACATGCAAATATTCACACACTCTCAAAATACACCTATAGATAAGAGAGCACACAGACGGACCTAAGTGTTTGTCTGCTGATCTTACTGGAATGTGGATTTACATTTTAGCCTACATGTCACTTATGGTACAAAAAGGGTGAGATCTCAGAAACAACTTTATAAACATCTTCAGAGTGAAATACATCGCTTACAGACGGGTTTGACATGATTTTTACATGATATCTGGACACATTCACTGTGGTCTAATGAGAGTATGATGTCATTGTGGAGAAATATTGCTTTACAGTGTCAATATTTGCTTGAGGTGACTCATGTTCTTCATTCTGGGTGGCACTCTTGCAGGAAGTACTGAGCTGCAGTGCCCCCTGACCCAGTGGAATCTGTAAGCTGCTAAATACAGGCTCCTTCCAGAAAACAGTAAAGACACAGTACACAGCGTTTATAAATTTGGTACATGCACAGTGCTCAACTGGTCGATAGTGGAAAGAAAAGAAAATAAAATGGCAATGTTTGTTTCTTGAAAGAGGAAAAAAAAAGCAGCTGGTTGTTGGAGTAATGTTTCACCATGGCTGAGCACTTCATATAAAAAAAATTCTTAAAAGAAAAACACTTTTCTTACACGCATTAGCTTTTTAAATCCACCTCACATACAACTTTTACTCAACATTCTGGCTGCCCGTCTCACAGGCGGATTCAGAGGTGCCCGTCTCCTCTGATCTTACCCAAGCTTTAGGAGGCTTCTGCTGCGTTTTCGCTGACAGGGCGTCGGGCTGACACGCACCAGCATAACGCTCTCGTGCTTTCTCCCAGTTCTTATGAGATTTGGACCTGACCAAAGCCATGTCATCCACAGACATGGCAGCACCTGCTCCCAAGCCCGACTGAGACTTTCGGATTTTCAACTCAATCTTTGAGGAAAAGAGAACGGAGAACACGTCAGTCCTTCTCTTTCATGAACACCATCTGCTCGTGTTCTAATTAACGTTATCTTACCGGGTTTCTCATTCCTGTTCCTTCTTTACCCAGTCCCTCTCCTTTCTTCCAGCCCATTTTTTCCAGCATCTTCCGGCCTTTATTGACTTCATTGATCTCCCTTTTAAAGCACATCACACAAAGAAAAATAACCCCCTGGGTTCATTTCCACTCTGTGGCAGTTGCACTTAATGGCAGTGAACTTACTCGTGGATAGAAGCTGGTGCATCGTCTCGCTGGTAAACCCCCTCACTGCCCACCGTTTGCCGTCGGGACTCCGCTCGGTCCTTGTATTTGATGTTCTTCAGGGCTTTGGTCTCTTCCTGCTCGCAAAATCACAGATATCTTAGACGGCATGCACAAAAAAGGCTATAACTTCAGACAATCTGTAGTCAGTCTAACACTTACTTGCAGCCCATATTTGGCCTTCATCTGCTTTAGCTCTTTTTGTCTCAGTGATTCTTTATCCTCCTTAGTGGGGCCGGGACCTTTGGAAAAGCAGCATAGGTGACATCAGACCATCGTAATGTACACAAGAAAGAAGTTCTTTCTTTGCGTCTTTGCTCCTCTCACCAGTGACCTCCTCCCTCCTGTGTTTGCTGACGTGAGCCATCACTTGTCCAGGCTCACAGCCATCACAGGTATCGGTCCCTGAATGGATATGAAAGGACAGCACTGTGTCCCCCATCTTCACCTCGTCACCATGCATCAGCGCATGAGGCTCAGACTTGGTCTTGGGCTGGAGATAAAGCATTTGGTGACATCACTGTTGAATAAGTTTTTCCTGTTTATTCAACCAACCGGGAGCACGTGCTGACCTGTAATATTCTGTTGCCATTGAGGACCGTTCCGTTTTGACTGCCCTGGTCCACCAGCATGTAGCTCTGCTGCTCCTGGTCAAAGTACACCTCTGCATGAAACTGAAAGCAAAGGCAAGAAAAAAGTTAGAAACATGACATAACGCAGCACAGCCTGAAATGTTTTTCCCTTCAGGGAAAAGTAAAGATGGCTACCTTGCTCACTCCCATTTCCGGTATTCGAACTGCATGTTCCATATCCTTCTCTCTACAAAAAGAAAAAAAGATTGTGCTTCCAAACAGTTTGCTGAGCAGTTTTATGATCTTGCGATTAGCTTGGGTTGAAAGCCATGTACTTCAGAACTGCAGCCACAAAGGAAAGAGCACACTGACCTGCCAAACGTGGCCGGAGAGTCGGCCGTGATGACGAACAGCGTGCCCACCTGCAGCACTGGAGACCTGACCACGGTCACTCTCACACAGGGAGGCCAGATGTCTTTGACAGCTGTGAGAGAAATCAACACACCCAGTCAGCACTTGAATGCCTCCAGCGGCTGAAGCAGAAAAAAAACATGCATCCAAGTTTCAGCGTTCTGGCTCCAGTTTACACAGACTAAACTAATCGACCCAATGCTGATTTTGAGGACATTTGTGATGCAGCTCCTTGTCCCCCCTCACCTTCATGACTTTGTATATCCATTTCTGCCTCCTTTTCAGGGCTTTCCTCTGATAGGAAGCTAGAAGAGGATGAAGGTGAAGGCGTAGATTCCCAGTCTTCCTTCTCTGACTCTGTGATTTCACCCTCTTCTGGTTCACTGTTGCCCTCTGATTCTTCACTCCGGTGCTGGCTCTTTTTCTTTTTGTGCTTTTCCGATTTAGATTTCTTCTTTTTCTTACTGGATCTTTTCTTCTCCTTATGATGCGACCCATTTTTCATCTTCTTCCTCTTTGAGGAGGACCTGTCCCTCTCCTTTCGCCGTTTAGAGGACCGTTCTCTGCGTGGAGACCCATCAGGGCTACGTGACCTTCGATCCTGTTTTCGAGATTCTGCATGCCTCTTGAGAGTTTGACGCTCAACCCAATCTTCTTGTTCCTTTTTGCCATCATCATATTTGAACTCCTGCCACAAGACAGTCAGCAGTGAAACGATCCATCTTTTGTTCTTCAACGCAGATGTTTTGTCACAGAATTCTAATACATGGGTCTCAGTCTTCAAAAAGAATTCATCAAAGGCCCTTGCCAGAATTCACAGACATCCAAACAGTATTTTGCATTAAAACAGTTTTGACACGGCACCACCATCTAATGACGGCATCCAACATGTTAACAGTCGCTGACCCCCTTTGCAAACTGCCCGAATGACACCCTCAGCACACACACACATATTTGTGTTGATGCATGAAGGCTCGTATTCCATTTACAAACTGTTAAGGAGCATCAGAAGAATTAAAGGTAAAGACAGAAATATTTGAGTGCTTTTCAGTGGAGTACTAAAGGTATACCTCTGAAGGAGAGAGTTTTCCAGTAAGAGGAAATCTTCATTTTAGCCAAAGAGTTTGTCACATCTTGCACCTAGGTCAGAGGAATAGTCTTTTAGTCAACTAGCCTCATGGCAATACAAATGGGGAAAAATTGATGTTTTTGAAGACTGAGACCAATCTATGTCATAAGAATTTAAAGAGAAGCTACATCAGCCGTAACATTACCAAGTCGTAGATGAATGAAGAAGGATATCTAGTTGTTACAAACCTGATCATCTGGATGTGATGATTTTTTCACCCCTTTCTTGAGCTTTCTGACTCTTTTTTCATCTTGATTATTTTCTTGAAAGAGCTCTGAACTACCCTGTGCTGCAGGCACCTCAATCTTTGAATGAAACTGATACCGCCCGCTCTCTGCATCATAATAGTAATAGATCCCTGTACTGGAATCGTAGTACAACTGACTTGCCTGTGGAAACAAATGAAATGATTTAAAATTATTTTTAAAAACTTGGTTAAGTTTAAAGAAAATAGGACATTCCCTCTAAAATAATCTGCCAAAATCTGCAAAAACTAACAAACCGAATCATAGTAGAAGCCTGTGCAGTGGTCATAGTACATCCCAGTAGTCTCATCAAAGACAAAGCCAGTCTGTGTCATGGCTGCCTCAGCTGTGGCTCTCAACATATCAGCTATGGATCCTCCATCATCTTTCTGCAACAGAGTTATTTAGAGGAATGACGAGTCAAACTCAAAATGCATGACTCCAGTTTACACACCCCATCTCTACCATCATGTATACATAAATCTAGTCATATGGTTAGAATAAAATATTGAAGAGTAGTCAGCATATACAAACAAGAAAAAAAAGCACACCTCTTCAACAGCAGCACCGCTGCTGTCTGGTGGATCCGACACATCTGCAGCAGCCGCTTCATTTGCAGGTGGAACATCAGCTGCAACACTGCCATCAGCTGCAACACTGCCTTCCGCTGCATCCACTGCTTCTGCTGGGCCTACGCCCTCCTGGGCTTCTGCACCCTCCTGGGTTTCTGCACCCTCAGGGTGCTGGCTATAGCCTCCATAGTAGTAATTGTAATAATCTAGAGACAGATTTTAATGCTTGTTTTAAAACTGCCTTTAACTAATGACAGATTGTAGTGTTAATGGAAAAGCGCTAAGGAGTCACCTGTTTCTGTCCATACGTGTTCTTCCGTCTGAGTTTCGGCGCTGATTCGGTCTTTATCTTTCTTTTTGCGGCCATGAATCTCTGCACTCAACTGGTCAACCTTAAGAAATGAAGATAACACATTTGCATGAAGTCTATTTTTTCATTGGGGATAGAATAGAGATGCTGTTTTCCAACACCAAGTTTGATGCAGAAATATTAGCTGAACTTTAAAATGTCTTGTAGAAAGCACCAGAACACGAGAGAAATGTCCAAAACCTATTACTACAAGGCCACAACACAAATCTTTTGTTCAATAACGTTCTGTTAGCCACAGAATGATTAGTAAGTGTAGCTCAACAAGATGATGACAATCGGAGGTTCTTTCTCGTTGGAACTGACCTGTTTCCTCAGGTCTTCGTTGTAGCTCTCCGTGCTCCGCTGCAGTCTCTCGGAGTGGCTCAGCTGCTTCTGTAACTTGACCAGCTCGGCTCTGCACTCCTTCAGCTCTTGCTTCAATGACTCCACTCTCAGGCGGAGCTCGGTCACTTCAGATTCTGTGTCCGTTTCATCGTGCTCGTCCTCGTTCTCCATGAGGCACACCGAGACTGTTGGTTTAAATTACAAATAATCAACGTGAACGCCCTGGCACGCATAGAAGCAACATTTAAGCTAGCGCATCTGTTTGCTAATCATTGTTTTGACTGACCCTAATACGGCCCACAAGCTACATTAAAAAAAAGAAAAATAATACAAAGCCATTAGGTACGTAAAGCTAGCGATCAGGACGCCACACACCTGTTACCGTTTTCTTCGTTTTCTTTTTCTTCTACTTGAAATGTTCGTCAGCGCGGGACATGAAATGACCTGAAAGTTGAAAATAAACATCTTGTAACAGCGCTGCGTGTTTGACACAGCCGAGTACATGCTTTAATTCAATTAGACAGTTACAGTTATAACCGTGGAAATGTTTACAGTCCACCCTGTTCGCGACCGCCATTTACCACTAGATAAATGAGCCACAGCGGAAGTAATTCTTCTTCGGGTTTGGCGGACCATTCAACTGGTTTTGCCACGAAGTACTGCACTGCCACCCAGCGGCGAACCGTTTACAGAGCGGTGACCAGTTCAGTGCCTTTAACCTGCTTACATTTTTGTGTGTGTTATTTCTTTTTAATATTCTGGGTGTGTGTTTCATGTTGAGGTCTGCTAGGTGTCACTTGGGAAACCTTTCTTTTTCGTTTTGAAATATTGTTGTTCTTCTGCTGTCTGACTTCCAGGATGTTGATGCAGCTTTCTATCTCAAAAAAATATCTCTGTCCATTTACTTCTGTTGTTCTTTTATGTCAAGAAAGAGAGACAACAATTTCAGAAATAATCTCTTTCTAGATGGAAACGTACATTGATGTTTGCAGTGTTGTAAAGCAATGGCAGCATTGTGGTGTGGTTTTGCACACTCAAGAATTTACTCTCTGGGAAAATATGTGATAACTTTTAACTTGCTTTACCTTTTTTTCAATTTATTTTTTTATTTACTCATGGTGATCAGAAAATGTTTTCAGCTCAGGCCCTGTTTCAGTTGCCAGTAGTCTCTTTGACCACCAGATGACAGTGCAATACACAGATTCTGCTGCTTGACGCCTCAGAGTTGTCTATGTAGAGGCTGAATAGTGTGGAGCTTTGAACAGTTTAGTCTAAAAGGGATACTTGCTTTATTCCGTGGCTGAACCTGGTGATAACTTGGCATTGCTGTCGCTCAGTTTGTAATGTCCACAGCAGGCAAACATGGAGACCTAGCCTGTGTTGATGTAGACTTCTCATACATATCTCTGTCATTACTCCACTAGCCCTCCCTCTCCCCTGTTTCTCACTCAAATACATAACGGTTCCTCTGGTCATGTTTTTGGTTATGTCTATCCTCCCTCGCCTCCTGCCCCTCCTCATGTCAGTTCCTCTCCCTCTGACCTTTCTGTCCAATTCCTTTTTCATTAATTCATATCCGGGGAACGCCTGATATATTCACTCAGTTTGTTGGTACATACAAAATCATGCTATTATTTCTAAGCTCTACAGGAAGGATTGTTATGTAATTTGATTCTTTGATTGTCTTCTGCTCTATTTATAGAGAAAAAGTATTTAAAGTACTGTACATAAACATGAGTCCTTGGTCACATTTGAAATGACACAGTCAAAGTCAGTTCAGAACGAGTATAGCAAAAGGAAGAGAGGGAGGAAGAGGGCGATGAGAATTTGTTTTCTGATTTTAGCGTCTTTTCTGTTTTTTTCTATGACCCTTTGGGGTTCCTCCCACTATATTTGAAACCTGAGCCCTTCAGACTTATGTTTGGGTTCTGGTGCAGTACTAAACCACCTTGACAGGAGCTCTGAAGTCTGTGCTGGTAGCAGTCTTGAAGAATGGGGTGGTCTTTAATCAGAGGGCACTCACAGCTGCCTACTGATGTTTATTGATGCCATTTTTAGACAAGAAAAGAGCTTACTTGAGCAGTCTAGAGAAGGGGGGGGGGTCAATTAAATAGACACTGAATTGTTAGGGGTTTTTATATATTTTCAGTGACAAAAGGAATAACAATGAAGACATAATGTCCTCCCTCATTCGGCAACCTTTTGTGAAGGAAAACCTCATACAGGAGTCAGTTTACCACTCCTCGTTTTCTACTCACCCACAAATATAGGTTTCAAAATAAATACGGAAACAGCTCTCTGCACACTCCAGTGATAATGACTTTAAACGATCAACCAAATATGGACGCAACTGATGCGTTTACCCCTTTCTTTAACTCCAGCCACTAGCTCCACAAGACTCAGACAGTAAATAAGTGGGGAGAGAAAAAACTCCACCCTTCCAAGTCAAATGTGGAAACTCTGAGTATGACTGAGGTTGTGTGTCTTAACTCCTTTACGGGAAACTGGCTGCTGCCTCTGCTGCTGCATACCCACGTTTTTTATACCAGAGTAGCAAAGACCAATTAACAAGAGGGGGCATTATTATGCTGCCAGACATGGCAAACAAACACCAAACAATGGTTTTGCAACATATAAAGGGTTTCTGGAAAAGATGTACAAGTCACTGTTATTCTGGGGGCGGGGATTGATCATCATCTCACCTCAAATCCCAGCCAATGGCTGAGTTTAACTGATAGGTGAACTCATGATAGGGAATTATATTCATTTTGGACTCTTAGGGTCCACTTAAAATCTTTAGCTAAATAAACAAACTTTTGGATGGTGGGAGGTAGCCCAAGTACCTAGAGAAAACCTAATGGTCATAAGAAAGACATGCAAATGAATGTTAATAGTTTGTGTTACCCTTTCATCAGATTTCTGGCAAATTGTTATGTTTAGCATTTAAGAAACCTTTCTAGTGCTTATGTCAAAAGCACTGTACAACTTTTCAGACCATACGACTGAACTCTTTTAGAATGGAGGCCTCACACCTGATCAATGCTGCTCACAGCCAGTAAACAAAAATATCACGATCATGATAAGCATGATCAGTGTTTGGTTCTTGGTTGGGTTTACATTTGACAGAGTATTGTTTGGCTTAGATGTTTCAGGCATACACGCTTGTATCTTTGGCATGTCTATACACCTGTATAAGATATCTCAATAGGTGTTATTATCTATTAGTGAAGCACAGACTGTGGTTTCCTGAATGACCACAGATCTGAGTTGTCACCTCAGACAAATTGAATCCAGCCAGGTAGTTCTCCTGAGGCTATCCAACAGAACTGGTTCGCCTTGTCACGCATGCCTGTCTGCGGTTGGATAGGAGAAACAGTTAACTGTTCAAATGCCTCAGGAGGGGGACGAATAAGTCTTTAAGATCCAGCCCCACATTCCTAACCTCTCTTTGGACTATAAAAATGTGAAGCCCCAGCAGTTGGGCTCCTCCTCTACGTCCTCCTCCTCCCTCTGTGTTTGTTTTGTGCTTTTCTGCCTCAGAGTGGAAGAGCGTCTGACAGGGACGTACCATTCTGTAACCACAGGGGAAGTCATTTAGGAGAGCAAAGAGAAGCTGCATTCCTTTTTCTCAGTTTCAGGCATCCTGCCTCCCCCACTGCGTTTACTGTCAGTGAGCTGTTCCGAGGTGGAGGGGAAGGGTTGGTGGGGGTTCAGAGGAGTAGAGGGTGAGTAGAGCATTTGAAAAACCAGCTGATCAGAGCTAAGGTATTCTTCCACAGAAGCAGAGGGAGAGACTGCCTGACTCAAAAGACAAGGGAGGATAGATTGTGAGCTTATTGGTACTTAGATTGGAGCCTCTCAGGGATGCCTTCTGTCATGGAAATCTGGAAACTCACCTGAAGGAAAAAGCCTTAAGAAAAGATGTAAGAGCTTGTGGCAGGGGGTGAAATCTGAGGAAGTCTCACAGAAAAGGAGAAGTCAAGAGCTGGAAACCAATCCCTGGCTTAAGAACTCCGTGGAATAGAGAGCAATGTCTTGGTTATCACCAGTGTCATGGGCCAAATGGACGTGGACGGCGGTACGAGGCGCAGAAGGAGAGGAGGATGAAGAGAGGCAGGATGCCAGCGAGGAAAGGGAGCAGTATGGAAAGGCAGAGGAGGAAGAGGAGGAGGAGAGATCTCAAGGCTGCAGGCAAGTGTTGTGCTGAAGCCCTGGGACTCCAGCCCGGGTGATTCACGCTGTCTGAAGTGGAGGAGGGGGCTGTTCAGTTTTACCTCTACCTGTTAGGTTGGGGTGTCTTCACCTTTAATGGTCTGATGAAGCAGACGGAGGGAAGGAACAAATCTCTTGTTTATGTGCACCGACATTTTGGTTCTTTCTTCCTTGTGTGGCTTTTGAAGCGCCGACACATTTCTGTTGTGGCTGTGTTTTAAATAGTTCCTGGATGTATTTACTCACCTCCTTGACACATCCTCATTTCTGACACACACTCTGTCAGTGCACTCAGGATGTTTTCAGCCAAATGATTACTACAAACACACAAGAGAGGCACATGCTGAAGTCTTCAGGACCTCACAGTCTCTGCCCCTCATGCCTGATCTGATAGCCAGATTATCTTAGTTTCTGTTCCATGTAGATAAAAACACTATCTGGTGCTTTTTTGTGCTCACTTCCACCCTCAAACACCTGCCCAGATACGGTATCAGTTTGCTCAAATATAAAGTAAAACTCAGATCAATATGTCTATCAATGAGGTGTCATGGCTTCCTGGAATGATGTGACAAACAGATCTATCTTAAAATGGCTGTGCTGTAAAGTAAAAAATGAATGATCAGTTAACTGAATGATCTGTATGCATATATGTGAGATCCATATTTTCTCCACAGTTTGTATTTTAAAGTTTCATATCTTACGCTATATTGTTCTTAGAATGTAACAGGAAATCTTAGGCTACCCTACTTTTACTTCCTCTTCCTCTGTGTAGCGTTTTTCGTTTTATCTTTGGTAACTCTTTCCCACTCACTTGTTTAGTCACATTACAGTTAAAAAAGGAAATAGATTTTTAGACAGACTTTTACACTAAAGTCTTAGCATCAGCACATTCTCTTTGCAGATATGGTGTCAATAAATAATGTTTACTGCTTGATTTAACCGTTATTTTTCAGAGTGAGGTCACTGTAAAGCTTTGCAGTACCAGGTGGATCATAACATGCTCCTGGCAAACTTTCTCCTTTGTCATGGGCCATCTCATGTCTGTCAGACCCAAAAATATTAAAGCATGATATATGGGACGTCGCGTTTTTTGCTGCTCCAAACTTGTGATGAAGAACATTTAATGAGGACTTGCTGTCACAAGCTCACACAACCCTCTTCTTATTTGTCATCAATCTTTTACTCTGTTTCAACCTATTCCTGTGAAGTGCTGTTTATTCAGTTCTACTACAGATACTTGGCATCTATCTGGAAAAAATATCTAAAATTTCCATGACTCATTTTTCATAGGACAGAATGCATCAGTGAGATTAATCTGAGCATTTTTCTACCCTTGGTCATTTTGATGCTTGTACTGCCTATGTGCAATAATGTGTGTAAAGTAGCCATTTTCAGTGCAGAACTTTTCTTGTGGCAGATTTGTACCCAAACCTCTGGCTTTCGGTATTTGTGGTGTTAGCGCCATTTATCTGTTATGTAATGGTCACTCTGTTCTCCCCTCTCATGCACTGCAGTTCTGACTCAGAGGGTAATTTTGGAACTCCTGAAGCAGCTACTCCTGTCCACACCCCTCCAACTGTCCCGGAAGAGCTGGAGAACAACAACACTGATGCAGACAAAACAGGTGAGGCCACTGATGAGCAACAACACGTAGCCAAAGGGAGGGGGGGGCGAGGGCAGCTGACAGGCCGGCCAAGACGTAGGCGCTGTGAATCCTCTGGGTAGCCAAAGGTTCTCAGATCAAAAGAACTGCCTGTTCCAACACCCAGCACATAGTCTGTGAACCTTTTTCATGTTCCTATGGAAACAAAAGGCTTTGAGTGCCGAAGTTCATTGTAAGCAAAAGAAGAAAAAAATGTAATCTGAGAAATCATGTAATATGATCACTTTTAATGGAATATTTAGACCAGAAAAAGGCCCCCAGGTGTCTGAAATGTGTGGATAGTGCATCAAGTTAAACATGCTGAAGTAATTGCACACATGCTGACAATTTTAAGAATGTACCTACATACCTGAAGCAGTTCAACTTTCACTGAGGCTTTAACTCGCTTTTATACTGAACACAACAACTTTCTGGATAACTAAAGACTTTGTGTGTACTATACAGTGCATTGTTATTAAAGGTGTTGTTATTGCAGATAATCATCCATCAATTTTCTGAAAAGCTTATTTCCAAATGGGGTGGTGGTGCAGATAATTCATTTTAACTAATTCCTAAGCCAACAGCTAAATGAGTTCTCCTTCCTGCCATGCAAGCTGGTATGCACTGAGTGGAGGTTTTGGGTGGGATTTGGGTGTGATCACTTTCGAGGCCCTACTACTGACATTTGAATCACTAAGAGGAGGAGCTTGTGGCAGAGTGTGGGAATGACCTTTGCTCTGGAATTCAACAGGTTCAACAAAAGCTTCAGCTAGCTGTGCTTTAGACTGGGTTCTGATGACGGGCACACAGAGGGAAAACACTGAACAAAGCATGTCAAGTCACACTTTGAGGAGGTTTTTAGGAGTTAACCCATCGTGTGTTATGCAGAGGCTGCTCTGGTGGGAGTACATCCCTCGTGCGATTATGGCTACAGCGACACCCACCAAAAAGTAACATAGCAACAATCGCCTCTGACATCCTTCTGCAGATATCTGCCCTCATAATGCCCTCTTTCACCTGCATGAGAACTCACCGGTGACAGAAGTGACCATATGTGATCAAATAGGCGGGGTTGACGGGCTGAATAAAAATCACACACTTGCATTGTGGAAGTGTGAAGCAAAGAACATAGAAAACACAGGCTCTGGCAGTCTCCTAGCAACATAATGTTACATGAATATGGTGGGTATGACAAGCATACTGAAATATGCTGCCATGTCAAAATGTTCCCTGGAGCTAATAATTGCTCCATGGCAGCCATTCTGTCTGTTGTCCTCAACACACAACACAAGATAAATCATGGCTACCTTTATGTTTTCAAAATGCAATACTTTGTGCCCCTAGTAATAAAATGTCACCATGGCAACAGGAGCAACTAGAACAGATGGTTGCCGACTGCCCTGCTCGCTTAGATCCAATCAGATATCTTCTACATCTGAGTTTAGATTTGATTGGACAGATTTTGACTGGCAGCGGGAGTGGGTGTTAATCTTACATTTTGATAGTTTTACTATTAATCTGGTGTTGTTTCACTTTTTTGGGTTTTCAGACTTGGAGCAGGAGGAAAGGCTGATAGTGATGGCCCCTGTCATGGATCAGGATGTTTTGTTAAGCCAAACCATGGTCCAGGGCGAGCCAGTAGTCCCAATAGGGCGACCAAATGAAATAAATGTCCCAAATCTAGAAGACGACCAAGCAGGGCAACCTAAACAACACTTGGACTCTACTGCTCCTGATTCACCCTCTCCAAAGGACATAGCTAACTGCATGGCTTCATTTTCTGAGTCATCACAAATTTCAAACCTTAACCATGTTGAGGATCACATCGTACATGTATCTCCATCTTCAAGCTCCCCTCCTTCCTCAATACAGAGCACTGAACCTGCAGCCTTTTCTGCTTCAGAGTCATCTGAGGACAAGGCCTTGGTTGAACCAGAACCACAACAAAGTGACCTTGCAAATCACGCAGAACCAACTAAAAAGACAAAAACCAGAAAATCTAAACCTCCATCGCTAAAAATGGAGGCCCCGCTGACAGAGCTTGAGGAGCCAGAACTCTCTATTCCCAAGGCCACATACAACTTTGACCCCACCCAGCTGGATGATAGCTTTAATCCCTTCACCAGTGGAGGATCCAAAATCCAGAACTCTCCCCCACCATATGGCCCAACCTCTCACACCAGGCCTGAGACACTTGGCAGTTCATTTCCTACTTGTGAGGACAGTTCAGCAGCACAATCTAACTCAGAAATGATTGAGTCCTCATCAGATGTGAAGCCTGTCCTCTTGGAGTTTGGTCTGGATGAGGGAATGGTCAGCAAGCCCCCTCCAAAGAAATTTGGGGGGAAAAAGCCAATCAGCAAACTTGCTGCAAAGAAGCAGAGGCCCAAAGGATCAGACGCCCACAGCAAACCTTCACTAGAATCCCCTGTGTCAGAGGCAAAGTCTCAGCCAGTGGTGGAAACAGTAACAGAGGCACCCCATCAGTCTACGTCAGAATCAGTGTCAGAACAAGGAGAAAAAGACTCCTCCGCTCCTCTAAACCTGGATGACGTTCCTATTGCTAAGACCGGAACCTACAACTTTGATCCCAGTCAGTGGGATGACCCAAACTTCAATCCATTTGGTAGCAATAACAAGATGAGCGGCTCTCCTGTGCTCCCTAAGAGCCCTAACAGCGTTGACCCAGATCATTTTAATGATTCTGTAGACCCTATAAAACACTCTAAATCCCTAAGCACTGAGGATTCATCCAGCAGTGTCTCTCAGCCAGAGACAAAAGTCAAAGAAGAAGTCAAGCAGAAAGCACGACAGACACCTGGGGAGAAGAAAGTGAGACAGATTCCAAAGAAAAGCAAAGAGAAGGCAAGCACGTAAGTGTCTGTTTGCACAGAGAAGAAAGCGGATTTAACAATGTGAAATTATCCAAAGAAAAGGAACAATACCCCAATTGACATATTTTGCATCATCTGATTTAAAGTTTATTGATTCCACATAGTTTTCCATTCACAGGCCTTACAACATGTTGGACAAATACCAAACCATACCTATACTTAGAAGACACAGCAAACACTTAGCAGTGCATGCTGACCATTGAAGTGGCTTCGAAACAGGATGTATATATAGCGGGAGTTAATGTGCTCACAGCTGCAATGGTCAAACTACATTTAGCTTTTTCACGCCTCTCTGCATCTCGTGTTTATGATCGAACTTTAAACTATCTGCTGAGTACCTAACATACTGACACTTGTGGTCACTCACCACCCGCCCCAACCCCCCTTCCTTTGTCTCTTGGCTCCCTGTGCTGCTCTTTGTTCCCTTATCAAAATACTCCTTGCTTTTTCCCCTTCATCCTCCATCTTTCCTCCCGTTGTCTGCCATGCAAACTTCAAACTTCTGCTTTCGTTCGTCCACTCACGTCGGCCTCAGGACATCCGAACGAGTCAAGTTTCTCTGTTTTCTGTTGTAAGTACTCTCCCTATAGAAGCTCTGTTTCTTTCATGCATGCTTGCTTCTCACCGTACTCATCATGGCACATGCTGTGTCACAGCTGACTGCAGAAGGAGCATGTGAGCCTAGGTAACATTCACCCCACCTTTGCTTCTGCAGACCAGACCATCCCTTCATTTACTAGCTGTCTACTTTGTGAATATGACCCCTTCAGATTTTGTGCAGGACCAGTATGGTTATATACGAGTGTGGCTTGACTTTACTTGATGTCCACCAATTTTGCAAGAAGTCATAGAAATACTCACTTGATGTTTTTCCTAATCAGTTTAGAATAATATGTCTTTTAAAAATCTCAAATATTTCTCGAAAGTTCTCATTATGTTCCTGTACTTTTTTTTTTTTTTGCAGGAATTCCTGTAAAGTAGAGAAATATGACGAAAGTCAGTCCTTGGTCCTGGACGTATGTGATCAGGTAATTTGTGTGTCTGAGAGAGTTCCAGAAATGTTGCACCTTACTGCAGTGACTTACTTACTGCAATGCATATTATTCAGCAGCTGTCCAAAATCTTTGCCTCAGCCACACACACACACACACACACACAGTCACACAAGCAGAGCTCCAGCAGCAGACAGAGACATCAGCAGTGCTTCCAGCTCTGCGGTACAGTGTTGGCCTGCTGACAAATCTGTGACAGATCACTCTGTCGTCATATACTGGTCTAATTCTCACATGTGCCCTCTACAATGTCAGCTCTGTCATCAGATAGAGAAAAATATTATGAAGCCGCAGATAACCTCACATCGCCACACCTTATTCATCACAGGCTTTATGACTTGCTGCACTGTCCCTATTCTAAAGCTTGTGAAAAAAATCTGTGGAAGTAGAAGTGTGAAACTGGAAGCAAAGGACCGTACTTACATTTTGTTACAGAAATAGAAAGCATGTCAGCTAACTCTTTGCAGATATAATGATGTGGAAACTTTTCATTGTAATAGAGGTTATTGCTCTTTTTTTAATGCTAAGGATAAAGAAGAAGCGGTGGCTCCGACCCCAGAGATAACTCAACGAGTTCACCACGCCACAGATGAGGAGAAACTAGCGTCCACTTGCATGATGGGTCAGACAACAGACAGCCAGGAGGAGGTAGAAGACACACAATGTAATAAAACACCAGTGAAAAAGCAGCCGCCTGCCATGGAGGGTAAGTTTTTCCTCAGAAGATCCAATGTAGCACTTACAAGTTAAACGTGGAATTTTGGACAAATAACGCATTCAAAAACCATTAATATAACTTATAAAATTATTGGTAAACACTATACACTGCTGTATTTGTAATCTAATAGTGTGTTTTATTTTCACAAAGTTCCTGAGATCAAGGCTATAGATCACCAGGGGGAGAAGGACACCTCCTGTCTTAAAGATGATGCAGTAAGTGCGTTATTCAGCATTTCTGGATTCTGTTACATCAGCTGCTCAGAAGATGACAATTCAGTCAAAATAGGCCCTGATTTGTAATCATTTTCATAGTGAGACGAAACAGTTTGTATAGATATCCTACCATTGCTCCTATTAGTCTGAAACAGCAGTCTGAGACCCTTACTTATAAAGATTGCCAATGAGCATAAATGAAACTGTCCATGATTGATTGATTGGTTGTATTGCACAAACTCTCCCCAAAATAGCTTATAAAGATAACTGATTGACATGTCTGAGCAAGCAGTTGTGTTTGTTGTTTTCCCCAGAATGAGGTATCCGTGCAGAAGCCAGCAAAAATAAGCTGCACTGAGGCCCTGAACACAGCAGCCCTATCACAGGACGGCATCCCTATGAGTGAGATGGACAAGGCTGCTGTGCTAACCCTCATAAGAGAGGAGGTATGTCCCTTCTGCGCACAGGCGTAGGGGGCCAAGGACATAAAGAGAAATTTAGACAAGGTTTCAACACGCCTTGTCCTGACCTTTCAATTTTTCCTTTAACAACAGATTATCACTAAAGAGATTGAGGTCAATGAGTGGAAGAGAAAATATGAGGCGAGCAGAGCAGAGGTTATGGAGATGAGGTATGACACGATTGTTTCTCTGAGGCGTTGCTCTCTTCTAGTATTTTGCAAAACATAAATGATTGATAAAATGCCAAGTCGATTGTGACATGTCTTTTGTTCAACAGGAAAATAGTTGCAGAATATGAAAAAACGGTTGCCCAGATGATCGGTAAGTTGCTGCCACCTGGTGGTAGTTTTTTTGTTGTTTTATAGTTAGTTTTTGACTAAATTAAGTCCTTTGAAACAGACAGACCATAGACCTCTGGCCCCTGAATGTGTTGCTTTAAGTAATGTATTTGTGATTCACAACTGTTAGGGATGTATTTTGCACAAAGATATAAAGACTTTAAATAATAAAGTGAGTTTTAAGGTTTGTGCCTTAGCTTTGTATTGAGTTTTGGTCCTAGATGAACAGTAAAAGTAAATGTAACAAACATTTTATATTAAACCTGAAGTAATGATATTTGTTTGACTTTTTGAAGCGTCCGATGCACCATAGCTTTCCCTGTAACATACTGGTCTGCTGGTCCTTGCTCTTTTACCTCATACTTGTTTTCCTAACCCCTCACTTTTTCCCAAATGCTGGTTTTCAGGAAGTACAAACATTATCAGTCATGCTGAGTTCAGGTCACTGACTTGTTAGTGTGTTAAACAGAGTAAAATGTGCAGCCATTACAAAGCAGTTTGCTTTCTGCTGCCTTTGCTTAAAACTGTAGAGGTCCCCAGTAACAATAAAAACAGCCAAAGGTCCTACGATCAGTTGGATGTATCATGTAATAACTTCTTCAATTTAAACTCAATAGGACATAGATGTTGGTCAATGAAACACTTTCCTCTTCATATCATAAAACTACGTTTACATTTTTTTTTCTTCTGGTCTGGAAGTGGTAGTATATATTTCTGCCTTCTCTCAAAGTCCCTCTATGTTTGCAGAGGATGAACAGCAGCAGAAGAGCCTCTCCTGTAGTAAGTCGGTCAGGCAGCTGACTTTGGAGAGAGATCAGGCCATGGCTGACCTCAACTCAGTGGAGCGTTCTTTTGCTGATCTCTTCCGGAGGTATGAGAACATGAAGGGAGTCTTGGAGGGCTTCAAGAAGGTACGCGTTAATCTTGTGAGATGGTGTCCAGATTCATGTTGTGGCTCAGATCTGTAAAAAAAATGCTTTGCTACAATGTGTGCAGAATGAGGAGGTGCTGAAGAAATGTGCACAAGATTATCTGATGCGTATTAAGCAGGAGGAGCAGAGATACCAAACCCTCAAAGTCCATGCTGAGGAGAAACTGGATAAGTACGGTTCATTTTCTGCAAGTTGCGATGGTACCAGTCTATCAATAAACACAGTTTAGAATCATGAATCCATTTTTATTGTAAGCCTTGACATATTTTCTATTTATTTTCTCTCTACCAGGGCTAATGAAGAGATAGCTCAGGTGCGTGTCAAGGCCAACTCAGAGAGTGTTGCTCTAAATGCAAGTCTCAGAAAGGAGCAGATGAAGGTTGAGTCACTTGAAAGAGCTGTCCTTCAAAAGGTAAGAAGGATGACTAACTCTAACCCTAACCCATATATTTATACATATTGTGTCCTCTTTAGTGTCAATCCACTAGCATGTATCAAACACAAGAGGGCAGTGTTTAATTTGTTAAAAAACTGAATCCTGCTCTGGACCAGAACAATTTTTTTAACTGATTCCCAGTGACAGAAATGTTTGAATAAATATTTTTTTTTAATCGTTGTGCCCCCTTTCAAAGTTTTCAACGTGTCTTTCTATTTTCTTCCGTTTTTCCCAGAATCAAGAGATCGAGGAGCTCACCAAGATCTGCGATGAGTTGATCGCCAAACTGGGACCTGATTAAGAGGCCTATGATGGAAGTTTGTGGCACAAGCAGCAGTGCTTTCTCATAGCAGCACATTTTAATTCTGTTCACGAGCACACATCAGCACATGTTCCCTTACTGTGCTGTTTTAGTCATTCTGTTTTTTTTTGTTAAAGTATATCTTCCCAAAAGATGTTCTGGTTGCAGTTGCTTATTTTCTCATTTCTGGCTGAAATATAAAACAAGAACAATAATGGTGTGTTGCACTAATCACGGAAACTGAAAAAAAGCACAGAAGTTTTACAAAGTCTTGACGAAGACATGTGCTTTGATAATCTTCTCTTTAAGATTTGCTGAAGGGTTTGCCGTAAGTTTGAAATATTCATCCATCTTTTAAGTACTGGGCTTGTTTCTTTGAAAGGTGTGAGCTGTGGTTGTCAAGGCATTTTCATTGATATTTTAATCCTTGCACGTCCTGGAATAAGGGATCAGTGATGCCTACAGAGTTCATCAGACTTTTATTTTATCTTTATTGAAGCACATTTGCAGTAATTACCCGCGTTAATGTAACAATCCCACTCAGAGAAAATATAAATCTTTATGCTGAGTCGCTAAATAGATTTTTAAAAGAAGAGTTTACACAAAATACCCCTTGTGCCACATAAATCAAGAAAATTAAGAGCATTCAAATGAAAACAACATATTTGTTAGGTGACAGTGATCGGTAAAACTTTATTTTTGTCATACTATAATCTCAAACCTTGTGCCATAATTCTTTTTCTATGATGAAAATGAGAAAATGACCTGCTGCCATGTAAATATTTTTATTTTGTAGGCTACTCTCATTTTTCTGTGTGCAGATGTTGCAGGTGTTACATTATTTTGTCTATTTTACTGAAGTAAACTTTTTTCATTGACATTCATGCAGTTCCAAATTCTGTTGCCAAAGTGTACTGTATACATTGTTTGGTGTTTTTCTTTTTTTTGGTTGGTGTTTTTCTTTTTTTTTTGCCTGATACTAATTATTCTGAGCTAGCCAATATGGGTTTGCAGTTTTATTGCTTTACCTGTGGTGATATGCCGACAAAGCCTTTGTTTTAGGGAGCCGAAGTACATAAAATTCCATTTGCCAGCATAAACATTTTCTGGTGTGAACTTGAAGGAGCACATTTGTGCAGCTCTGGTCAGTTGAGTATCATAAACAGATTTTTCTATGGACACCCTCTGTACAATCAGATGCCAAATATCAATACATGATGTGCCCCCATGCCCAATTGTGGTGGTGTTACAGTAGCATGAAGCTGCTTATTCATTGTCAGTATATCATGTGTATATTTTATACTTATATGAAAAGAACATCTGAAGTTGTGTTGCTTATATTTGTAAACTTGAAGAATAAAGTATGCTCAAATTGTATTGTTACCTGCTATATTTTGTGCGTTCCTGAATAAAATGTTATGGTTTAACCGTATGTCTCTGTCCTTTGTCTGTAACCACTTCAGTAGAACCACAAACAAATAACACATACATGCTGGTGGACATGTTCAAGTCCTTGCCTCTGGCAAGGAACACAGAAAGCCAAGATTGTCACTGTTGTTCCAAACGACAAGCCACAAGACTAATTGTGGCACGCCACACCTGCCACTTCTTTTTACGAGCACATAAACATGACTTGTTTACATGCTTTGCATGCAAGTTCTTTTCACCTTTTTGATATAAACATCCTGTCAAAATTCAGATTTTCATCATTTTGGAAAAAAGTTATTCACTGAACTGTGGTCTATTAATCAAGGTGTTGCATTTGTGTTCTGTTGCAACTTGAACTAAAAGACTTCTGTTTTGGAGAAAAACTGTCAATTCTATCTTGGAGTTAAGAGGAGATTTGTTAACCTTTGCTCTTTGTTAACTGGCTTGTATTAATGATTCATTTGAAATGATTTGCTATTAGCAAGAACAAAAAAGTCTATTTATTCTCTAATATTTTAATTGTCTTTCATTCTCAGAGAATACAACCATCGTCTGAATGGTAAATACCTCTGGTGCAACATAATGCATCCTCTGTGGGTTTACCCTTCTTAAACTGACAAGTTCATGTTAAAGTGTGAAATAAGGCTTGATTTTTGTAATCCCTCTTACATGTCTCTACAGACACAGCAGAACATTCAGTGTCCAACTTATTGCTGGTTTATCTTTAAAAATGAATTCATGTGTTTGCAGTGACAGGCATTACATCAACATATTCACTTCATATTTTACCTTAGCAAAGAATTCTTTCTTTAGGCATTACCATCCCAAAAGCATCTGCTTTTGATGCCTGTTTTCCTCCACATGGTGGTGTGATGAAAACTCTGGGTTGCTCCAATACTCTAGGTGACACACTACATTGCTATGCTGTAACAGTCAAGGGCATATCTATTTTCCCTTTTCCTCCACAAAAAGTTTCTGTTTTAAAACTATACACTTTAGAAACTATAAAGAGCTTAAAATGTGAACAACTTTTTTGGACAAACTATAACTTCTACTACTTTACTTGTTAATTTAGATAAACTTGAGAAATAATTACCTGTGCCTATATTTTATTATTACTTCTTCATTACTTGATGGCATCACGCATTTTACACAGTGAACACGCTTTCAGTGAAACGACTAATGGTCATTTACGGGTATTTTGCCGGTGCAGTTTATCTGATTGAACTTTTTTATACACAAGCAAAAGGTATTTTTACTGAAAGACACAATGAAAACTTCCCCCCCTCCACAGACAAAACTTTGCGGCTTGTATTTCGGAATCCAGACACAGGCCCCGTCTCTGTGAGACATTCAGGACCACCGCCTGTTGAACGTTTTTTTTCTCCCCGGGCTTGTGTTTTGTAACCCCGGTGGATTGGTCAGAGGGGGCGGGGTCAGGATGCTGAGGCAGATTCTGATTGGCTGTTCTTTGTGCTGAGGAGTGGGACGGGGGGCGCGCGGCCAGCTGTGAGGGGAGCCCGGACCGAATCAGCCTGGAGAGTACTTAAGGGGCGAAGAACCTCTGCTTCACACCCCATCCTCTGAAATAGGTTGGAAACTCGAAAGTCAGCCTACAGTGTTCGTGGCTCTCTATCACAGTAAGTCCTTTCACTGGTAAGTTTCCTCCTCACGTTGCCTCGTACGCTCATGAATATGAATCTCAGATATCAAACTATTCCTTGCAAACTGTTCGACTGACGGCGTAACTTATTTTCACGTTTGTCGCATTCATATGAATTTAAATTTGTATTCCAACCAAAATTTGTTTTTATTATTTATTAATATGATTTTTCTCAGACAATGATTTGCTGAACTTTTATTCAATTTGGATGCTATCAGCGCCGCCATTTTTGGAATATTTGTTTCTGTCTTTTCTGTGAAAGTTTCTGGACATGGTGCATTTCCCCCCTTAATAGAACACCAGGTATTACACGAGTTCTGGCTTTGACTAAATGCAGTTAATAAACTATGTGAGAGTTGTTTGTTCACTTAACATTCCTTGGAAATATGAATTCTATTAACAAACATCTGTTATTAATCCAGCATATTCCTTGTTTTTCTTTATAACCACCTCAAATGTTCCATGCTGGTACCACAAGTCCAAACTGTGAACATGATTCTGTAAAATCTCTGCTTTTTTATTCAAATTCACTGCTGTCTCGTGCTGAGTACAGCTTCTTTGGGGAGATGAGCCACATGTTTAATTTAAGCTCCAAAGTGATGTCTCACAGAGGCAGAGAATTTATTGACCTTGTACTGCAGGGTGTTTATTCAAGCGTCTGCAGTTTGTCGGGCTGTTGTTCTGACGTCAACTCCAAAAACTGACCCCCCACTGCCCACCCCCTCATTCCACAAACACTGGATGATGAGGAGGTGTCCTCACTTTCACTGTCTCCCTTCCCTTTCTTCCCTCCCTCAGGGATTTTGGTCCCTCTGCTGACACATTCCTGGTTGGCCATGAAAGACAGAGATGGAATCAGCTTTTACTCTGAACTTTAGTTCAGAGAGTTTAGTTGGGCCTTAAGGCACAGATCAGCAGATAAATTACATGGGCAGCACCCTTCCTACAGGGTTAACATATGCTCTCTATTAGCCTGTCATGCAGGAAAGGACAGGTCTAATAGACTTAGTTTTTGTCCAAAGCTTCTCAATTTCTCCTTTTCTCACTGTTACAGTCTTACATATTTACAGTCAAACTTATTTGCTCTTCGTTATCCAACCTTACTGTAAAATTGTGGTGAATTCTGCTTCTGTACTTATGGGCTAGTGAGAGGTCTTTGGGAGCCAAACCTACATTCTCTGAAATTATGGATCCAAGTACCGAGCACCGCAAATTGCTGTCTGCCTGGGTCTGTCTTGACATAACATTGAGCCCTCAGTTCAGTCTTTGTATTGGGAAAAAGCTAATAAAGATTAAGCTTTCCATAACTTATAATAATTATTGTTTTGTTTTTAATCTCTAAAGATCATTCTTCCCATCCTCCCATGGTCTGCATCATGTGGCACCCACTTGCCGCCTGCTGTCTTTTGTCCACCTTGCTGAGCATGTGGATGTTGTGCAATGCTCAGTCAGACTCTGGCAGCCCTGTAATCCAGCTACGTCTAGCAGGGGAGAAGAGAAAACATTACGAGGGCCGGGTGGAAGTCCTCTACAACGGAGAATGGGGGACAGTGTGCGATGATGACTTCTCCATCTATGCAGCCCAAGTAGTCTGCAGAGAACTTGGCTTCATGGATGCAGAGTCCTGGTCTCCCTCTGCCAAGTTTGGAAAAGGGGAAGGTAAGAAAAAACTGTATGCCCTAAATCCAGCTTTTGAAAATCAAAACTGTCTTATGCAACTGAGGTGAGGGTTATAGGATGTTAATGTGGGGGATCTTCCAACCACCTGAGCATACATAATCAAGGGCAGGATATCTCTGCTTATATTTCCATGGAAATCCTTGAATGAGGTACAGGTTTACCCGCCTGACTCTTAATTCCCCCAGGAAACTGCTTTTCTCATTAGAAAGGAGCTGAGACACGCCAATCATTTCAGAGCAAAGGGAGACTGGAAACACTGGGTGTGTAAACTAGACACACACAGACATAATCTCACCTCTTTTTCTAGTCTTTTTCCTTTTGCTCGTGGCTTCCTTCGTCACTCTGATGAGATTCCCAAATCTGTAAATAGGATAGCTACTGGCAGTCAGTGGTGACTGTACCTCGGTAACTGAATTCAGACTATGCCCCTTGTTAAAGCCACATGTTTTTACTCTCTGTGGACCACATGGGGATAGCCACTTAAATAGTGGAGCACTTTGCTTCCTAAAGCAGGCACAGCAGTCATGGTTGAAACTTCAAGAGTTGCAGGCGTCAAATTATGCAACCCATGCATTTAATGTTATGTATGTATGAGTTATGAGAAAAAAATAAACAAGTTTTTAAATGTACATCCATACACTGGGTGCACACAGAGGTAGATGCATGCAAGACTATTTACCAGTGACTGAGGAATGTGGAGATGGTTGACTGAATAAAGGTGTGGCTGCTAATCTATCAGAAGGTCAACAAAGGGGTTCTTGTCACTGTTAGAGTTTAATAATGGTGAAAGGTATTTGACTTGATTTATGACACAAATTGTACATAAACATGTGCACATCTATCATAGAATTTACACAATTTAAAGAAAGGCTTCTTTCGCTTATGTATAAGGTAAAATTCTTCCACAAAAGAAAATAATTGTTCCTGTTCACTCTGAATAAAGTAATAGATTAATTAAGCTAGTATTGAGGAAATTAGTTAACTTGATTGTATTCAGAGAAGAACATTGTATTCACAAAATCAAAAAACGTAATGAGAATCATATGAAAAAACACAGCTTATCAACCGTTTGCACTAAAGTGTGGCGGAGAATCAGTTTGTAAAGACTGTGTGGATAGAAACCACTGTGATCTGAGTTTTCTGATTGTTGGTGGAGACACATTGCTTTTAAATGAAGCAGCAGGGTTTTTCCTTCCCCATCAAGTTGATTTATGGATGGTGAAAGAGACCAACAAATGCTTTCAATTAAGGATTTAAGTACTTTACAATTATGAGGACATGCATTTGGGGTGTCAATCCAGCAGGGATATTCATAAAATGCTATTGCATAAGTACCATTATTTTTGGGATCTCATTAAAGAAAAAAAAGATGACAGGTTTTTGGCCACAATTAGCTTATTCTTATATTTTAAAGAGAGCATTGATCCCTGTCAGCTTTGGTTTGGCTGTGGTTTCTGAAGTTGGAATAAAAGCTGGTAATTAAAACCAAAGAGTCCACGCAATCTGTACTGTTGTCTCTTTTCAGTGCCTCTTATGAACCCCTTAAACCTGTAAAAGTTAGTTTTAAGTCAGCAATCAAGACTTATCACAAGCTTTGTACTAGCTAATATTAAAGCATATTGAGACCTAGTTGGTTGGCAATCTGTGGTAATTAGTCACAGCAGCACCTTATTGAAATTAATGAGTTCAACAAGGAGGAGGTAGAGTGACATGCAGTCACTTTGATGGTATGATCGCAATGTTCCTCAGCAACATGTCGAGACCGTCAGAATGATGAGCAGTAGTTTGGGGGTTTCCATGGCTGCAGTAATGTGGTTTTCCTCCTGGATGAATCACACCAGCCAGCTGGAAAGCAGATGATCACCTTTAGCCATGACAACATTTATTAGCCAAGCTCTGGCTGAAGGATTTGTTAGAGAGCAAACACATCTCCACGTGAGTAGTTTTCCCCTCTCAGTCACTTGACCGCAGTGGAAATGATGAAATGCATATAAATAGGATGTGAGTAAATAAATCATTTTTATTTATTTATTTGACTTCATTCTGTTAATCCATCACCAGTTTAGAAGTATTGCTCCACATTGTACAGCACCAACACTAAATAATATTCATACTGAAAAATAAGAAACAATCCAGTCATTTAAAAAAAATTCTGACCACTGTACAACTTGAAAAGTATCTGTTAAATCTTTTTGGTTCCATTCCTTTAAATTACTGCAGACTAAACAAGGCAACAAAAAACAGTGGAGTTTATGCAAACACAATCAACCTCCGACCACTTTTCCATTCGTTTGCATGCCTGTATCTCTCTCGTTCCAGGTCGTATCTGGCTAGACAATGTGCACTGCACAGGTGGAGAGAAGAGCCTGGCTCAGTGTGAATCCAACGGCTTTGGAGTATCTGACTGCAAACATTCAGAAGATGTCGGGGTAGTGTGCACCCAGAAGCGAATTCCAGGCTACAAGTTCATCCGGAACCAGGCCAATAGCGATGAAGTAAGTTCTGTGGGCGAGCCTGCTCACGGTCAAACATGCATAATGAACTAATGTTTGTGGTAGGGCTGGGTTTCTCTACCATGGAAGTAGCATCTACAAACGGTTCAAGTGCACACATGTAACCTAAGCAGATATGTGTGTAATGAAAAAAGGAACTTCAGCTTCAGATGGATCAAAACCTCTTATCACAGTAAAAAGAGCTCCAGTTTGCTCGAAGCAGAGTACTGTCTTCAAATCATTCCAATTCCCTTGACAGGAATTGGAATTGCACAATTGAAGAGGAATAACTGTCTGATCCTGTAAAGTCACTTCTTTGACATAAATCTAGTGCTGTACAATGCAAGCAGTGTTTGGGAGTTAAAGCAGGCATAGAAACATCACAAGCTGTATAAAGGCTTAAAAAATGATAGCTTGCTAAGGATAATCATTCATATTGAATTGTGTTATACCTTAGACAATGGACGCAAAATCCATATTTACCACAGCATGCTAAATAAGAAAAGAACCAGCCAGTATTGTGCTAAATGTTGTGCTGTCTGCACCTAAATCTGCCTGAAGGACTCTGCCAGACTCCTACACTATTATATCACTCCTCACACCCCCACACAGCAGTCTGGGAGATTATGGGGATGACTCAGAGAGTGGGAAAACCATCCTGTCTGGCCGAAGAGAATACCCCTGCGCCGGATGGAAAGCCAGTGCCGGCTTGTGACTGTGACAGTGGGAACAAGAGGATAGGAGAGGAAATGTAGGCGTTTACTACTTTTGATTTAGTCTGAAAACAAGTCAATAGAACACACTGTCATAGAGGAGTTCAGGCCACATTTGTTGGCAGCAAAGAGGAGAGCCGCCTGTGCTTCCTCACTGAATTCATACCAGAACTTTTTGTCCGTTCGTACTAGATGTGGGGTGGAAGAGTTGGCTGCATTACAGGCATCTGCAGCAGCCAGAACAGTGACTGTGTTTTACACTGGACTTAGTTAAGATAACAAGCCTCAGGAGAACATCTGAAAAATGCAAATGCATAGTTTAGTTTCGGGAATTGTGTGGAATGCTGAAATTCATCAATGCTGTCTGATTCTTATAAGTTGTGCGTGTAAGCAGAACCATCTTTCACTATGTTTGTTCTGTATATTTAAGGTGTGTACATTTTGGTGCAGTTCAGTCCTCCACCCTGCAAATATTTCTTTGGTCTGTCTAAAGCCTTTTGAGTCACAGGCGGGAGGAAAGGGGAAAAGGTGTAGCTAAACCTCTTTAACTATGCTTGAACCGACAGCAGCAATGGGCAGCAGTGTTCCTGCAATCTGTTTATTCCCAGCATGAATTGACATTCTGTGCCCAGTCTGGAAAGTTAACGCTCACTACTGGGTGCGCTGCTGTAGGTAGATCATAAGAGTGGGCCAATAAGGATTTTATATCGTGATGTAAAGGATTTTTTTTATTTTTATAACACCAATAAGCTCGAACATTAAGTTCTTTTAAGGCAGTGTCAGTGTGCTTAATTTGGCCTTATTTAAGTGACAAATTTAAAGTCACATGAACTGCCATGATGGTCCTCGAGTGAGTCTTAAAAAGTCTGAAATACTTGCCGGATTAAACTAAAGGTCACAGATTTGTTCCCAGCAATGCTTTTTCTGAAAAGACAAGAGCTGAGTCAGAGGTGTGTGTTTGTATGTTTCTTTTGCAAGACTGTCAGATTACATTTCTGAGAGGTGGTGGATTGGCCGTGGGAGAACTTTGTAAACGTTGGTCCTGATTAGAAATAACAAGCCTGAGTGCTTTTGGTGGTTAATTCCTTCTCCAATGGTCCTTTTTACTGCGGTTACATGTGGTGTTTGCACACTACCATCGTTCATCTTTCCTAGAAAGCCTCTGCTTTTGTCTGAGCTGCAATTTAAACTCTGACCTTCACAGTTGTTCCCTCATGGAAGAAATGTCCATCTGAAAGGCAGTCTGCTTCTGATCTGACCTCTGGAGACAAACGCCATGTGTCCACAACCCTTCTCAGCTGGTTATACAACACCACTGAAAGAACCAGAGCAGACCACACATTCCTCTGTGACTGAGCCTTTATCATAAAGAAAGTTTATTATTTGAACGTGCAAGATCTAATTCTTCATCCATTTCTACAACTGTATATGTTGTAGAAGCAGTTGGAATCACTTTAATAGTGATGGTTTTGGTTTTATCAGTCCAACCCTGCACAGTGCTATTCATCATGCATTTGTTTCTTACAGAGATTGGAATTTGGGGGGTTTCAGTCATGGGAGTCATGGCAGGAAGTTTCCTTTATCCCAATTTAGCAAGGATGATCCAACCACTTCTCTGGTGTTAAGATGTTAATGTGGGGATAGCTTGGTACAGAGTATAATTAGCTATTTTTAGATAAGTATAGGTTAATGCTTAAAGTTCGATTGGAGTCATTCCAGGACGATGTTTTCCAAAAAGTTGGCGCTGTTGTTTACTTGCATAACCGTTATGTAATACTCAGTCCCATGCCAAAAAAATAAACTTTCGCCAAAACTTTTCTCACATAAACCGGAATCGCTTTTCTTCCCATATTTTTAACTTTTCATGATCAAATCCAGGTGTAAAAAAATCCAAAATTTTCAACCCCAAAAAAAACTGCTGCACATTTCCATGAGCAGATAGTCTTGGTCGAGGGAAGAATATGGGAACAACTCTTTTAGCAAAAGCAGATGCAGTTTAGAAAAAAAAGTCCATTAACTGTGTTTACCTCCACCAAACATTTAGATCAGATAACGGCACACAAATGTAACATGTCTGTTGTAATGACAGAATGAAGCAGCCTAAAGCCTTTTGTTACCCATTTAAACGGGTCATAGGTTGTACTCTGGAGTTAGGTTTCTCAGGAATTCAGTTCTTCATATTCTCTCCTACACAACTAAAAGAAAACTCATGGCAGCTGAGAATTTGCTCGGTGAGACATATGTAAGAAGCTTATGAGGAGGACAGTGATCAAGTGGAGAAAAGGTTGATTTATGTCATGAGGCTTAGGGCCAGTTCCTCCAGCGCATGCAGAGTGGCAGACTACTTCCCCACATGTTCAACAGCTGGATCTCACTGTTGCTTCAGCTCTCCTCTTGGAATCAAAGAAACCAAGATAAAGACTCTCATCCCTGGTATTTATGATTCAGTGTGTTCACATTGTTCTGATGTATTGAATGTGGATTATCATATGGGAACTGCACATTTGAGCGGATGGTACTATGGCAATCTGAATGTGTGTGTAAAAGTGTCCATCTAACTCCTGATGGCACAAAATGATGGTGCTGTTTTGAAGATCTCACACACAACTTTTTGTTTTGTGGTTGAAAACAATTAGATTATTTGTTAGTGTTGATACCAAGCTAAATTCTCAAGCTGCTTGGCTGTAGGTTCTTATTCAGCAGATATCCTTTCCAGCTGTGATGTAGTTAGGTAACTCCTGATCTGAGTTCTCTGTGTCTTTCCTTTTCACTGTCACGATGGGAGCAGTACACTCGAATAGATATTCCAGATGCAAAGCACACGGTGTACTCAGTTAAGGACACAGGAGGCCAGTGAGGTAGAAAATGGGGTGGGGCAGAAGTGCAAGTCACGTCGCTGTTCTCGTTGCAGTTCTAATCCTTCATCCAAAGTAAGGCAGGGCTATCGTTCATACTTGCTGTGCATTGTATAGCCGGATGTGTGGTAGGTGAATCTGGCACACGTGGACACGAACGTGCACCAGACTGCAACGCTGAACTGACTGGAAGAAATGCACAGTAGTGGAAGTATTAGTCAGACACTGACTAGACCACAGCCTCACATTCACATATCTACATTCTGAGGGAGACCCAGTCAGAAAAACAAGTCTGCTCTCCAGTTGGAAATAATTCAGTAATTACCAGAGCTCACTTCAGAGAGAAGGACTGTTTACTTTGGTCCCTCGGTCACCACAAACAAACAAGAACAGGAACATTATTTTTAGAGAAAAATGCAAGAGGATGAATACTTTGCTAAGGGAGGTTTACTGAGATGAGTTCACCCTGTAGAAATGCTCATTTGAAAACTATCCTCAGTTTGACTTGCAGGATATATGAATATGAATTTAGCTTGTTTTTACTTCATAGATTGAAAAGACAAAATGACTCATTTACCGGGACAATAGTCTGTTTCTACCCCTGTTGGATCATCTCTGTATGGAAGCGGAAAACGGGCAGAATCAGCTGCATAATAGGTGCCTATAATACACATAATCCTTTTATATGCATTTCAAATTCATGTCTCTTTGTTCTTTTCACTGTAGCGTTCTATAAAATGCCCAGTGTGGATGGTTGGGCCACAGCCCAACAGAATTATGCTGAGTTTATGTTTGGTGGTCAGTTTGGGAGGGTGAGGCCTGGACGGATCCCAGCTGTGATATCTGTCCTCATCTATTCAGTCTCACACATTTAGACCACCAGTTTCCTCCCTGTGAGCCAAATGCAACAGTGCTCACACTCATCTCGGAGAACCATTTCACACTCACCTGACAGCAGTTTGGCATTTCAATCCTCTGTTTCCTCAGGATCACATTTTTTATTTTCATTGCTTTTCTTAAATCTCTTTTCACTGTTTTCTTTTTTTGTCTTGCCTAGAAGTACTTGCATCGCCATCATTCTCATTTTGTTTTTCATGTAGAGGAAAAGAAAAAACTAATACTAAGCACTGAGATGTGCTTTCAATTGTGAACACCAGCTCTGTGATCATGGTCACGTCCCCCTTCTTTCCCACCCTGCCAGACTCTGACGGAAAATTCTCCGTCATACTCTGACCAGCAGGAATCTCTTCATGAAAGAGTAGTTATTACCCGCTCTAACCAGCGCGGTTGGGGGGGATGGACCCAGGTCACTGATACTCGAGGCTCCTCCTGCCATGCAGTGTTGTGTATTCAGAGACTTTGAACATTCCCTGAGGCTGACGCCATCTCAGGAAACCACTCTGCGGGCAAACACTTAATATTGTGGGAGACATGCCGGAATTTTTTTTTTCCTGGTTTAAAGCAGTTGGCTGTTACAAAATTACTGAGATCAGCACTTGAATATCACATTTCAGTTCAGAGTTTGGCTGCCTCTGGCTCCTACGGTGCAACTTCACACCCAGCCAGGAGCAAACGGCAGCATTTGGCTCATGGAAGGAACTGAACAACACCAGAGTTATAAGTATTTTCCCAGAGAGCCCAAAGGTCAAAGGTAACCATTCCTTCCTAATTTAGGGGTGGTCAGCTCACATGCGGTTTGTGAATGTTGTTTACCCACACTTTCCCCATCTAGCAGAGGTTTACACACTAACTTATCCCCCTGAAATGAGCTGATCTCCTGTTGTACACCCCTGTTTACAGAAACTGCTAAAGTTTCTCTGCAGTAATGAACAAGTTTAAACAAAGCATCATGACTTTTATCAACTTGGCGCACTTAATTTTCCAGCACATGCAATCTTTTGGGTTCACGAGAGAACAGCAGGATTTTTTTTTCTTTTTCAGCAGAGGTTTCACATTTATCACATAAAAGTATTCAATATTGTCTGTAATTCATTAGGTGGAATACCTCTTTTAAACTGACTGTATACAAGTGAATGTGACTACATATTGTACCTAGCAATCATCTACATTTTGATGGGTACTTGTGTTGACCTCATGAGTTGTATAACTGTTTATAAAGTAACGAGTGTCAGGATAGTGGATGGAAACTTTCACACTTTGTTTTCCTCTTTTATTGTAAGTCAGAGGGAGACATGCTTCATGTGAGCACTGCTCCAGATAAACGGTAGCTCTCAGATGACATTGGTTTTACCAAAAGACCATAATGACTGTTAGAAATGTTTGTCGGGACATACAGAGCAGTCGGAACAAAAACGGCAGGCCAAAAATAAACAGTGGAAAAGAAGGAACCCAAAAAGCCATAACACACTTCAGAGTACTAAGGCCCAAAAAACATATCTTGAGGTTTATTTGATTATTGGTAAAGTCATAACTAACCACTCTACCAGTCTAATGTGTTTGGTAATCACGCCTGCTGTCATACTTATGACATGTGATTTTGACTTTGTTCAGTTTATGCAGTCGGACCAACCAAACGAACATCTCTTACTGACAACAATCAGAATCATTTGTAAAGGATTAGATGTGGGATTAGGTCTCTTGACAGTGTATGTCTGAACAACCTGTGCCAAACTGCCTGTATATCTTCTGATTTTATTATTCTCTTTTGTCAGGCTTTGCAGGTGCAGGTGGAAGATGTGAGGATCAGAGCCACTTACTCTCACAGAAAAAGGATTCCTATAACTGAGGGCTTTGTGGAGGTGAAAGATGGAGGCAAATGGAGACAGATCTGTAGTGAGGAGTGGACGGAGATGAACAGCAGGGTCATCTGTGGCATGTATGGTTTCCCCGGGGAGAAACGCTTCAATATTCGACCCTATAAGTGAGTATTTTACAAAGGGTAATTAAAATGAATGTCTTAAATGCATGAGTTCAACTTCAACATTGCATAGTTTTGTACAGTAGAAACTCAGGCTAAGAATATTCCCTCATCCGGGGGATTGTTTTTTCCTTCCCTTTCTCTGAAGTTACTCTGTTTAGGACTGCTCAGTCAATACCAGACTGGTGTTAGGAAGTATTACACAACCAAGTTTGTTTACTTTGGTCATCACTCATCCCTTCATCCATTTTCCACTCTGAGATTAAACAGACTTGGGGCAGTTTCTTGACAATAGACCAAATATTGCCAGAGAATTATTGGTCTGGGCAATAAAGAGTCAATTGTATTGCAGTGTAAAACAGTGGCTGCTCTTTTCTTCTAACCTGGGATCTGAAGCTTAAAATCAAACACAAAGTGAACATCAGAAAACAATTACATGTTCAGACTTCACTCCAGCTCAGACAAAGCTGGCCTCTTGGTACAAAAAAACAGCAAATTCAAGACAGATTTATTAGTGAGTAATGTCCTTTAGAAGAACAGCCAAGTGTAATTTTGCCAAGTTGCACCTGGATCTTCACATTACAGGCATTGGCTCTCCCAAGAAGATCTATGATGAAGTAATAGAATAATCTTGGTGATCAACTCGTATAATTTCAAAGCTACAGCATTTTAAAGTCAGTTTTTTTTTATTTAAACATGACAAAAGGACAGAAACATACCAAATCTGAGCTCCATATTTACAACATCTTAAACTACAGCAACTTCAAAGCTGTTACTGTTGCTTCTGCTGGTTTTCTTTGTAATGCCCCCCTTCTTCCAAGGCTGAGACCTGTTCAGGGCCTACTGTTCTCCGGCTTCTCAGTGAACCTTAGCTGACGACTGTCATTCTCATATGGGGTCAGAGGAATGTTTAAGAATTCCACCTCACAATACTTCCATTGTTCTTGACAGCATAGGATAAGCAATTGAATTCCTCTTTGTTGGATACTAAACTTCTCCCACAGCTGTTGGAACAGTAAAAATATATTGTGTTCTTCTCTACATAGCATCAGTGAGACCTCTGCCCAACACTTCTGAGCATTCTATTCATCTCTTCTCAGGCTACTCGCAAAGCGACGCAAGAAGAACTACTGGGGTTCCTCTGTCAACTGCACAGGCAATGAAGCTGACCTGTCTGATTGCAAACTGGGCCGGGAGATAGAGCTGAAGGGAAACGGCACATGTGGGAAGGGAATGCCTGTAGTTGTCAGCTGTGTTCCCGGACGGGCTTTTGCTCCCAGCACCAGCACCGGTTTCAGCAAGGCCTACAGGGTGGAGGTTGGTCAGATTATGCTAGAAATGCCTGGTAGACCAGCATGAGGAAAGGATTGAAGTGCAGCATTTACATTTATATATAAAAAGGAAAAGGATACAGTGTTAAATGGGCATATTAACTTACTTATACTAATTACTTATGAGAAGAAAGAAAACTAACATTGTAGGACAGAAATGATAGAAAATGGCTGTTTAATGACAATATTCACAATTATAAAAACTGAGACAAAGAAAAGTGAGCTTCTCAGAGTGTGTTTAAGTTTCTTAGATTCAGTTTTAGTTCAAATCACTTGAAAACATGTGAATGCTTTAGTTTAAATCCTGGTTCACATAAAGAATTTGGGCTAAAAGCTCTTCCAAAGGGTCTCAGTCCTTTGTCAAACAAATGTTTGTGTAATTTGATTAAAGTATGATGGCAACATTTGACTTGGAAGTGGATCCTTATAAAGACATTTTTTTGCTGGATTCTTTTTGCTTAATTTTTTATTTTTTTTTACTGTCCTCACTGACTTTGGTTTTGCGGAATGTTTCTGCAGCAACCTTTGGTACGTCTAAGAGGTGGAGCCATGATAGGCGAGGGGCGAGTGGAGGTGCTGAAGAACGGCGAGTGGGGAACAGTTTGTGACGACAACTGGAACATCCGAGCAGCTACGGTTGTGTGTCGAGAGCTGGGGTTCGGCAGCGCTAAAGATGCCCTGACCGGTGGCAGAATGGGGCAAGGTAAAATTTAGAGATATCGTTGAACTTGATTATTCAAAGGTTTCCAGTTTTGATGACATTTCACAAAAAACTGAAACTCATAACTTTGATGTGAACTCATGGCCAGCTGTGAAAATGAAGGAAGTGAGACTTGCACCTCCACCTTATCTCCTCTTTCTTTACCACCACCCATTTCTGTCTGACTTCAACCAGTTTAGAGCCCGAGTCAGCACAGGGAGGCATTAGGAGCTATATGGAGCAGAACATTTCTGTTCAAATGTTGGCTGATTCTGTGAAATGCAATATACCACAGTCCTCTAAGAATCACATGGTCTGCAGAACATTAGTATGTTTTTTCTCTCACAGCAAATCAGAGGGATGCACAGAATGTTCCAGAAAAGAAAATGGGGCTTTATAGGTTTCAGAAAAAGAATTCCATCTTGGAGAGGGAACTAGGTTACTGGAAGGATTTCTTTATGAGCTGACCACTGGATCCAAAAGTGGCGCCACACGCATACTTGTATTGGATTGCTTTGTACATTTTCAAAAGTTAAAGAGAATATCACTCAAACTCGGTCAATACTAGGGGACTACATTAGGCTTAAGAGGCTGATATATATTTTAACAGGCTAACTTACCCATGCAAAAGGTTTTAAGCCTGTACCACATGATGCGTTTTTGTTTTATGTTATGGCTTGTTTCCTTTGGATACACATCGGAGTAAAGCCTCATGGAGAAAACAGTTGCATTGTTGTGGAAACTGCCATGCTGAAAAAGGAACTGGATTTTTTTGTTTACAAGCCTTTGGAGTCTCTAATTAATTTGTCGTAGCTGGCTGCTTGTTTACCTTGCAGGGTATTTCATACTCTAAATGGACTTGTTGTTCCAACAAAACTCTCAGGCTGCTGAGGACTCTGTAGTAGCGGGCAGCACATGTTTTTGTTCCCTTGAATGGTTGTGTAACCTGAGGATCAGATTTCTTCCCTCGATTAATGGAAAGTCATGGAAGTTTTTATAGTGTGCACAACGTTATTGCTTCAGCTGTCATAATTTTACTGTTTTTTTTCTTATTATTTTGAATGCGTCTGCTGTGAACCTGCAGGGATTGGGCCAGTGCACATGAATGAGGTGGATTGCTCTGGCTTTGAAAAGTCCCTGACTGAATGCTTTTTTAACCGGGAGTCTGTGGGCTGCAGCCACGAGGAAGACGCTGCTGTCAGGTGTAACGTTCCTGCCATGGGCTTCAACAGCAGGGTGAGTACTTCCATCTACCACGTCAAGGAAGACTGAATTTTTTTGCAACACTAGAGGACAGATGCTTATATGCATTCCTGCCCCTAGCTTCGGTTAAACGGTGGCCGAAACCCTTATGAAGGCCGCGTGGAGGTGATGGCGGAGAGGAACGGCTCTCTGGTGTGGGGCACGGTGTGCAGCGATAGCTGGGGAACCATGGAGGCCATGGTGGTGTGCAGACAGCTGGGCTTGGGCTTTGCCAGCCATGCTTTCCAGGTAATGTCAGAAATACATTTTTTTTTCTGTCATTCCTATTTTTACAGCCACTAAGCCTCCGGACATTTTTCAAAACTTCTCCTGGAAGGATGCCGTCTGATTTAGGCGATTTTAAAAAATAAATAAATGCAGAATTGCATTACCAAAAGGACAAACTCCCACTGTGTTCACCTTAATCAAGAGATTATTTACATTTACTTATATTTACTTTTCCAAAATAAGATCATTTCTTTTAACTTAAAATGAAGTCAAGGGCATATATCTGGTGATTAAAACACATCTGGAATACACTGTTCTCAGCAATGCTTTGTATTCGAACCTGCTGACACTTAGCGGGTGAGTCCATGTGCAGTATTTATGTAATTCTGTTTTTGTTTTTTATCATTAGATAATCATAAGCCTAATGTAATTTCTATTTTCAGTGTATTGCATTTGCTTAGACACTGCTGTGACAAATTTATTTACCCCCAGGCTAAGTGGCCTCACTCTATAGTGCCCTTCTGACAGCTTTATTGGTCAGACACAGGAAGAGCAGATAATATGGAAGTTACAGCCACATGAGAAACGGATGGGATTGAATCAGCCTCGCAGAACCTCCCAGTTTGAGCCTCTTTGTGAATCTGTGTGCCTGGTAGAGGATGCCATTAGGTCTCTTTCTAATGAGCTCAAACTTTATTTATCCCAGGGGGCAATAATAAAAGTTCCTTTCGCATAGCAACACATCAAAACAGAAAGTGACCAGGAAATGCAAGCTAGTCAGCTGTAAACCTATGACACAAATAAGTGTGGAGTCACTCAGCAGGAGTGTGACTTTGAAGTTAAAAGTTTAGTGGAACCTCCACCAGTTAGCAACGTGGAACCACAGGCCCAGCGTCACACTCCCGTCCTTCTTACGTCTTGACTAAGCTCCCGGCTGTGATGAGCTCAAAGCCATGCTTGCCCTCTTGATGTTATGCTATTTTAAGGCTTCTGGAATGTATGGTTAAAGATGGTATACATCTGGAAAGTATGTGTGAATAACGGGGAGACGCGCAGGGGGTTTATGAGTGGAACTAAGACTTGGATCTGACGAGGGATACTTGTCTGAAAGTACTGTGACTATTAGACCAAACCAGCACAATAACATGTCTAATGTCATCAAACACAATGTTTTCATTACATAAGAGTTCTCATGTAGAGAGATATACGTGCCTGGTTTTTGTTATCATAGAACATAACTTTAGTTCCCCTCGAGACTCTTTCCAGTCTGACTCATAAACATTTCTCCAGGCAAGCCATAGCGCCAGATGGAACAAATGACATCCAGCTTATGTTATACTGCTGTACGCCTGCCCTTCTCCTTAGCCCACCAGCAACCCACATCCATGTCCCCCAGCTCACTTTCATTCTCATGAATCCCCCCACTTCCTTGACACATTATGGAAAACCTGAGTTTCCCTTACACAAGAATTCCCTTTAGTCTGCAGAATCCCGTACGAAGGCTGAGTCAGGACGGAAAAAGCAATCCTCCTTGTGTGCGTGTCTGACACGAGAGAGCCTATTTGATAAGATTAGCCATTGCAGGAAGCATGGCAAGACAAACCTCCAGATCGATTATTTTATATAGAACACACACCCAACAGTTTGACAAGTCTGATTTTCTGTTTTGTTAGGAATCGATATATTTAGTGTTTTGCACAAGCCATACAAACAGGAAGGGGATGCTATACTGTTGTCTAAAGTTTGTAAAATTTGTGTTACTCAATGGATCAATGAAAGGTAAAGTTGCAGAAAGATTTCAGTTGAGTTTTTCTCAGTTTTCAGGGTGGATTTAGTCCCAGATGAAAAGTACTGCTAACAGATGTCTCCTGTTAAACGTTGAGAACTGCAGCTTTTTGTCTAGTTTTGAACCTAAATCTGTATGCGTTTCCTACCTCAGGAGACATGGTACTGGCAGGGAGATTCATCAGCCGATGCTGTGGTGATGAGTGGGGTGAGATGTTCAGGAACCGAGCTGACTCTGGATCAGTGTCTGCATCATGGAAAACATGTTACCTGTCCAAAAGGAGGTGGCCGCTTTGCAGCTGGGGTGTCCTGCACTCAGAGTAAGAAAATGCTCAATTTAAAGACCATATTTATGTAGAACCATATTCAGTTGGAGAACTCCACTACAGAAACCTTTGAATGGGCACATCTCGCTAAAAAGCCTCTCCAGTTAGACATTTGTATCTAATATTAAAGTTAATTCAACACAAATCTGTGCAGCCAGTCCAAAAAATGACTGCGTTTCTGTGATAAATGCGTTTCTCCCCCTCCCAGCGGCCCCAGACCTCGTCTTGAGTGCTCAGGTTGTGGAGCAGACCACCTACCTGGAGGACAGGCCCATGTATGCGCTGCAGTGTGCTCATGAAGAGCACTGTCTGTCCAGCAGCGCTGAGAAAGCGGACTCTTCTTCCTACCGCCGCCTCCTCCGCTTCTCCTCCCAGATCCATAACAACGGGCTGTCAGACTTCAGACCACGGGCAGCTCATCACTCCTGGATCTGGCATGAATGTCACAGGTGAGACTGCAAGGGGGGAAAAACTACTGGTTTCAGTTTAGCTAAAGGCTGTAAGAAGTGCCACTGGTGGTGAGGTTTTACCCACAACTCCACCTGTAAATGTTGGAACGTATTTGAATGGGTAACTAAAGGACTATACATAATTTTTTTATTTATTATTTTCCCTGTTTCATTTAGGCATTATCACAGTATGGAAGTGTTCACCCACTACGACCTGATGAGCCTGAACGGCACCAAAGTGGCAGAGGGACACAAAGCCAGCTTCTGTCTGGAGGACACCAGTTGTGATGAAGGTAAACATTACCCCTTGTGTCACCATACTATATATTAAGGCTTTGGCCAATCTAAACTCCCACAGTCTTTTTTATATATGTAAAATATAGAAATTTGCAAGAGTGATACTATGTGTTGTTGAACTGACGAACTATGGGCAGCTTGGTATAACGTCTTCAAACTGTTTCAGGTATACAGAAGAGGTACGAGTGTGCAAACTTTGGGTCGCAGGGCATCACAGTTGGCTGCTGGGATACTTACAGGCATGACATCGACTGTCAGTGGATCGACATCACAGACCTGAAGCCCGGAGACTACATCTTCCAGGTAAACATCTGGTCAGGTGGTCTTTAAGCAATATTAGACATGGCTCTGTCTTAAATGTTTGCCAGTGCTCCAGATGTTGCAGTCAAACAGATCCAGACAGTCCCCACAGGGCTCAGCCCAAACATACTGTTAAACTGACTAAACTGTTCAGGGACCAAACTGCTGCTAAATTAACTCTTACCTCTTTTTTTTATCTTGTAAGACTGTACCTGTTTAAAATGCACACATTATCACTTTGTGTTGCACAATAAAATCACTTCTTTTCTTTGTCCAGGTTGTGATAAATCCAAACTATGAGGTTGCAGAATCAGATTACAGCAACAACATTATGAAGTGTCGCTCCCGGTATGACGGACATCGGATATGGATGTATAACTGCCACATAGGTGAGAGTACAGCTGTAAGATGCTTTTGTCTGGGAAAATATTCTCACTTTTCTGAGGAAAAGAAAGATAAACAACCTGCAACTGCTCGTCCGAAGATTAAATATTCCGTTTTTTTTTTTTTATATCCACAAATATATTTCTATGCTATAAATCCCATTTCCAAAGTCATCTTGCTAGGCTTTATGTTAAGATACGGAAAACTGTTTCACATTAGTACAGCTTTTGAACACACACATTAAAAAATCTATTTTAACGTGTTTCATGTGATCTTGAAGCATTTTATACCACCATCAGTTTGTTTCCCTGAAAATGTGCAGCTTCTAGTGCAAACCCCAAACAGAAACACAATCAAACATAGTGCACACAAATATTGTATGACAGACTACAGGAAGTCCTACTTACATGTTTGATATATTTACATTTTTACATTAAATACAAAGATTTACAGTTCTTCATAGACAGCCCTGTTTGGACATATTTAAGTGACAGCATGACAGGAAAATACTGTGACAAGTATAAAGGGTCTCAAAAGGGCAGCAATTAAAAAATATTTCTAAAGAAACTCAACTTTAACCAGACTTAAAAATAACTAAAATCTTGGTTTTTAAAATTTTAGAAATATGTAAATGTAGAAAAAAAAGGATCTCGAAACTAAATATATGGATGACTTTTCACTGGAAAATGAACATCACAAAACCAGCCCAGCATCACCTGGGAAACATCCCCTCAAAAGGTAAACATGCAATAGGAAAAAAAAGAGAATTCAAATGTTCCTCCATTTTAGGGCTTCATTAACAGCCTGAAATACCAATGCACCCGTTTCATGCCATTTTCATCTGAGGAGAGCCATGTTTGCCTACTTAATGCTGACAGTAAAAGGCCGCAGCCACCAGAGTTGAGCTGCTGGGTTTTAGGCTCTGTCGTCTCTCCGGTTTAGGACAGTGAGTGTTGCCTCTCCCTCTCTCTTCACTTTCGCCCTGGCCCAACAGAAGTAGCTAACACTGCAGGCTTTAGTCCTCCTGATCCCTTCAGTGAAAGGAGACAGACCCCTGATCTGTGGACCTGGTGAAAAACGGAACAAAATGGAGAAAAAAGTTAACTTTTTTACTGTTTACCTGATGGTGTTTCGAATTGATCTGAATGCATTTCAAACTGGAAAACGGAGACTATTCACTTTACGTTTTGTGAGCTTTCAGAGAGGTCTGCTGGTCTTTTATTCATCCCCTGTCTGACTTTACAGGTGGCACACGGAGTACAGACGTGGAGGACACATTTCCTGGATTGCTCAACAACCAGCTCTCATCCAGGTAGACCAAAGATGGACCGAACCTACAGACGGCATCAGGGAGGAGTAACATATCCAACAACCACTAGAGGGGGCTGTGGGATTCTTCTTTAGTTTGCTTTATTGGTGCTGGATCGGTGAAACACCACGTGAAGAAAAGAAACCGTTTTTTGCTCATAAACGTCATTTACCACATTCAGTTGTAAAAAGAAAAAAACATTACTTGAGAGGCTCTAAAGTAGGTTTAATCTGTTGAAATGAGATGAGGATTATAACTAAATACCAGACAGGACTTGTTTAACAACAGAAATGTTTAGAGTGGAGAGTCGAACCAAAAATCAGACCATGGTCCTGACTGTGTGCTGTGTTTCCTTTGGGGGGGAGGGAAATAGTCTTCTATTACTCTGGTGCTACAACTGGTCAGAATCTTGCACTGTATGCTTATACTCAAACAGCTGGCATGAAAACAGCTGTATAAACCACATTAGCTTCTTTACTATTCAAAGTACAAATATTTTTTTACTCACACTGACTAGTTCAGTCCATAATAATCACTGTGGAGCCCTCTGAGGATACACAGAGACAGATGCTGCAGACGCCAGCAGCCGCTGCAGCCTTTCTGACCATTCCTGTAGAGCCCCAGTCATAAATGGAAACCAGAAGTGCACCCAGAGAGATGGTACTTCTGTTTTCTTTTTTTTCTGCATATTCTGCTGGTTTTATATTTATTGCTGCGTATTGTTCTGGGGACAGCAGAAATGCGCCTCCACCTCGGGGACCTGCACCTCCCACCAGCTTCTCTCTCCACGTCTGAGTGTTGAGTTATTTCCATCAGGGACCACGATGGCATCGTGGAAGTACTGTAACAGCGACGTGTGTGTGTTTGTGTTAAAATGTCTACTCATGGATTTGTAAATCAGTCCTTTAAAGTAGCAACTCAAGAATCCTTCATTTTATAAGGACACTTGTTGGTTGCCTGTTTTGTATGGAGAGATTATTGTGGAAAGCATTGCATTTTTGAATAAATTATGATGAAAGCAAACTTTGTCCTCTAATCAGTAGAACTCAAATATCTGTATAAGTTGAGTCAAGCCTGTTCTGTATCCCAAAAAGTTTCACTCACCTCAGTATCTCTGCGCTCGGGCTCGCCCCCGTATGCCTAGAGCTCTGGTCACCATCCGCCGGGCTACAGCACAGTCTGTTCTGGGACGCTCCTTCACTGGCTGGATGAATTCTGGAGGAAGACAGAAAAATTCAATCTTATCTAAAACAGCGGCAGACTACAGGATGTTAAGAAAATAACAGCTGGTTGTTTTAATATCTTCAGATTCAATAGGCAGGTTATTTCCAGCGGCTCTAGACTTAAGGCTAGTGAGCGTCCTACCTGCCCGTCGGAGAGCCTTTCCCTGGGCTTTTTTACTCCCCTCAGACAGAGCCCGCACCTTCAGCCGTGGGTTACAGATGGAGAGGGCGTGGACCGCTGCATATAAGAAAAACTAAATCAAATCACAGCTGGCTTTAAACTCAGCATTACGTTCACTAAACGGCGAAATCTCACCTGCTGCTTCGCTGGAGAAAACCCCCAGCGCGTGCGTGTCGTCCACCCACGTGATCTTCATCCCGCCATCACTGGAAGCAGACGGAGAAGCACTCGGGTGTAATTATCTGAAGCTGCTACCGGTGGAAATGGCACACACGGAAAAGCGAGGAGCTAAAGGAGCTCCACTGTGGGCTCCCACCTGTATTCTGCAAAAGCCTCCAGGAGGTTTTCCGTCTTGAGCGCGGCTGGGAAGTCGTAGATCTCGATTACGTGGCGAAAGTCGTCCGAGATGAGCGAGACGCTCTCGTAGATAGAGAAGTCATTGTGAGCGTGTTCAATTAAAAGCACTTCTGCCTGTTTTAGATGTGCCTTAATCTGGAAAAACATGGGAAACATGTTACATACAATAGGCAAAAAAAAATCTGAGAGCAAGTAAATACTGGACATAAGGACATACTATTGTGTAAAAAAAAAAAACAGTAAAGCTTACAAGTTCTGTTAGGTCATCTGTTTCCGTGCTTGTGTCATCTTGCACACTAGCGACTTCTTCTTTCTCGTCGTCGAGGTTCATTTCAGTGAAGCGGGACTGAGTCTGCTCCCACATCTGACCCTCTCTGTCGTTCAGCCTGAGCTCCAACATTTGGGTCTGCTCCGGAGGACATGGAGCTGACCCGTCAGCAGAAGCCTCTACATCACCGTCTGCTACACCGATGGAGGCCTCCTGCTCTGAGGAGGACGAGCACGTTGTCTTTTCCGTGGCGTCACAACGGGGACAGGGACTGGACGGGCTGCCGGGGGACTCGGTGTCCCGCAGAGCTGCGCTAGTGTTTGCGGTTGGGCTTTGGGAGCCTTTTAAAGACAGTCTCTGCCGCGCAGCTCGTGGCATGTACAGGGGCTGGTCTGGTCTTTTAGGGCCTCGGCTTCGTGATGGGACGGAAGATTTGGGCTTGATGTTGTTTTCCATCTCTACCCTACCACTCTGGTACTCTTCACATAGGCAGCTGGTGTTCTCCACATCGCTGTCTACTTCTGACTCTCCCCTACAGGAAAAAACAAAGATTTAATTCTCTTTCACAACCTGCACCATCTGATCAGAAGAGGTCAAGTTAAAAAGAATGCATAACAATTCACATTGGTTCAGTACCTGAGCTCCGAATGGCAGACCACCACCCTACGGCACCAGCTCTCGCCTACAGAAAAAGTGGAGAGCTCTGGTCTGTCTTCTACTGTCTTGTGTATCAGGTACCGTAGCCTGCTTGGTAAAGGGGGGAACAGGAGCACACTGCTCCGAGACCAGGAGACAACAATGGTTATACGGATTTAGAAGTCTGTGTTTTTCTCATTGAAAAGAAACAAATTAGATCACATAAATTCAGCAATGGCTGACTTTCAGACTTCTACTGACTGACTTAAAAATGGTAGAAACCGTACACGAGAGAAACAGCAACGAGCTTGTTGGATAAAATGTGGGATTTTGTACCTTTTATGGCAGCTTTTCTGTCCGTATGTTTCCAGCTCATCCAAGACGCTATGCATGAACTGATCTTCTTGCTTTGGTAGATAGATGCCATCGAAGCATGGAAACGCCAGGGTGGACAGAGAAAGACAGCTCCTGTCGGCAGAAGATGGATTTTATTCGTTACACTTTCTAAAATAATACAATACAGAAGGTGCTGGAGATAAATAATCGATAGATAAGTGAGGTAACAGAGGTAAGAAACGGCACCAGTGCTAAACTGAAGCGGAACATGACAGAAAACTGACGTTTGTTTGGTGACTTTGCGCCCTCAAAGTGTTTGGTGCAAAAAGTCCAAACAAAGCTAGCTAACTTTGGTTAACGGACGTTCACGTGCAGTGATGCTAACCGCCAACCAGACGTTGTCGTTATTTCTAACGTACCGTTAAAGATGAAGTTTATTTGACGTGGGGCTCTTAACAAGACGCCGTGCCCACTCTTTCAATTACAGGTAAATTCAGTTATGCGTTAGCGCAGCTGCCCACCCGGAAACAGATTGTTTTTTTCATTCCCCGCAGGTTCAGAGGTACCGACATTTCCGGTCTAAATCTTTCAGAATAAAGACAAATATTTAGTGAATTATTTAAAAAAAAACTAAAATTGAACATTAAGCCACGCAATAATCCCTGTGTTAATTAAAATAAAAATAAAACAGGAAACCACAGTTTATTTAGATAAACCACTGTTTATTTAGATAAAACATATCAATGACCGTCATAAAAGGTGGACCAGTTGTATCATACAACCACCATCTGTGGAGTCCTTCAGATCTCTGTGGAAGCGATGGGCAACTGAATCAACTCTGTGGACAAATATGTACAGTTTAGCACAAATTGGGAGGCTGAGGACATGGTTCATGTTAGGTGATGAATTTGGGAACCATGCTCCATCACTGATGGCAGAAAACTAAACAGTCCCAAAAACCCACATTCTGTCACTAGGAAAAGATTTGTCTCACAAAGACTACAACCATGTTGTTAATACTGTGGGCAACTACCCGCAACCTCCACCAACTGCATCTTTTTCCATAAACAGAAAACACATTAGGTGTATTTACATTTGTAAAACAAGACACACCTTCAATCACTTACAAATACAGTGGTCAAGAAGAGGCATTTAACACAATGGCACGGTATATAAAGACTTGTCTTGATCAATGGGATGTTTTCCAAAAGGCTTTATGTATATGTATTTAAAAAAACAAGAAAAAAGCACAAACATACAAGCACAGAAAAAGAGTACATATAAATAACAGGAAAAATGATCAAATTAAAATGAATATATCTTCCAGATGAAAACATCTGAGTGATCAGGCTTGAGACGTAAGACACAGAGTAAAGTTATGTTACAAGGCATAAGAAGGCTAAAACTAAATGCATTTGTTTCTTACAGTTTAGCTGAAGTCCTGCAACAGGAATAGCAGGAATTCTGAAATTATGCATAAAAAGAGTTGAAAACCTTTATTTCATTATACACAATGACAGTTTAAGGTAATTCTGATTGAGATCAATAAATGATGGTTTTGGAGAGAGGAATCAAAAACTGGAAAATGCAGATTTAGTTAACTTCAAAGAAAAACATCATATAGGAGCTCCAAAATCATCTCCATGGAAAAAGTTGTTTGTTAGATATGACATTGTCTTGAGAAGATTCTTTTATCTTCCGGAGCCAATACTTCTGTCTTCAAATATGGTAATTTCAACCTGAAAAAAACAAATTAAGGAAAATATGCCACAAACATATCTGCCATTATCAAAAAACATGTTTTCTATAAGATCTATTTTGGGGCATATTGTGCCAAAGTGTTTTTTTTTATTATTATTAACTGAATTAAAAAATTAACAACTTACACTTAAAAAAAAGTGTAAGTAGTCTTTTAAAGGATGACAGATGGAACCTATCAAATGTTCCTTTGAATTTTACAAAGTTTTTAAAACATCTACCAACTAAATGATTTGATGAACAAATAAACCAATAAATAAATGAATATACTATAAATGACAATAGCCAGCCCAAGGATACAACTCTGAGGCCTCTCTCTATGGGGTCTGTCAGCAGCAAGCCCCTGGGAGCATAAATCTTCTCATTCTGGTCTTTAATGAATCTTGCAATCTTTTTCAACACCTGTTAAGAAACAGAGATGGCCACATCATGATAAGGACACTCATGGGCTGACATTCCCATCACATAAACACTATATACTAAATACACCACCTAAATAAATACACAACACCATAGTTGGGTAGTTTTACCTTCTCATAGTGTGTCTCCATACAGAGGAAGATGGTGTAGGCAGTCAGACAAGCCAAGCAGCCTTCCAGATAAGACTTTCCTCCAAGTTTCTCGGCCTCAGCATACAGGTTGTTCAGAGTCTGGATTGTTTCCTCAAACTGCTGCTTATCAATCTGAAACCACACCAATGATTTACATGCAGAATTCTAACAAGGACTGAAAACGTAACGCTATCCAGAAAAAAAAAAAACATACCCTTGAGTCCAGCTCAGAAGGGAACTTGGTCTGGAATTTACATATGGTTCCTGAGCTGTAGTCCCTCTGGACAAACACCTTGGAGGAGACCGGCGGCTGCTGGAGGTCCTGTAAACTGTGGGTCTGAACAAAGATGGAGGCACCGAACGCTTAAACCCTGACAGAAGCAAGCGAATTCTAATGCTTCTCGATGGTGACAAACATCAGTAACACGTCATGGTGACCACAATATACTACAACACACATATATAAACACACTTGCTTTTTGTCAATGTAAATCATCTTGAAATTAATGTCAAACACTGGGCGGGTTATCGTGTGGGATGTCGTTAGCTCATATCGCGTTAGCTTACGTTTGCTGACAACACAGCGCCGCTACAAATAAGGACAATATTCACCATGAACGCGTTCAACAGGGAATTTAAAGCAAAATTGAATGTATTCAAACGTTCGCATCCTTAAAAATCCATTACAGAAACTTGATTAAACCCAGAATCTTACCTCAGCCATTTCGGACGCTTCCCTTGTAGCTGCTGCGCATCCCAACCACACTTCCGGTCCGAAGATTTCAAAATGGTACACTTGGCACACGTGAGATTAATTCGGGTGGGGTCCGTGGTAGTGTACTTGGGTTTAAAGTCCCCAGCAACTGGTATTTTGTTATGTGAAAAATTAACATAGTTAGTATAAACGTCGTTTTGGCAACCCATCAACATGGCGTTTCAATCCAATAGTTATTCATTTCATTTTGATCTGAAGTATTGACAAAAATGTTAGGGATCTCACGTTTATAGCCGAACAAACGATTGCTGAAGATAAAAATCCAAACAGGTTTATCAGCATTTTATAAAACATGGGGAACATTATTGTGAAGGCCGACACACCCTAACCAGGGGAGTTCCGGTTTCCCTCCACACCAACATGCAGAACAGAGGACCTGTGTCTGTGGGAGTTTTCTGCTTTTGCTGTGGACATTTGCCAGTGGCAAACCAACAAGTAATTATGCTGGAATTAACATCGACACTCAAAGAAATAGGCGAGGCATTGAATATGTTGTCATCAGTTTATTGAATCACGGTTTTGACAAGTTTGTTCCGTTTGCTGTACTTTTAGTCAAACAGGCCAAAGCCCATGTCGTCATCGGATTCCTCAGACTCTTCCTTGACCTCTTCCTTAGCAGCCGGAGCTGCAGCGGTCACTGCAGCTGCTGCCGCCGGTGCTGCTACAGCAGCAAATGCAGTCGGGTCAGCCAGGTAGGCCTTGACCTATGGAGGGAAAAGAAGCCACTTAAGTTTTTAATCTCACCTATGAGCTGTAGCTTAGGATGCATTCAAAGACTAGAAAAGAGATTCAATTATACTGTATGTATAAACACTTTAAACCAATGTCTGAAACAAATTGCCTCTGACCACAAAGCCTGACGGGGAACATTACAACACACTCTTACGAGGGTGACTGGCAACGTAGCAAAACACAAGCTATACTGAAGCCTATCCAGAATGTTAACCGTCGGGAAGGCCTTGGCCCCCAGAGGAGGTGCCAGAAGTGGCAGGGGAGAGGGATGTCTAGGTTTCCCTGCTCAGTCTGCTGCCCCAAGACAACTAGTGGACAATGGATGGATGTATAATGCACATGTGCTGACCTTTTCTGCCAGAGGGAAAGAGTAGTCAGTCTCCACAGCAACAGCAAGGACCCTCTTGTACCCATTGATGACAGAGTGGGGAATGGAGGCCAAAGTGGGATAACCAATCTCCAGGCACACGCTTGCAATGTTTCTCACACCCTGGAGGATTAATAAGGTTTGAGAAGTGGCATACGGACACCAGGAATCCACTAACAGATGTTCAGTTTCTCAGGTGGACGAGTCTTACCTCCAGGAATTTGGCATGCAGAGAAGCCTCTGTGATGTCAAGCACCTCAGGGCTGTAAACACTTCCGTTGTCATACACCTGCTGGATGATGAGTCCGAAGGAGAAGGGCGAGATGTTCAACATGTTGAGCAGCGTGGCCTCGCTGGCACCAACCTTGTCGCCAGTCCTGATCAGACCGACGTCACTCTGACAGGAGAAAAAAAAACGTTAGACCAGATGCTACAATTTGAACAAACATTCCTGCTTCAAAAGTCAGTTTGAGTACACCTGCAACAACAATTAATGTTGCCGCCATCTCAATTTAGGTTTCAGAAACCCTGTTTGCATGTTATCTTAATGGGAGTTGCAATTACCAGGATTTCAATGGTTCCCCTGGAGATTTTGGTGGTGATACCCAGAGCCTGGAAGAAAGAGGTCTTCTCGGGACCCAGTCCAGTATTCTGAGCTGGCACCGTCACATCACAAGGAGCTATGGCTCCAGCACGGGCAGCTGCTGGTACCTAAACAGCAAAATAACAGTCTTAGAACTTTGCTTATAATCGCACAAGAGCATGTTTAGACATCCATTACTAACAGATGAGTTTTAGTGTCTGAAACCTTACGTCCCTGGTAGCCAATGAGATTGTGACTGACAGGGATAGCGAGGAAACATGTTACTGTTTGCAGGGGGAACGACAATACAGTACTACACGAGCTGCATTGTAACTTATCCTGCACAGTTTCTTTAAAGAAAAATGTATAAATACAAAATATATGATTTTACCATTAAAAAAAACATTCTGGTTTGACACAAATCTTGGCATAATGATGCATTTTGTGATGACACCAGGACCATAAAATGTGTAATCCACAATTTTACACAAAGAAGTCAGTCTTTACCTTATTAGCCAGCAGCATGTCCCTGACCTCAGTCAGATCCTCTTTGGTGAAGACAAAGCCCACATTGCCTTTAATGTGAGGCAGGAGCCTGTCAGGTTAGAGAAATACCGTTACATTTCTAAGCCCATCATCAGTAATGCAGACAGTTTACAGGGGTTGAGTGTCTGAGACCGTGCGTCCCTGGCTGACTGGGGACATAGACAGACAGGGATAGCTGGAGACATGTTACTTTTAGCAGGGGGAACGACAATACAGCACCACACAGGCTGCACAGTAGATATCCTGCCTTTACAATACCACTCGACGTATTTGTAAAAAAAAAAAAAAGTTTTAAATACATACATTTTTTTAATGGTGGTTAAACTCACTTCTCCAGAGCAGGATTGTTCTCCAGGTGGCCACGGATGGCTTTGCGCATCATGGTATTTTTACCCATCAGCACCACGGCTTTTCCACGCAGAGACATGCGAATGGTTTGCATCTGCTTGGAGCCCACGTTGTCTGCCCCCACGATGAAACATTTTGGAAAGTCATCCAGAAGTTGCTGCAAACACACCACTGCATGTCAAGACAGATATTTATTACATTCATTTAAGCAGTAACAGTGAACGGTCACATCTATTCAACATGTACTCACGATGATTTTCATAAAATAGTTGGACTTCCACGTGGCCCTGTCTTCCCTGGGCATCTTGACAGTGCTACCAAGGATCGCTCAACAGCTGGTTTAAAGACAAGGTGATACCTACAATAGAGGAACAGGACGACTTGTAAAAGAAATGTTTTGATGCAAACATCAACTTAATACATCCCCGACATGTGGTTTTGAGCTAGTTAGCTTGCTAATGTAGCGCTAGCATTAGCAAAAAGGCCATAGTTCGTGGAATAACGCCAAATGTATATTAAAGAGTACAGTATAGGAGACTTTACATAGAACATGGCCTTTTCTAATAGATCCAAAAGTCTATACACCAAAACTCCAACAGAAAAGCCTAATAGTTTCACGCTTTCAAGCTACGACAGAAGATACTCACTGTGCTCGAGGGTCGCGTGAAAGAAAGAGGAAGAGGAAAGGCGCGAGGAGAGTATATAATAAAGTAAACAGCCAATCACAGCGGAGAAGGAACCCATGAGCTCATACCACTTGGTCCATTTTCGTGTCAATCGGCTCTTAGCAGCACACTCACTTCCGCAACAGACTTTTCGGAAACAAATGACTTGCTAAACACGGTTTTGACCGTTTTACTTCTTTTGAAAATATGGAAGGTTGCGGAGTTTTCATCTACTTAGCCCACATTTTCTTCCTCAGGCCTTAACAATGGCGCCGCCGCCTTCCCAGATTCCATGTGAAGTCTGGACCCACGTTTTTGGGTATCTGTCAGTGGAAGACAAGTTCAACGTCCGTGCATGCTGCAAACGTTTCAAGAAACTTGTCGACCACTGGTCTCTTTGGAGAGGCTGGACGGTAGTTTTGAGTTTTAAAAACGGGGCTTACAACGGCCGGTTTTGGACCACTCTCCGTCGCAGAAAAGTCTCCGGTGTGGTGATGAAGAGCGCCAAAGCCAAAGACTGGAGCCATCTGGCCCAGAACCTCCCAGCCCTCACCGCTCTCACCGCGGAGCGGGGCTCCCCGGGGCCCCTAAAGGACTTCTTAAAGGACTTCCCACAGCTGAGGCGTCTGGCTGTCCGAGGCGGTGCCCTGTTGTTCCACACCAGCTCGGTGCCTCGACCCGAACGGCTGACCCACCTCAGCATCTGCAGTGGGACATTTTCCGCACCAGCCAAATACCTCCTGGCCTTTGCCCTGGCTCAGTTTACAAGTCTAACGTCTCTGGTGTGCCATGACTTGGGAGTCTCAGGAGTGCCATTTTGGATGATGCAGACCTTTCTGTCCTGCTTGCCCGAGTTGAAACACCTCTCCCTGTCTATGAACCTCCCCCTGCGTCGCCCAGGTGGCGTTCTGCCAGTTTGTGGGACACCCCCAGGCCTGTCCAGTTTGGAACTCATTAACTACTCGCATAATTCCCTGCCAGAGGAAACCATGAGGTTGATTCCTCGCCTGAAGAGACTTGCAGTTTTCTACAAGCAGTCGCACGAGGAGATGCAGGACGGAGGTTTACCGGCCGCGCTTCACCTCAAAACCTGGCTCAGTGACCTCCCCCGGCTGTCCCACCTGGTGGCCGTCAGAGGCCCGCCTCTTCAGACCTATGCCACCTCCATCCCAGCCACTGTGACCAGTCTCACGCTGTGTGTTTCAAGGTTGTCCTCTCAGGACATGGCAGCCGTGGCAGCGAGGGTCCCGCGCCTCCTCCGCCTCCACATCGACCCCTGGCCCTCACATTTAGGAGCTCGCACCGCTGAAATCCCTCACCTGTTTCCAAAGCTCAAAATGCTCAAACTCCGCTGTGAACACGTAGCAGAAAATGATTTTTTGCACCTGCACCGCTTGCAAGACCTGGAACACCTGGAGGTTCTGGACAACCAGGAGCGCCTTCCTGACCTCGCTGTAAAGTTCCGGGCTCTAACACAACGGAGACTTCAGGTGGTCACTCGTCCCGGCCAACGAGACGCCTTGTCCTGTTCCTGTGTTTCTCAGGTGTATGGAATGATGTAACCAATCAGACTGCTGACTGATGTTTGTCCAAAAACCAAATTAGGATCAACTTCAGTATATGATTTTTCTTTGGGATAATAAATATTTTCTATTTCCAAAAATGTTTCACCCACACATGTAGGCAAATTTGATCTTTGACTCATTTGTTGCTGATATAAAAAATAAAGCCAAGTGCCTGAAATCCAGACATTCATGCACAGTGATGGTCTATGTGAAAAGATCACGCAAAGAAGTGACGAAACAATGCCAGATATGATTACTTTCAGTTTTATTTCAAGAAGTTTACCAATCAACAATCAGGCCCCCACAAGGGCTGCCGCCCCAATCCACACAAAGTGTACGGCACGTGAGAGAGTTCAAACGGTAAAATATCACAAGAATATGTCTCTACTGACAAAGCAGAGTTCACTTAATCACATTAAAAGTAATAAAAGGATTTGATTTTTTTTTATGGATACTCTGACAGAAGCAAAAATATAAGGCGGTTTACTGTGAGATCAATATACATAAGCCAAAAAAAAACATTTCTTTCTTTTCCGACACTCGCTTTCTCCCCTGCTACATCCCGAACATCTGAATCTGCTACAAGAGAACACAGCCTGTGATGAATGAATCATCACTCATCTATTACAGTGTATAGTCCAGAGTTAAATCACACCACAACAGGTGAAGCCTCTCCATGACTTCCGCCCCTGGCACCAGGAGCTCGACAGTGTGTAAGACCTTATTGCATTGACATATTTGGCACAGCAAGAAATTCAGAGCGACTTGAATGTGGATACATTGTATCAGGTTCCTTGCACACAGATACACAGGTTAGAAGGACAAACATTGTTATAGTTTCTCCACAAGAAAAAAAGAAAATCTAAATTCTATCTAACAAAGCTGCGGCTAAGAAAAAAAAAGTGATTACCTAAATATTTGCTCGTCTGGCCCTGGTTAAGGGTTGTATTGGGATTGCTGACCAGCAAAGACCAACACCCAGCTTCAATTAGTGAGTTTGGCAATGATTCAATATAGAGAAAAGGATCGTAGTTCACGTTTCATGATTACAAAACTTCAGGTTGTTTCCTCTAAAGGCAGAAACACTGAAATCTAAGCTGGTGTGTGTGTGTGTTTGTGATATTGAAAAGGAATGGGACCAGGGGAAACTCTTGTCACAGTTGGCTACATGCTAACAGAGCCAGCTCTTTGCATATTTATGAGCCTTGAAAGCTCGAAAATACATATAAATTTTAATCACAACAGACAAAACACAGTTCTGTCAGCACATTGAGTGTGTTACAGGTATACAAACGGAGAGTCTGATTGTAACAGCGACTGGCAGCTGGTGCTGATTTCACTCCACATATAAGAACATGCTTCTAATTAAAATGCACGAGAAACGTGTAAATCTTTAACCAGCTTTACTGACGGGTACTAGTCACCGCATGCAGTGATAAATGCACGTTAATGGCAGCAGTAAAATATGGAAATTGTTGAAAAAACTAATCAAGACAGTTTAAAATTATTCTCTGTCATTGGTACGCAAATAGAGCAGGAAAATCCGAAGATTGAAAGAGACTATTTAATTTCGTTTGGCTTGTTTTTGCACCATTTTTCAATAACCAGACCTATTGACCTGCTTCTTTTATATCGTAGTTTTTAAAAAAAATCTGAAACATACTTAAGTTGCTGCTATTGAGTCCAAACAAAGTTTTCTCTTGCAAAGGGTTTAAAAAAAATCAATACCATCATTTTCTGTTAGATATCACTTCCAACAGGGAGCAGAAGTGTAACAACTTAGCACAGATAGAGTATACGTGGAAACTGATAAAACATGAGTTCATTTTCATAGGAAAGGCCATAGAAAAATAAGTACTATCTTGATGACACTAAATTATAAAATACACCTTAAGATGGTCTCATCAAGAGATCCCTTGTTGCTGGAGTGTGCCAAGAAGTTGGACTAGGTTGTTAAAGAAGCGAAGAATACATGTGTCTGTGTGCATGTAAGTATCATTTGTGTCAATGGCTATTCCAATGGCACCACAATGGTGGCTAGAAAGCTAGAAAAATACATCTTTTTTTTCTCAACACTCGTTTGCCAAACTCTACACATTCAACATTTCTGTCACTTTAAAACAGCTTAGCTTAAATCTAAATGGTCCATGCAATCAAGAGGCCGTCTCCGATCAGCAGAAAACCGTCAGCTCACTATCTGATGCAAGGGCTCGCCCTGCTATCTCATTCACAAATCAAGCCTAGTTTTGCACACAAAGACAAGGGGAAAGCTAGATCTTCCTTTCTCATATCTGGTGTGCAGGGGAATACGATTCTAAATATAAAATTTCTCTGGGCTTTGTTAAAAAGTTCTTATGTAAAAGTGTAAAAGGCTGGACTTCCGGGGAAGTCCTTTAGGGTGACAGCTGACACTCAGAGACGCTTTGCACCCTTGTTAAGATGTGATCCACAAATCTATCTCAGAAAACCACCGACCCGTTGGTGCAAATAGACGAGTGAGTGCACACTGATTCCGTATGCGCATTTAGACTGACACGCATGTGCACGAATGGCGGACATGCAGCCTAGCTGAAGAGTTTAACGAAGCAGCCATGACAGTAGGGCTTGTCATTCTGCTCTTTGAAGGTGCCCTTGTTAAGCTGCTTGAGGCAGAAAGCGCACACAAAGTGCTCCGGGTGGAACTTCTTGCCCATGGCTGTGATGCAGCGGCCCGTGATGGGCTTCTGGCAGCCGGAGCACAGGGAGCCCCGCCGCTCGTGGTAATGAGCCTCGCAGTATGGCTGACCGTCGTGGTCGAAGAAGCTGCCATTTATGAAAGGCGTGAAGCACTCCTGGAAGACGGAAGATTTTTTATGACTACATGGTTGACACAATCCAAAGCAGATCAGCTGCGGGTACAGGCAGAGACTCACCCTGCAGACGAAGCACTCGGGGTGCCACAGTGAATTCAGGGCGGAGATGTAGTTCTCCAGGATGGCGCGGCTACAACCACCACATTTTGGGGCAAACATGTCGAAGTAGTCCTTCCTGCAGAACGCTTTTCCATCCTTCTCATGGAAACCTAGCGGGCAGTAAAGGCACACTGATTCACACTGCACACTACTTAAAAAAAAAAAAAAAAAAACTCCCTGAGGGTCTGACTGGAAGCACTCTAAAGGTTGTGTGTTTACCTTCTGGTCCAAAAAAGGCTCCACACTGGGCACAGAAGAAGTGTTCCGGATGCCAGGTCTTGTCCAGAGCTGTCACTACTTTCTGTGAAGTCAGGGAGAGGCGTATGGTCACTCTGGATGGTTAACATTTTTGGTGGGATACAGTAACCTGAAGCATTCAGGCTCTGCGGCAGAGCACTAACTCACTTATGACCTGTGTTACTGAGCTCTGTACGTTTAAGGGCAGAAAAGATTCTCAGTGTTGCCACCAGGAGGTGCCATGTCTTTTATTCTTCTTTTGTTTTTTCAGAAAGGGTGATTTTAAGAAACACCATCTTTCCAGAAAGAAGTGTACACATAAAAGCTGCTAAATTAAACCCAACGCAGTACAAAACAACACGTTTTCCAGCCAAGCATCACAAAAGCAAACTGAAATGATTCAACGTCATTCACACTAAACACTATTAACTAACATTCGGAATATATTAACTTTTTTATTTGTTCTCTCCCCTTCCTGAGATGCGCAAGTCTTACTCTTGGATCGGTAAAGGACACTAATTTAGCAAAAGCGAAAGCAGGCGATAGCTGGGCTGTGCATGTGGAGCATCAGTTAGGCAGCAGTTGGTAGTGGCTCGTGTTGGGCTCTCTGCAGGCTTAAGTCCACAGGTCTTATGTTGCCTCTGGCACTGTGTGTTTGCACGAGTGTGTGTAAAAGCGGTGGCTCGGTTAGATACACACATGAGCCAGCAAACAAAAAGAACGGGACTCTGTTTCCATGAGTATAAGCCTGTGGCGACAAGGGAAAGGAGGGAGCAGTAACGGGGGCATACAGCCATGTCGGCCTGGGCAGATTGCTTGAAAATTGTGAATACTTAAACAACATAGATGCTTAGGGCGAGTTATTTCAGGTTGTTTTACACAACTTCCCGTCAGCAAACACTATTTTATGTATGCCTAGAATCAGCTTCCATTAAAAAGCAAACAGCACATTCTGCACAGTAACTGCAATCCAAGTAGGAAGTCAATTTGAACTCTTAAAACTCTGATCTTTTAATAGACCGTTTGCTAAAGCACTACTAATGGATCTTTGCTTGCAGAAAAATGTTGATTAAAGTCACTTTACTCCTGCTGCTTCTAGGACCACGTATGCTTAACTTTCAGTGTCTGCTTACCAAAGAAAAGCAATTTTCATCTTTTCCAGGAAGGCCCTTCATCCATTCGGTTATGAATAAATAAATATCATTATCTCTCTCTTCCGTTTATAAGCATGTAAATGTTTGAGTGAGCGTTAAGTGAATGAAAACATTACTAACATCCAGTATGGGTCCATTACAGTAGTGGCATCGGGGGGAGAACAGGCTGTGGTAGTCTCTCTCGCAGAATGGCTGACCATCACGCTCAAAGAAGTTTCTGGAGCCAATCTCCTCCTGACAGTGGGTGCACACAAAGTGCTCCGGGTGCCAGGTTCTGCCCATGGCAGTCACCACCTGGTGTGGGGAGACACAGTGCATTAAAATATGATGAGCTTGCTCAGGGGGAAGGGGAAAAAAGCATGAATGAGGCAGATGAAAAAGCAGAAAACTGCAGCAGATGCAGAACTCCCAAATGTCCCTTCAAAGTACATTTGCTGGCATTTTTCTTTCGAAGTCAACTGAGTAATACATTTGGAGTAAAAACCTAGTTTGGCAACGTTTAATTAGTACGTTTGGAAAAACTGTATTTTAACATTACTCAAAACTGCCCTCTAAAAGAGCTGAATAATTGATGAACTGAGTCTCTATAAAGTTGACCATCAGCACACCATCACACAGCATGCAGACTGCACCCTGAGGATATTTTAAGGTTAGAAGGGACAGTCCATGTTCAGGAAAAGTTTGATATTTCGGTCCTGGTGGTAGGCAATTCATTACAGCCTGCTTGATGAGGCACGATTACCTGTCCGGCAATTGGTTTCTTGCAGGCACCGCAGACGCCTTTGGCCACAGTCTGGACACCGAGTCTGTTGAGGTCAGACTGCAGGCTTCCCAGCATGTTGTCCAGCTTGTTGGCTGGTTTAGGCGCAGCGGTGGGAGACGTCTTTCCCTGCGACTGGTTCTGATAGAAATGGAAAATAGCTTCATTATACTATTTAGACAGAAATTTAACACCGAAGTGATGTGAAGATCCTGGATGAACCGCATAAACTATTCATATGAAAACAGAATAGTCTGTAATGGTATTTTTTGTGTCTTTTGAAACCACTGTCTTGATGTAATGTTTTTAAAGTTTAGTGAAACCAGCTGACTGGTTAACACAGTCTAAAGACCAGTGAATCTTGTCTCTTCTTTAGAGATAGAAAAGTGGCAAAACATGTAAATCCGTGACAAAAAAATGATCACCCTTAATCCAACTTCAGACCTGTAGGATGACTCCCTGATACAAACATTGTGTGCTGATCTGTGTCTGGCTGCTGCCATCTAAGCAAACACAGACCTTCTCAGATGCAGTGGCTATTGGATATTTACCACTCCAACATTCCTCTGAGAGAAAAAATAGCATCTCTGCTACATATATTCTCTCCTACACTCTCCACATACCATCACACACACAAATAACCTCTTTACCTCAGACAAAATGAAACACCATCCTGACCCAGGTGCATATATTTAGTGCTTCTCGTATCAATCCTCTTTCTGACGACCTCCTCACATCACAGCTCTCCTGACTAAAAGATGGGTGCTGGGGCCTCCAAAAGCTAGTATCTAAACTCATGGGACCTGTTAGCTTAAGTTCTGTGTGACTTGCTATAAATGTGGTGGTAACTGTGCTGTCATGTGGCAGGTTAGGTTTCAGTTGCCCTGCAGGCCTGCCATTCCTGCGCATGGCAGGACATTTAGTGTAACGGGAACTTCGGGGAGTTACGCTCTGCTTTCCCCCTAAGCTCTTAAATTCTTCTCTCCGCTCCAAACACAAGGCTCATGGCGCCATCGGATGTCATAATTAGACAACGTGCTCAGTTTCTCCAGCCTGAGTGTCGGCACCTCCTCACACACCCGACAGACTGGATTACAGACAAAGCTTTACAGCTACCTGTCCCCCGGCCAAAAACAGAGTCAGAAAAACTCTACAGCACCCCAAAATAACCACAGAGCCCGCCCAGTGTGAAGGAAAGTGAATGATAAAAGTGGGAAGAGAGTATGAGGTGTAGAGGAGGATGAGCGGAGGTGAAGAGAGGTGATCCATGCCTGCAACGGTGGGAAGATGGCGTCATACTCTGTCTGACAACCCACAGACACAAACACCCTGGGAGGCGGGGGCGGCGTGGCGGGCTTGGGCGGGGGGCTAGGTGATGGAGGGGGCTGAACAGGTGGAGGTGTGGGCTCCCTGGGTGGGGGGGGAGTCGGTTCTTTGGGGGGTGGAGGAGTTGGCTCCTTTGGGGGAGGAGGAGGCTCCTTGGGGGGGGGAGGGGTGGGCTCCCGGGGAGGAGGTGGGGTCGGAGGTGGTGGAGGTAGAGGCAGAGGCGGAGGTGTCTGCCTGACTGGGGGTGGCTTTTTTGGTGCAGGGGGAGACTGAGGAGGGGGCAGGACTTTTCTCTGAGGAGCAGGTGATTCGGGAGGGATGATGATCTAGCGGAAGGAGGGAAGATGGAAAGAAAGTGGGGAGAGCAAAAACACACACATGACAGGAAAGCACAGTTAGGAAGTGGGAAAAAGTCAAATAAAAATGGAAAAAGGACTAAAGGAGTTTTAAAAGTGACTGTAAACCAAAAGAAGAACAATTTTATTGAAATGTGATGAGACATTACGAAAATTTAACTCTTAATCTCCGGAGTTATGCAACTGGGAGAAATACGTTTTGGGTCCAACTTGGCTCAACAGTCCTGCAAAGGTCCTTTAGTCTACCTTATCCACAGATGGCAGAATCCCTTCCTCCCGTGTTCGCTGGGGGTTGGACATGACGATCACTCCCTCCGTCAGCCAGTCGTCTGGCTGCTGCTTACGCCTGCGCTCCACTCGGCCAATCCCCAGTTTCCCCTGAAGTTCTTCAATGAGTCGGTCCTGCGAGTTGCTTTTATTCACAATGACTGGTCCCATTTTGCGTCTCAACAATCCTTCCCTGAACATTGGATGCACGTTGGATGTCTCTTTAGTTCGGCGGATAACTGACTTGAGCTGGAGAGTGGATGATAGCGAGGTGTGGGAAGCTGGCTTCATGCCATTTACCAGAAAATCCCATTTTGAATTAAAAGCAGGCCGGCACTGGATGTCTCAATCATGGCGCAAAACACTCAAATGCGTTCTTCAGAATAGGCCCGTCAAAACGTAAGCAAAGCCTCCTGTTAAATGTCATTCCTTACAATCAAATCCGTTCCAAGGCATGCTTCACAAAATGCTCTCCACAAATGTCTGCACATGCCAAAGCAAGGCCAAGGATTAAAACTCATCTCATGAACAAAGTCTTGTATGATTTTGAATTTCTGATGCTCATTGCAAGTGCATATAACAGCAACGGAAACACCCCCTTCTCCTTTGGGGTCTTACTGTTTGCAGCAATCAGTGATTAAAAACAGCCTCCATGATGATCACGGCAGCGTCGAAAATAAGCAAGCTCGGACTCATCCTTTCAGCAAAGCTTTCAACATCGGCCACAAATGATCTCTACGGGAGACGTTTCCCTCAAGCCATTTTGTGATTGCTTTATGACACCACATGCTTCACACCACAGACAATGAAGGAACTGTCTTCATCTCAACATGGCTGCGCTGTTTCACAGCTCCTTAGACTCTCGTATTTGTGCTCACCCAAAATAAGCTTGAAACAATGCTTTTAACAGGGGAATGCCACAGCCAATCTGACATTACTGTCAGAGATCTTTGTATCCCGAATGGTCAAATCACCTCAAAGCCTTAAATCCTTTTCAGCTTATTTTGGGAGAGTCATGTTGCCTACTTGACCAGAAGCAGATAGTCGCTCCACAGCGGACGGTTGCTGCACGGGCAGGTCCAGCGCTGCATCTGGGGTCCCGGGGCAGGTGGAAGGGGTGAAACACTCGTCCATCCAGCTGGATTCTGTCATAGGCGTCAGGGTTCCCTCTCTGCTAAGGTCAGGGTAAATTCCGTCTTCCTCTTCCCAAGATCTGTCGTCATCCCCAGGCATAGCAGATGCCTGCGGCTGGTTGTCGGTTAGCCGATGGGAGTCGGGCGTTAACAGTTTGTCTAAAGCATCGTCCAATAGATTCTCCCGGCACGGCCATGTTAAATCCAGTACATCGCCTCCCTGATTTTCTGGCACGCATACGCTACTTAATGGTACAGCAGGAAGTGAAACTGGGGAAGCTCTGGGACTATTGGTGCCTGGCGCTGTGAATGTTTTTCTGATTAAGGTAGCAGGACTCTTCGGAACCACAGTTTCACTCTTTGGAACGGTTACTGGGCTTGACAGCCTTGGAAGTGCTATTGGGGATGAGCTTCTTGGGACTGTCTCTGGACTAGAGCTCTTTGCTATGGCTGCAGAACTGGATATATTAGGAACAGTAAGTGGACTTACAGTCTTTGGAACTGGACTTGAAAGTCTTGGAGATGCCACTGTACCAGCAGTTTTACGAACTGTGTCAGGACTAGTGCTCTTTGGGAGAGTTAGCGGACTAGGGATGGTAGGGACTGTCACGGGACTGACACTTTTTGGAATTGGACTTGAAAGTCTCGGAAATGAAACAGCGGCTGCTGTTTTGGGCACTGACTCCGTCTCAATGGACTCTACCACTGGACTATTGCTGGCTTTAACTGCTTCAGAACTTATGTGAATAGGACTGTGGCTTTTAGGGACTGGGCTTTCAGATTGAACATAAGCAGAACTGGCTTTCTTAGCTCCAAGGGTAGGACTGCCTACTTTAGACTCTGTAATTGGACTTTTGGAATCAACACCTGGACTTGAGCCTCTGGCATTGCTACCTAGACTTGTCGACACTTTAGTCACTGACACTTGTGTAGGTATGTTGACTTCCCCTGGACTGAGAGGTTTTAGAGCCGTGGAGATGCTGAAGCTCTCTACATGACAGATCTGAGAAGTGACAGTGCCACCATCATCCTCCTGTTGGATCTGGGAGTACTGGAGGCTCTTAGATGAAGAAATTATAACAGTGGATCCACGTGAAGATGTAGGGGCTGAACTTCCATCTTCATCTATATGGAGCTCCAGCGGAAGAGGTGTACATGAGGGGGACGTGTAACCTGAGGGTAGAGGAGTATCCTCTGAGCCAATGTGAGCGTTTATAGATGAGTCAGTTCCGTTTGGGGCAACTGGTGAACCGACTGATAGCAAAGGGTCTCCAGAATCCTGATTCACAGACAGCTGAGAGCCAGACTGAGTCAGTTGTAACGATGTGATGAAGGCAGTGTGCAAATAAAGATAAGATGTACAGAATGGTAGAGAAAAGGGAGAAAGACCAAGATGATAGAGAGTGAATTGAAAATGAAGAAGAAAATTGAAAATGAATAAAGTAATTAATTTACATAAAAGCGAATAACGTAACTTTCTCTAATTTTAACACAAATTCTAAACTAATACCCTTCTGGCATACAGGGTTCGCACACCATTGCCATATGTCATATATAGCTGAACATAGATAATTGAACAGATCCTACTTCCGTAGCACCAAACCCTATGAAACATAACAAGGTAGCCCCTTCCACTGCTGTCGTACCGTGGCATAATGAGCATTTATGAATGAAACCTCAATTATGCAAACTCCTGATAAACACAACATACAGCAATATATCAAGGGACTAGTTCATATATGAGACCTTAGCTGTGCAAAAAAAAAAAAAAGAGGATCATCGAACTTATTTGTAAGACTTTTTCAACAATTGCCTTTCAATCAAATAAAGCAACAATCACACAAGTGCAAATAAATCTATTGGTAATCAAGTGTGAAAACATCACACAGCCAAAGCTGACCCACTCACATTGCTTTGCACTTTGAAGTCAGATAGAGAGGCCATGAGCTCATCCAGTTCACGAGTGGCAGAGGAAGCAGACATTCTGGCCTGTTGTTGTGACATGCTTTCCTCTTGTACATCAGTTTGCACATCTGACACCACCAAAGATGTGGGACTAAAAATAGAGTAAGCACAATAAAGGAAAATGACTGCATTTGTAGAATAAGATCAAAATAAAATACAATAAAAAAGTGTCATGTCCATTTAACATATGTGTTAATGTAAGAATGATCTTCTCTTACATGGGAGATGGCACAGAGCTCTCCAGTTCATCCAGAAGGCTCTCTACACTTGGTCGTACATCCTCTATTCCTCGAGCTGCTGTGACACGACTAGGCCTCTCCAATGTAGATTTCTGTGAGGAAACTCCATTCTCTTGAATATGGTGGATGGTGCTGCTTGAAGGTAAGGGTGGAGCTGGTTCTTTATAGAAATTAACAAAAAAAGAACATATATTAATATTCTTCATGCACTCTCGGAGTTGGCTCACTGTAAACTCACTGAATCAACAGCCACTGCTGAGCAACTACTAAAACAGAAGGCCCACATTTAGAAAGTGACATGGATGCACTGAGTGAAGCTGTAATCCATGTAAGTACCTTCTGTGGGGAAGGCCGGCGTGCTCTGCTGCACAGCGTTGAGCTCCAGCAGCAGGCGGTCCAGCTCAGACAGGTTGCTGCCCAGAGATGAGTTCATGGCAACAGCTGAAGATGGCTCACTACTCTTCTGCTTATTAGGGAAACTGTTTCGTGTTTAGAGAGGAGAATTTATCAGCCACCATTTTTTATTTAAGCGTCATTTTAAAGACAAAGTTATCATCCGAACCTGTAGACGTGGTCCTCCTCTCCAATGGGCTGATTTGGACTGCTGCTTTCTTTAGACCAGGGACTTCTTTGAGCTGAGCCAACAGACTAAAGAGCAGGAGTCAAGTCACTACACACAACTCTCGAATGAAGCGACAAACATATACTTTGGGCCATGAGGAAATGACGGTGTTTTACGCAACCTGCTTTGAACAAGATGTGCACATATTACCCAACAAGTTTGCACTAACATGATTGTGTGAAACTACCTCTGTTTCATTTAGTCCATTCAGAGTGTGCTCGGGTGGGGCCTGGGGTGGAGAGCTGATGTCTGGCTGGGCCTGACCCCGAACAGGAAAGGAGTAGGCAGTCTCGTCTGACAAGAAAAGTGGACGCTTGGATATGTGGGATGTTGTGGACTCGAGGTCCGCCAACAAAGCATCTGTGAAGAAACACAAAACACATCGGTGAGCTGTCTGCTACATTACATCCGCGCTGACTTAAACTTGAACAAACGGGGAAGATAAACTCTGATAGACAAGCAAAAAGCACTGAAAATGTTACTCCCTCCTCCTCAGATCAGAAGAATGTCATAGAGTGGAATCAATCTAAATCAAAGAACCTAATAGATTTCATCACGTATCTCCTGTGAATAAGGTTGGACTAATCTGTGTGCTGTTTGCTTTTATCAACACCAAATAATTACATCTCCTTTCGTAACCTGTCGAAAACTCATGAGCGCTGAGCTAGACGAGTAAGTGTTGTAAAAGTTGAATCATGCAGGCTGTCATAGCCACTCCTTTGGTTACTCATTGACCCTCTCCTGACTGTAGACTTGACGTGTTTTAAATCTAGGGCTGGCTGTCAAAGGCTGCTACCATGCTCATATTTACCATCGAGTAAGGGGGGGGGGTAGTATTTGGTATTTGGAGAAGAACATAGGCCAAGGAAACAACTACTAATTTAGCAGTCCTAACAAGTAGGTAGAAGGACACCTCACATTAAAGGGGATTTATTGAAGACTCCTGGCTGTATTACAGAATACTTATTTTAGCACACTCACCAGAGCAGGGCTTAGTTTCTAAGGCAGAATTTCACAACTACAAAAAAATAAGACCTTATTAAAAAAAATAAAAAAGATGAAAAAAAAAAGACTTGATATAGAAAAAGTTTCAATAAGTAACTACTTCCTCATACAAAATGTCGGAATATCAACGTGTTAAAGGCACATAGAGAAAACAGTGCTGCCAACATTAGGATAAAAAGTTAAATCATTGACATTGGCTGTGCTAGCAAGCAATAATAAACAGTCATAATTTTTTTTAAAAAGGTTAAAAAAAAGTGCTGTTAACATCAGGTACTAAAAATATGACTAAAGAGCATTCAAGCTGTATGAAATATTTAATAAGCAGCTGATGATATCTTAAAGATTGCTCTGGTGTGCTCAGCAACAAATACCTCACTGAAGCACCGACCTAAAATTAAACACTGGGGTCAAGAGACAGAAACTCGTAGTTTCAAAATAACATGGGTTAGACGTGGGATTGGATGAAACATACCTTAGAAAAAGACAAAGCTGCAACCCCAGGAGGAGAAGAGGAGGTATTAGGAAAGCAAGAAGAAGTAGCAAAGGAAGAGGACACCCTAAACACACTATGCCAGGCAGGAACTGCCTTTCTTAACTCTACCATCAGCACAAGAGAACAAGAGAGGGTGGGTGGTGAGGAGAGGGCTGTGGTGGCGAGGGGAGGGAGGGGTTAAAATAAATGGCAAGGGGTTAGGTTCATCCCGTCACTGCTCTGCCAGCTCTGACCTCACTGAAAGCCTGAAAGCTCTAGTACGAGATAGTACTTACGCCAATGACGAACAACGAGAAACGATCTAAAGGAGTCCAACGTCAGTAGGCTGAGCAGGCCGCCGCCGAAGGAGTGGAACACACGATGAAACGAGGAAAACTCAAGGCAGAGCTCTTATCAACACATGCATGCCCAACTAAAGGGAGTGGTATATTGCTGAGGTATATGAGGGGTATAATTAGCCCCTCCTTCACTGTGGTAGCACAGGCTCTGTCAAGGTTAGTCATAACGCAGATTCATTTAACCCCGTTTTAATCCCGTACGTTCCATTGTTTTTAGATTTTAAGAGCAAGATCTTTATTAGGACTTAGTCACCTCTGGAGTCTCAGGGGCCAAACTGGAAAATGACGGGTGCATACCATAGCACCACGAGTACAGCTGGCACTGGGACCCGAGCTACCCAGACAGGCAGAAGACGCAGCGAAAGCCGGGCCAGATTTACTTGGACCAACTTAACATTAGCATGGCTAACATGCCAGCTGACTGGGTTTCACAGCACAGAGTCGTCTCTGGACACGGTTGCATTCCTCCTGAGTTTCATTATGGATACAGCACAGCTCTTTGTTTACACTGATGTGGCCAGCTCACTGGGTGTCCTCCTCTCTTACTGAGCAATAGTGAAAAGGCAAAAGAGAAAAAAAGATGCACCCATATTAGGGAAGGGGAAGTAACAGCGCATTTAATAATGTTCACAGAACATATAAAAAATGGAGTATCAAAACTGCAACTAACAGCTATGCCAGCACACAGGTGCACTTCATGCTCCACGTCCTCAACAACCTCTCTGTTGCTGCTAAAAGGGAAAGTAAATAGAATGCCTGACTTCTTAAAGCAGGTCTGTCTGTGTTAAAATATCGGAGGTTAACAACTTCTCTATGTAAAGGTTCCCATGAACAGAAACCTCACAAATAAGCGTCGGGATTGTCCGGATAGCTCAATACATTCTGCAGCTGATGTCAGAGCAAAGTTTTACTGCAGCTGGTGGTATTCTGTCATCAGATGTTAGTCCAGATGGTTTACACAAGAGATGTTAATCAACTTAGCTCTGCAGCTGAACTGGATTTAACCCTGCTTGTAGGGAATCTGCTGCTCTAAAATACAGTTACTGCTCAAATATGAGCCTCCAGGCTACATGGAACACACTCCCTGTTTGCCATTGGTTTGTGTGAGGGTGGTCACTTTAATGTCTCAGTAGTTCTGCACCAAAATGAGGTTAGTTAAGAGAAATGAGCAGCTCATTTCCCTCAACAAAGTAGATCAAGTCATTATTGAGATAAGGAACTGTGGTTAAGATCAGGTTCAAGGCCGTTTTAGTGAACTGATTCCAGCATGCTTTGCATGCTCTGACCCATCCACAAACTACACAAATATACAGAGGTGTGTCCTCCTCCTCCTCTGCCAAGCAAACATACCATCACACAGTCTGCAGCGCTCTGCACAGGCTCGTTTCCCAGTGACCAAAAAAGGAACTGTTGCAAAATGTGGAAGATATGAAATAAGACTGCTCAGTCTTAATATATGGTACCAGAATGACTGTGTTCATTTTGGGTGTTGAGCACAAAAAAGTGCTCAACCTTTAGCTGAGCACATTTGTGTATCTTGTTCAGAACAAATACAAATAGCTCCACTGAAAAAGGAAAAACATCTGCCCCACACTACCTGAAGCAACAAGAGGTAGATGTACATTTAAGAAACTGCAGGCATCATTTAAACATGCCTCCTCATTTGTGGCTAACGAATGCAGATAAGCATCGGAATTCAGCTCGTCTCTGTGTCTGCAACCCAAAATGTGACATGGCAGGCCACAGCTGGGCGCGAACAATGAGGAATGGAAGTGGGAGTGTCTAGAGAGATAGACAGTGAGTGAAATGAGGAAGGGTGTGTACTCAAGGAGCACACACGCTAAATCCTCAGAGGCTGAAATGTGGGTTGATACAGATTAAGGAGACTCCCTTCCTCCCAGATGAATGGTGTGCATTTTAATTACAAGAAACTGCTTCACATGTGGCTTATGCGCGCACACAGAGATAAAATGGGGACTGTGGTGGTAGACGGAGGGATGAAAAAGACAGGAAAACTAGGAATGAAGGGAGGGGAGGGGGCGCAGGAAGGGATTGGAAAGGAAACGATTTAAAGAGTTAAGTATGTTGACAGTGTGAGCTGCGGCTGATCTTGGATCAGCAGCACCTAAATAACTACCTTTAATGGTCAAACTCTATGTGAAATATGAGTGGAATCCAATTGGACAAAGCAGTCTAAGAGCACTAATCGTGCTCTTGACAGTTCTGATCAGTTCTGGACATCAACAGAAGAGAGTCTCCATTATCCCTGACAGGACATCCTGCACACACTGTGGGTTCCACTATCAGTGCTGACCACGCCACAGAGTGAATCAATGCTGTTTCCTACTCAACACTATCCTGTTTTAATCCTGTTCACTTAGCCCTGCCGGCAGCACTCGTTTATGGAAATTTGTGCAATCACGGCCTTTAAAAGACTGCAGGGGGTGATGTTGAGTCGTGTGAGCACCAGGCCAGAAGGCTCGATGCCTCTTGCTTTTGCGTCTCCCGCTGGCGTTCAGAAAAGGCCATATCTGCGGGGCTCCTAAATGTCAAAAGTAGCCCCTGATTTGTGGCCTGACACCCCAGTGAAACGTATGAATATTAGCTGTGAGCTGGTGTCTCTGCGACAAGTCCGCCCATGTTCCTTGACCTCTTTTCTCCATCTCCCCGCTCTCATTCCTTTCATTTCTTGGCTGTGATGTGTTTGATGTGTTGCAAGGTGCATGCTGGCTGATATGTATTCCTAACGTGCCTCAGCTCGTCTTCCTTATATGAGAGAAAGAGTGAAAAAATGTGTACTGCAGCTAAACAAAATGTCAGCTGCTAAACACAGACGGTTTACCAACACATTTGGTTTATCAGCTTTTGTACGGGAAAAGGAATTCTTAGCAGCAGGAAATACCTTTGGGTTCGTATTTGATTTGAAATTATGTGATTTAATTATGCCTTTGGTCACATTTCTTAGAAATATGGAGAAATTACTGCAGTGAAAAGTACCTTTTTTTAATTATATGAGCATGTAACAAAATGTTGTTGGGCTATGTCATTTATTAAATCCTGTGCATACTAATGCGATAAATTAAAGAAATTAATGCGATTAATTGCGATGAAAATTGGTAATAAATGTGGGCTTGTGTTAGAGAGCAGAAGGTTTGTAATGCCCCAAAAAAATTTAAAATAAACATAAACTCCTATCAGGACGGAAACGAACACACAAGCGCACACACACACACACACACAGGTGCAACAGTGGGCCAGAACACAGCAGGCAGGTGCCTTTCTGCATGGCTGCTGATGCATACCGGAGACAGACTGAGGCATCTGGGCACTATAAATACTTCCCCGGCTGACCCTGAGCAGGAGAAGGGACTTACAGTACATGATGGATGACCACACAAGTCCAAGCAACAGTAGGCCATTACAGACCACCCAGCCAGCGTGCACGCCACAAGTGCTGCTCATGTGACATACCTCTGCACTGTTTTCTGTTAAACTTGGTTAGCTTCTGAAGTCTAAATTAAATGGGAGTGGGATTGTTATATGACCATCCCCCCAATAAACATTGTACCCATTTATGCCCCAAATTTAAGTAACAGATGGCTCCACTTTCTTTCATTTAAGGTTTTCAGTCTTTTCTTTATCTGTAGATCAAATATGAAATAGACCACTTGAAGATGCAGGGCAATATAAGACCATATTTGTTACAAACTTTCCTATTGAGAAATGTACAATTTTCAAACAACCTTTGTATTTTTTAGACCACAATAATGAAAATAGAAAAACAGAATGATATAAAGTCACAAATGATTCAGCATGTCATTTCCAGTCACGTCATGAGTTTTTACCTTTCTCTTCTTCTGCAACCATAAAGTTTTTGTATTGAAACTTTAAAAAGTGAGCTAATAAGTACAACAAAAACAAGACTGATGCTAAAGTGTCAGCAGTAAGCAGTCATTTTTTATTCTTCTGTTTACTCAAGTGAAACAGAAGTCATCATGTCTAATCTTTAAGGAGAAAGTGAGACTGTCTAATCATAAATTAGTGTATATCTGTCTAAGAAGAAGAAAGTCTTTTTGATAATACATATGATAATAAACGCTATTCATCAAATGGTTTCAGTGTATTTAAAACGGGCCACATTCAGAGGAAAGAAATGACACACAAAAGCTAGAATGCAGGTATAAAGCTGGTTTGGGCTAGATTCTTCAGAAGGACGAGGCAGGGGCAGTCCTGAGAGGTGCAGAGCAGTGAGAGAAAGAAGAAGAAGGCCGGTAACAGAGGGCTTAGGGAGAGATGAGTGGGAAATGGATCCTTTGTTGAGCATGAAGCCAAAGAATCCTCTGAAAAGACACTTAAATGGTGACTCTCCTTTTCTTCTTTTTCAGAGGATTTTATTTCCCTTTGTCTGCTTTTCAGCCCGTCAAAACATAGCCAATAGCTTAAAGATGGCAGCCTTTAAGTCTTTTGTGAAGATAACTTACAACTGGAAGATGTATGACTTTGGCTCCTAACTGTAAATGTGATTCATGCAGCCTGCAATACCACAGCTCCTGTCAGTCTACATTTGAATATTTAACTGAATTTTCACAGAGTAGCTGGTCCGATGCTCTTCTAACTTAGGATTCGATGATTTAGATAAGATGTCCTGTGGTATAGCCATTTCCTGACTACCAACCCATTTCTTCTTAGTCAAAGGCTTCAAACGGTAGAGAGGACTAGTTTGTGGGTGCTAAAGCTATGTGGTTTATATGTTGCCTCTGTAGTTATTTTTGGCTCCTGTTCACACACACAGCAGTCGAGAAGCACTACAAGATAAAAAAGCCTCACCAGGACTGTGCATGCACCAAAGACAAAAGAGACATGGAAGGCGGGCTTATTTTCAGCTATTTTATGAGCTGTACATATATTTAGAGGAAAATATGGTCTGATATTAGCCTCAAAATAACTTATCTGGTCCAAATGTTCCATGGAGTCGAGCCATCTTTGTTTCGTACGGGAAGAAACAGACCAAACTATGTCTGTAGTTGATTAATTCACCATAAAGTGCTTAAAGACATTTTAAAAAACAGTAAAGATAATATTAGCTTAAATTATTTAACTGCTCCAATGTAAAGCCTAAACACATTACCCCGCAAGCTGGGAGGGATAGGTAGTGCATGTTGTTCTTTTAAATTAAAAGTGGTAACAAATTAAAGGAGTTTAGCCACCAAATTATTACATTTATAACTCAGTGAGTCTCCACTCTGGCAGAAAGGGGTCTTTCAGTCACAGAATATAAGATAATAAATCAAACTTTGTTTGGATAAACTAACATCTAAAAACGCATGAATGATGCTGACTTCCTCCATAACTTTGCATTACATCCCACTGCCACAATCCAGATAGTTATAAGAACGGATAGATGATAAATTCCCCCTTGATCTGATCAATTCTGTCCGGTTCTGTCTTTTTCTGGACTGAAGTAGGTCACAGCACCAAGGACAAGCAGCCCTTTGTCCCCTTCCAGCAGGACAGGGACAGGGGGAAAAAGATGAAGAGCACTGTTAGTGCGCACTGCAAAGCCAAACCATTCCACTGGAAAACAATCAGCACCATGCCATGTGCCAGAAACCACAACTGTGTGTGTGTGTTTGTGTGTGTGTGTGTGTTTCTGTCGAGCCGTCACCCTAATAAACATCCCTACTATTAATGCTGGCATCAATGCTGTCAAGAACACCAGTTCAGATCTTCTTTAAAGAAGCCAGATGCTGATTGCAATTGAAGCTGTTACTAAAGCAATTTGAAGCGCGCGCACACACACACACACACGCACGCACACAGACACACACACACATTGCTACTCCAGTTGCCTTTTCCTCCCCCCACACTTCATCAAAGGCTTTTTCTGTGACAGTTTTATGTCCCAAATAGGGCATCGCCAGCAGTGTGTTGGTGATTATTCAAACCTGGTGCAGGGCCAGAGGAAACCTGCTGGGCCACGGCTCGCGTCCAAATCAAGCGGCGCCGCCTTATCGCAGCCCGCAGCCACGGCAACCGCACAACTTCTTGAGGGATACCAAAATAATCTACTGCATTTAGGTGCTGATGAGGAGAAAGAGCGAAGCCTCACGCAGGTGCATTTCAAAAGGCCATCAGATGTGGTGGCGGCAGTGACTGATTCAGCCACGCTGCGTCTGCCACAGAGGATGGAACGTCCCCGTCCTGCGTGCGACACATCAAACGCTGCCAGCACCCAGCCATCTTACCATCCATGTGCAAAAACTGTTCCGCCAGCTGTTTCCCAGCCGCCATCAGGGAATCAGCAGCGTCACATCGAAAGAAGCTGTCAGTCTCTGACAGACTGGCAAGAGTGAACACAGCAAGCAGGGCGCAGCGCTCACCAGAGCACAGCGGGACGGGAGCGGGCTGATGACAGCTGGGCAGATGTGTATAAGAAGATAACATACAAAGTGTGTTACAAATACACCTCGTCTTCTCCTCTTCGGCTTCGTTCTGTCATTGACAACCATCTTTGTGAACCCTGCGAGCACTTCCCTTTGCCCGAGGACACGGCACAACCAGCCACAGATGATTTAACCTTCTTTGGGGAAGTCTGACAAGAGGGCAAAATGAGGCACGGCCACGCGTTAGTGTGACTAACACAGTGTCCGCCGGGCTGGGACGTTGCTTACGGTGGCAGCAAAGGAATGCACAGATACTACTCAGGGTATCTGCTGTCATAAAAAGTTTGTCCAGCTGGCGGCCACAGGAAAGAGGGCACTGAGCACAGCTGGTAGAAGTGGGACATGAAGGGTGCATACAGTAGCTGCAATGCTATGTGAAGGAGGGGGACTTTTGGCTTGATTCTGGCCTAAATAAGTTATCATCTTTGGCACACTTCCCACCTAAGTTGGATAGGAATCTGGACTCCCGAGGGCTGTTGCTGGTGTGGTGTGCTGCTGTACTCAGGAGGGATGACACGACAGTTGGCCCAGTGTGGAGCCGCTGCTTAGTCAGCGCCCCATCCAGAGCTGTCTGTCCACACCAGCAGCCTGTAATCATCAGCGCGCGTGGGTTATGCGTTGTGTGCGTGTGTGTGTGTGTGTTGTGTGAACACCATATGTTTAAAAGTCCTGCAGCATTTTGATTTTAAATTCAAACAGACGGACTAACCCAGGAGGAGATACCAGGGCGTCCTCTCAAGCCTCTGGCTACCACACATAGTGTGTGTGTGTGTGTGTGATTCATGTGCATGTGTCAAGCACGAGACACTTATCGTTCCGCACAGGCTGGGCCCGCGCTGTAATAAGCCCAGTCACTGCTGAGGCAGGGATTCTTTTTTTCTCTCAGAAATATATATATTTATATATAAGCTTCTGAAAAACGGGAAGTTAACTGGTGGGGATTTTGCATAAAAAGGAACTCTAAGGAGCTCAAAGTCTCTTTGCGCTTAAAAATGCAACTGTGTGCAAAAGTTCACTTTGTCTGAACCAGAAGAGGTAGTACAGACGAAGGTCACAAAGTTGTCTGATATAGAACTTCCTTCTTTTTCTTTTACACTGCTCCAAACGCAAACTATGCAAACAAACAAAAAAGTTCTTAAACTGAGTTTGCAGCCTGTTAAGCTGTAGTCAGCAAACAGCAGCAAATGACAGAGGTGCAGATATGAGAAAAAAAGTGACATCTCAAAAGGGTTATCAGACGCTCATTAAATGCTGCACCTTTATTGTTGCCATTTTATTTACCCTAAATGGATATTCACTTCTATCCTGAGCCAAGTCGTGCACTTTATGCTTTTGTAAAGGTGGAGGCCTCCATCCACAGCAGTGAGTAAGTTCCACCAACTTATTAAAATCACAAGTCTTTAATGATCAGATCAACATTTCTAAAGACGCGTGTAAATCCAAAAAACATATGTTGCTCTGAAGTACACATGCAACATGAATAGATTCAGTTACGTGTAAAGCACAACAGTTGGAGATGGCCAACTCTGATAAGCATAGCTCACATGGTGGACATCGCAGACCAATGTCCCTACGCCTCAAAGCTAATCTGCAGTGGACGCGACATCAAGAAATACATCAAGAAATATATGAGAATGTTTAAAAGGCGTGATCCAAGAGGGTTTCAAAGACATCAAAGTCCTAATTTACATATCTAGCATGGTTGATATAATTAGGAGTTGATTGGGGGAAAAGCGTTGTCATGAAAGAGGAGCCAACAACCAATGATACTGCAAGATTTGGAAGACATGCGCAAGAAGGGGCAAAAATCAGACAAAGACAAAAAAATATAGGAAGCAACGAACCCAACACAAGTTTGTATTTGACGTACTGTCAACAACACCTGACAACCTCTAATGCAAAACCATGGAGGAATAACAAGAAGTGTAACAAATCAGAGACGAGTCTGAAAAGCAAGCTGAAGTCTGGATGGAGCTCAGGTGGATAAAAAAAAGGGGGTTACATCCAGAAACCCCCCCCAAAAACTGGAAGTCTGTGACTCTCCAATGCAGATCGCCCCTGTGTTGCAGCAGCCTGACAGCAGGCTGTTAATGTGACTCATGGTGTTTAATGTAAACAGTAGAAGGATCTGATGAGAGTGGAAAATCTGGTTATAGTTTGCGTTGTTCAGTCACTAATGTGCCCCTATTTTAGCCTCTCTTAAACATGTCTCTGAGCCAGAGCTGCGGCGCCTTCACTGGGCATCACGTGACAGCGGAGAGGAAGAACTGAGGGTGGAAGCTGATGCAAGTCCTCAGAATCCACAATTAAATCAATTAAATCGGATAATTGGTGAACTGGAAAGCAAGACAATGAAACAACAAAAGAACTGAAGTTCAAATGTTTGAAGGCGAACTGAAGACACAAAAAAAAAGAAGAAATAAAACAAAAAGGGTGAATTGTAACACTACTGCTCAGACATGAATGAGGGTGACAGATAAAAGCGGAACGTCGCACAATGAGAAGCACTCACGTGACCGTCCTGAGCTGTTTCTTTTTGTCTAAACAATAAAACAAACAGAGTAAATCTAAACTCTGCTGAGTATGTAGGTTACACCAGATCTCATTTGGCCCTCTAAAAGAACAGTTCTTCCCACACCCACTATGTGAGTGGCACTTCCAGCGTGGCAGCTCCAACGCCGACAGCCAAATCCTAATCACTTCCCTTTAGATTCCGCTAAAGTGGCAGTGAAATTAATCAGTAAGAGAGAGAGAGACACGGGAGCGGCTGCGTTTGCGCACATACAGAGCTGGATACGGCGCAACGCAATCAGGGACGTGAGGCTGAACGTGTGGGACTCTTTGGCATGCACGTCTTGTCAGAGCTGGCCCAGAGCAGAAAGGCAAGCACCGGCCCCGGGCCGTGCTGATGGATGAGGAGGGATGGGGCTAGTGAAAGTTGGCTTCAGAGCACGCCACAGCTTCTAACCTGCAACGGCCGCACAAATAATATGAGAACCAAACAAACACTTGAGTAGTTGTTAGGAGAGAGAGAAAAAAGATCATTGGGGGCAATTTAAGCTTTACAGTCTGCTTTGATCCAAATCTTAGTGCAACAATCTCCACTACAAAGTCAGTCAGCTTTAAAATGTCAATACACTGCAGCCTGTAGTTTCCTGTGTGGTTCACCACAGGAATGGTGTGGGGGGGGGAATGATAGAGGGTGGGGCAGTGCAGTGTTAAAGGAGGATATATTCTGGCTGAGGTCCAATCCCTGCATGTGGGCCTGAGCCCCCCCAACACCCTGCCTGCCTGAGATCAATGCTGCTCTGCTCTCATGGACCTGCTGAGGGGGGGCGCAGTGATCTAGCAGAGCCGAAAGGGAGGACATGGGGAGATCTCGCCGAAATATGCTACAAGGATGAAAGCAGACAAGTACGTCAGCACTCGGGCTTTGTTCAGCAGGATGTAGGAGGAAAATGAAGAAAAAAGACTGTGAGGAACAGGGGTAGAGAATTCTAGGTGCTGCTGACTCTGCTCTTAAGATGAGGGACTCTCCTGTGCTAAAAATACATGCAGGTTACCGTGGTCTCCCTCGAGCAAAGAGTAGACAGATCCCCGCACTGCCTCACTAACACTGCAGTGACGGCGCTTCCTCAAACTCTTCCCCCTGCCTCGGATTGTTAGGAGCAGGTAAAAGGAAAACCTATTTTGCTGTGGTTCCCACTGCAACTCTGTTCCAGAAAAACTGAAATCCTCCTGCAACATTTCTCCATGTGTACTTCATTTTTACATCTCTGCTAAAACGATGACAGAATTTACAGCCCTGTGACATGGTAATTATACAGGGTTGGGTAACACTTTTTTTTTAGGCAGCTACTTTAAGGGAAGTCCTGAACCCATGTAAGCTGAGAAGGTTTCCATAAATACTGAGAGGATATAGAGTTCCCAATAATCTGAGGGCACTCTCACTCCCACCAAGATTTTCCTTTTTCTTTTTATAAACAGAAGTGCTTTTGAACCCGAAATGGAAACAACCTAGTATTATTTAAGATGGGGGGGGGGGGGGGGGGGGTTGTTTTAAAGCTGAAACGAGGCGGTGTCCATGAACTTCCCATCTGGAATGTGAATGTCATGTTCTCACATGCTTCTCTTGTCTGATAGCAGGTCCACCTGCAGCTCACAGAGGGTGCCAGAAGGTTTTTGGATGACTTTTGCTGCACATTTATTAGCTCTGACTTCACCAAAGCGTTATGATGTTTTCTTTTTAGACTCCAGTGAACTCCGACTCCTCCAAAGCATTACATGTCCAGCTAAACTTAACCCGACAGTCACCAGAGGGGTAAAAAAAAAGAAAAGAAAAAAGTGCTCCTGTAATGATAGAACTGTTCCAAAATCACACAAGATTTCCGGTATTTACACACTTTTGACACTTTCATATCTGCGATTGAAAGGTCAGACTAACTCCTGAAGAGATCCTTTAGAGAGGCAGTCTGGACTGTGGCTATTCTGTAATCCATAGCTCCATACACCCTCCCAGAACTCGAACCTGTGCCCTCAGCTTTTAAGGTTTGTGCTGTCACAAAAAAAAGGGGAAAAAGGTGAGCGTTAAGTTGAACTCAGCTTTGCAATGCAACTGCCCCATGCATCTGTGTGTACGTGTGTGTGAATACAACACAAGCTGTGGATGTAGTGTATTGTGTGTGTATGTGGCAGAATCCAAATGAATGCAGTGTTCATGTTCAAACAAACTGAGCTACATCAGAGGCTTGCTGCTCCACCTTGCAGAGGGCCAGCTGAGGCATGGTGGCTGTCAACGTGCCCCATTCAACGGGAAACCTTACACACATTCAATGAGAATAATGAACTTCAGGAAGTCCTACACTGGTGTTCACTGCCTGACAGAGTGGACCAAACTGGACCACGGTCATGTTAAAAGCTCCACCGGCCAGTCGAGTGAGTAGACGTCAGTAATATTGACGATAATTAAACTAATTACCGTAAACCAAGGGTCAGCGTTTTGTTTTTTTCCCTTCATATCTGATGCACGTCGGGCATTTCTATGCGTTGAACCTCGCGCTGCTGTCAGTTTAACCTGAATAACTTAACCCACCATAGCAGAGAAATGCTTCCGACCCAAACAGACACACAACAGTTGTCACGCTCCGGTGGAAGCCTGCATTTCCCCGTGTTAGCATTGTGTGTTTGCTCCCACCGCGAGAGCTCTCTCACGCACTGCTGTAATGGTGCGTTCACGGCGAGCGAACTTACCTAAATCATCCATGTTGGCCGGAAATGGTTCCAACGCTGAGAACTGGACCGGCCCTTCTCCCTGATGGTCACAGCTGGACTGCGGGGGTGAAAAAAAAACAAAAAGCAGCCGACAAGGCTCCGAATCGCCAAACCTCCGAGAAGGGGTGTCTCTCACTGGGAGCAGTTAAGTTTTAAAATCCCCCTGGTGTTCGTCGAGTCTCCTACTAATTCACAAACACACACAAACCTGGTTGCACCCCCACATGAGTCCTCAACTGTCCACATCCAGCCCCCCTGCCAGTCCCAGAGCCGCAACACAGAGAGGCCAGCGGCACCTAGCGACAACACCGAGTTCTCCAGCCTCAAACGTCGACATTTCACCGACCGAACTAGTAGGAAAAAGATCAACTAACCACTGAGATGACGTGGTCATGCGCACATAGGTAAACGGTCAGGGACGGTGAGATGTGGGACAAGGCTCCGCCAGAAGAGACTGAAAAGATGCCCATAAAAAAAACAGAAAAAATAGATGAGCCAGCAGTGCTATATGTTTTGTCATATTAACAGTAGAAAACGGAAACATGACTACATTTAAAATCTTGCTTAAAGTTGTTTACATAAAGATTTTTGCTTCTTTATTTACTTCTTTATTAACTGATTGTTTTGCACGCTATCACAAATACGGGTTCTGATAGATATAAAAATAGACTTTTCTTCATGTAGGTTAAAAAACAGGCAAAACTGAAGTTATAAGTGAAAAAGTCAAGATTTCAAACAGCTGAAAAATAAAATGATGGCGGTATTATTAGAGTACTGTAGTTTCATCTTTAACGCATTTTTGCCCCCTGACAACTTTATGGGCCTCCAGGTACGATCATGTATTTTTATGTGGAAAGGTGTATGGAGAGAATAAAGGAAACAGTAATGGCGAAATGACCTCATCCCCTTTTACAAACCCTGCTTTGTTCTTATGATATCTTCAAATAGTAAGTTTGACCACTGAACCTATCTGGATGTCATGCTGTTTGCCAAGCAGGATTAACTCGTTAGCAGATATAATAGACATGGTCTGGGCATGTTGTTCTATGAAGAAATAACACCATGTTTACGACTTAATATCTGTAGTTTTTATTGAATTAAGTTTTAGCACAATTAAATGAATCCAATAAAGATTCTACAGTCACGCAGCAGGATGAGAAGTAAATGTAAACCCCTCCATCGTCTTGGGATGGCATCCTCGAAGAAGTTATCTTTGGAAATACTCACTCAGCACAAATTGACAGTTTTAACAGAGAGCTATTATCATCCATTATTTCTCATGCATAGAAGTCAACCAAATGCCACTCAGGCACTGTATTAGAACTCAGTAGAGAGCAGTGATTGCACTGTCAGCACGCTGTAAGATGTTCCCTCTGAGGAAAGACGGCTGTAAATCTTCTCTTATGTTCCTGCAGGGAATTGTAGTGTGTGATCCTCAGCAGAGGGATCGTTGTTATCTCAGGTTTTAGTGGATTTTATGTGGTTTTAATGAGATTTTTATCAAAGCTGCCACTTATATCTAACTTCCTGATTATTTGTAGCTTTGAATTTGGGGAGTTATTCAAGACTTAAGGCCTATCAGGTCTGTAAATGTTATCCTTCATAATAGCAAATTGCTTTATTTCATCTTTCATTTTCTTCAGAGGCCACTAGAGGGTATTCTCATACAATCTTTCAGAGGCTCAGAGGAAGAGTTGCCTCTAAATGTAATTTAATCTTGAGAGTTCAGTTTCTCATCTCTTTATTTGATCTTTTCCTTTAGATATTAATGTAGCGCTAATGCCTTCAAGCAGCGTTTCAAGATTTTTTGTTCAAGACCTCGGAAAAAGCTGAGATCCAAGTTTGCTGTCTGATGTGTGCCTTTGATTTTTTAATTTTGCCCAGCTCTCAGTACTTTCTCTCGAATTCTTCCTTTGCTCTAGTCTGTGTGCTCAACGACAGCAGATTAGTTAAGACGACACATCCGTAGCATTTTTAATGAGACAATGCAAAGAGCTGTCTATATTTTTCCAGACTGCTCCAGTGATATAGTTGTTTTGTTTTATTCAATCAACATGGAACTTAATTGAAAGAAACAGCCTTCAGCATAATGATGTTGGTGGTAAACAACACTCTTTACTGTACATTTGTAGCATGAGTTGCAGCATTACAACTTGTTCTTGTAACCACAGTCTTCTGTACTCATTCAATTACGGTAAAGAGATAGGTAAATGCTTTAAAGACATCTCAACAGAAACATTATTTAAGCTTTTCCCGTGTTTCTCCTCCAACTAGATCAGAGAAATGTGTCATTTTTTTTAATCATAGCTAAAAATGATTACTTTCACGCATCAAGAATGTATGTAAACTTTGTTTCAACATCATTTTGGATTATGAGATAAATTTAAGTTCAGTATTTCATTTATTTATTTTATTCACTTCTATCTGGTCTCCACACTCTCATCTAGAAAATTCACTGTCCCGTTTCTAAATTCCTCCAGTACCATGAGTCGCTTGTAAATAACCTTTCATCCTTTTTTGTTTCTAGGCTTTCATTGTGTATGCAGTAGCTTGACAGAGTGCCACTTTTTACCCTCAGCCTAACCCCCTCCACTTTGTCTCTGGAGACACTGTGTGTTAAAAATATGAACCCTAATACTTAAGTTGATCCAAACATTCATCTATCACCCACCTATGTCCCTCCGCCCCTCTCCAGTAGGCAGTTCCTCAGCGTGGGGCTCTCCTCACGGCTCCACACACTCCAGCTGAAACAACAAGGGATTTTCCCCACCAAACACACCCCCCCACCAAGGTCTATCAAGTGAGATAGGTGAAGCTGGAGAGGATTAGTGCCATCCTTTTGGGACTCTGCCCCCCCCCAAATCCCTGGTATAGCATTACCTTCCTCACATCAGCACAGGACTAAAATAACTACAGTAAAGCCACCTGGTTCAGGGGGCCAAACATTATCTTGTCGTCTTCATCCTCAGTCGGCTAAGATAGCATCTGTCTAAAAAAGCAGGCTAGTAGCCATATTTGAGAAGGTTTATTAGACTGACATGCATAAATCTAACCCATGGTTATGACAATATTGACTATTGGGTGCACAAAGTTATGAGGAGGACCGTTATGATTATTCTCAGGTGAAATGTACTGAGGACAAAGCAGAGTTAGAGCAAGAGAGCAGACTGTTGTAATGTTCTTGATTGTCAATTTTTTTTAGAGCCTAGAGAACAACGTTTTGTCAAGATCCTCCGATGGGGTCACTATTGCCAAAAAATGAAGCCAACATACAATTTTGGTAATCAGTCCATTTTTTCTTCATGGACACTGCGTCACCTTGAAGAAAATGGTTTTCTGTCAGATGAATATGTGGGCACGAAGGCCTACTCCTGGTCCTTTTCCTCTCCGTGAGTAATGATATGCACCAGGTTTTTGTAATCCAGATTTCCAGCCACATCAGGGGGGAAGGCAGTGAACATCTGCTCCATCTACTCCACAAGGAAGAGGGAGAATACACACAAGAACAACACATTACTCATTTTTCATGAGAGAGTGGCACGATTCACAGATTGTGTGCGTGTTTTAAATATTTTGCATGAAAATGCGCCTGACGTGGAACTATGTGGTCGTCAGAGTGACGCTCATGCTCGTATTTTTCAGACGCACACACCAGCGCAAAGCACTCTGCTATAATGATGGCAATTAGTGTAAAAAGACCACAGTGTACCTCTTCAGCAGAGAATCGGTCGGCCTGGGTTGTTAGCATCTGTGTCACGCTGAAGATTGAAAAGAAAACGAGTTTTCACAGCAGAAGGAGAAGTGCAGACCACAATGATCTGTCCTGAGGCAAACAACTGTAGTCGTACGCTTATGCAGCACTGCGTCCAACAGATTTGCATATTTCCAAGAGACGTGTTGGAAGAGGAGTGTTATTTCACTTACTGGTCCTTCCTCAATACCCCCTTTCCTTCGGGATCAAAGACTTTGAACGCATTGAGGATGGTCTCCTCTGGGTCAGCACCTGGACATATTCAAGAAACCATCACACATCTTGCAGCACGTCCACAAATAAGCTTTGCATACCGTACGCTTGTGTGTTTCTCTTAGGTTAAATTAGCATCGGAGGCATCCTGACCTTTCAGCTTCTCACCGAACATGGTGAGGAAGACTGTGAAGTTGATTGGGCCTGGAGCCTCTTTGAGCATGTCGTCAATCTCCTCCTGCTTCACGTTCAGACGTCCTGTGGCAGCAAATAGTCAATGTGAACGTACAGCGTGAAGAGAATAAGTAGAATAAGCAGGTCAATCTGCTGAAAAGTGAGAAAAACTAGGGAATGTTGCTGATCCACCATCTGCTTTGCGCTTTAGCTGATGATTACTTCGCAGAGACAGTGGTCACCAAGATAAGTGAGAAATGGATGTGAGGATACCTAGAGCAGCAAAAGTGTCCCTCAGGTCATTCTTGTCAATGAAGCCGTCTCTGTTCTGATCCATGATGGTGAAGGCCTGAGATCACAGCAAAGAGAGTTTAAAAGGTGACTGCACAGTCCACAGTAATCTAATGAATTGCCTTTATTCCCTTGATTCTTGTGTGTGTGGGTGGTTTGGGGGGACAGGTCCATAGATGAGCTGGAAGAGCAGTGTTAAGTATTTATAACACGCCAATCCCCCTCAGTCTGGCATTCAGGGCATGCCCTGTAGTTCATCTCCAGCCTAATCACTGATGACAAAGTCTGAATGTCTGGGCACCACCGACCCTCATTCCTGCATACCACGAGCCTCACTGCTCTCAAGTCAGCGGCAGGAAAATAGACAGGTGGGCATACTGTTGTGATGAACAATGGAAAAGATGAAACAAAGAGGGAAAGTAGCTGGAGACCTAAACTTGCTGCCTTATAGACCTCAACCCTCAACACTGGGATCTAGTTTTTTTCATTCACGAGCCATTATTTTTCTAATCTTAGTTTGGCAGCTTTCACCTCTTTGAATTCCTGGATCTGGGCCTGTTCAAACATGGAGAACACATTGGAGTTGGCTCCCTCTGCTGCCCTCTTCTTGGCTTTCTTTGGGGCCTATTAGCATAGATACAAAAGGAGAGACGAGGCAGACATTAGATGCTTGTTAAAGCAAAATTGTGCGTCACACAAACCTGAATAAAATGGCTTCATGATGGAATATTCATGCCAGAAAAAAATCCCTTGAAAGGGCATCACATCAGTTTCACATTTATCTAGAAAAATATGTTTAAGACATATTAAGGTAATTAAAAGTTACCATAAATGTTAACATTGGTGTTAATTGATTTTATACATTGTTTTTTTTAAACAAATGAAGAACATCACTTTTTTAAAGCAAAATATTGAGCATCTGAAAAAGAAAAAAAAGGCATCATCACACACATCAACTTACCATGGCTGAGCAGCTGGGGTGTCCGACTTACAATGATGCCAGTGAACAATGGGGAGATTGTGGGTGGCCTTTTGTATCCCAAAGCCACAGCTCCACTGGATGATATTAATAAACTATGTCCTCTTTAGGAAGTGACAGGTAAATGATGCTTCATACAGAGCATACAGTAACGCATACTCGCCAAAGAAAAGGAGAAAGAAAAGCGCGGACACACAGTTAATCATCTCTTCATGTAGTTAGAACTGACACTGAACATAGTGGAGAGTGGAAGGACTGGTCTAGAAAATCAAGAACTGACTGAGGGTTCAAACTTTCAATCATCATCTGTCTGCAAACCACAGTCTTCATTGTGAAAACTGCCAATATTATGAGAATTGCATGAATAAAAAAAAATAAACAGAGCAGAGCATGGAGACTCATGGGGTGGTTGTTGAGTTTTTAAAAAACATTTTTTAAATCTAATCAGATGCAACTGTTTATGTTCAGAAAATATTTCCGACCAAAATCTAATTAATTCCTGATTACATTGCTTATGAAAACAGGTCGAATATCAAATATCTTTGACAAAGTTGACATTTTTCTGAAACAAACTGAACTTTGTGTAAAAAAACATACATTTAGCAGAGAAATCAGAGCAAAGGTGTTTAGGGGGGAATAGATCAATTTAAATAAGGTCTATTTGGGAATCCACATTTCTAACATCAATAATTAAAGCTCTAAAAAACCTGATCAGTCAAAGTCTGTCGTCTCGGTTATTACAGCACTCGGCTCGGTCATGGACCCTCATCCACAACACTGTAATCAGCACATAATTTGATGCTCTGATCCGAGCACCAATCATGCCTTCTTGTCATTTTAGAAAAAAAGATGAGAGTGCTTGAAAATCACCAGCTCATTAAGTGTAATTTAGTGACCTGTCAGGACAGAATGAGAGCCAAACCTATTCGCATTTCTCTTCAGCTTCCTCACATCACTGGTATGGCTGAGCTTTCCCTCACAGAGCCATGTTACAATGACAGACTCTGCATGCCCATATTCAACCTCAAGTGAAAGCATCTGTTGATATTTAAGTGTCTATTTTCTGTTTCCCTCATCTCTCATCTACTGGAACTAAACCATGGTGCAGCCATTCTTGCCGTGAAACGGATGGACGGGATGCTTTAAATCTATAAATCAAATAATGACCAGAAATGAAATATGCAAGGAAGAAAAGGGAAGGCCGTCTGCCGAGCACTGCACTGGCTGTTAGAGGAGCAGGGTCTGAAAACAAAGCTCAAGAATGTCAACAGCATAAAGTGTGACATGTCGAAGTGTGACACTGGGCACATCCTTACAACGTGCCACGTCTCTATGCACCATTAACAAGTCATCCAGTGTCACTTCAAGCTCCCCGGTCAAGAAAAGCGACAGTGTGTGAAAATGAGCTAAATGGGCCGAGGTTAGGAGGGGAGGCCACAGGTGTGGCAGCTATATAAGGAGAGGCGCTGAAAGCCTCCTTGCGCTCCGGCCCCCTCGCTGCTGAACCCAGCGCCGAGGATGAATTAACGGCAGCTGCTGCTGTCGGTGTCAGCTCACAGCATTGTGTACAAGGAGGTCAAAATTAGACGAGTTATTGTTATCCAATGAGGCAGGGGCTGTTAAAAACTTTAACAGCGGTCCCCTCCTCAGCTCGTCTTGGATCCCGGCGGCCGCTCCAGCCTCTGTAGCTGGAATGGCAGTCTATTGTCACATCGGCTGAGCACTAGGATCAAACACCTATAAATAGACCAGCCTCTTCCAACACAATGGATGTGGACAAATGGCCATTTCATTTACAGTCTCAGAGTTTGGAAGCACGGGAGAGGAGGGGAAATGACTTCAGATGACCCCACTTTTATCTCCTTTACCTTAAAAATGCACTGAAGAAACAGCGTATAAACTGAAAAAAGTAAAACAAAAAGTAAATGCATAAAAAAGGGCACAAAGCAGACGTTTGAATTGAAAGACAAAGCTTGTAATATTTAATATTATGTGACAAAGTCTCTACAGAGAACACTAATTAAACATTTGTTAGCAGACATCAATATCATATCCAGCATTACAGCAATATGATCAGGATCCTGTGAAAGCATAAGGAAATTAAAAATATAAAATTAAATCCAAATAAGATGCAAAACCCTTTTGTACAGAGTCCTATAGACACCAAAAATGTGCGTTGCTTCTGGTGTCCTTTTTTTTTTTTTATATGGAACATTTTTTTAAAAAGTCTGCTCTAGGTTTTAATGCATTCAGGCTTTTTCCTATCTTAAAAAAATCATTTAAAAAACTGAACAAAAAAAATGCCACTCAACATTTGAAAAATGTCTTCCTGCCAAATGCCTTGCTGTTGATTGACACCAGGAAAATTTAAATTAGGCATCTCAATTGCTTACATTCAGAGAACCTGATAATAAAAAAAAAGAGGAAAAAAATAGTTACATTTTTTTCCCAGTAGGTCAGAGCTTGATGCGCAGAAATACTCTTGGAGAAAAGGGAGCAAATAATTCAGATTTTTTCAAAATTTGAAATTAGACTGTCTCAACTTGCTACAAGAGGAGATTTGGTACAAATGATCACATGAATTGACTGTGCAGATAGTAATAGTTGAATGAAAGAAGATATTATTCACGTGCTTCAGTGTTAAAATGTGGGGTAGAAATATAACCCAATGAGGCAGAAGCAGAAGACAACACTCCGTTTCATTTTAGATATACATATCCATGCCATTTACGAATCAGGAGAAAAACAAAGATTATTTTCATCTTCACCTTTAACATTTTTGGGTTATATACAACTGTAAGGGACACTGTACAAAAAGAAATGTTCAAGTACTATGTGGTAAGCTTTAGTCATGATTTTTTTTCTCCCATCCCCTCTGATGGATGGAAATGCAGAAACAAGTTTGATCCAGATACAATCACTCACTTGATAAAGGACATCAGGACATATTAAAAGATTACTCATCAGACATTCAAGAGGACAATTTATCACTTTTTTCTTTAACAAAAATAGACATGGCTTGTCCAGCCTTGAAATTCCCTCTCAGTATATATATATATGTATATATATAAAATTATGTCTTGTCTATTTACAGTCAGATTGCGTTCTGAAGGATTAGAAAGGTCCTGCTCCATTGCTGCTGGGGATAGTGGGTAGTGCACTTGGGTCATGTCAACCTTTCGGGGGCTGACAATTTTATAGTGTGTGGTTCTACGGGGAAGTTCTGATGCAGGGGAGGTGGGAGTGGATCAGGGAGGGTTCAGTTATCTATGCATCTTTTACTAGATTAATTTACTCTCCAGCTAGGTGCCGTCCGCAGATGGCGGACAGACGACTGGGCCGAAGATGATTGTAATTAGCCGAAGCTGATTGTGTGCTGACATGTCAGCGCGAGGCTGGAGTCAGAGGTACTGCTGGATGGACAGCAGGTGACCTGCTACACGTCTGCCCTGATCTGGAGCTACTGAGGACAGTTGCAATAATGCTTTTTTCAGTCAAACAATTTGCTACGGCTTTGCTCATCTCCGCTGATCACTACAATCTAAAAGGTAACTAAAAATCAGCAAAACCCACCAAGTCAAGTCCTAACTTGACAGCTCGCGTCCCAGATTTTCTTAGAAGGAGAAACTATCTCTAATTAGCAATCCCTACTCAGAGTAGAGAACACATGCTGAAAAACATAATAAAAACCTTCCCAGGTAATTTTAGCATTCTGTTCTTTACTGAAAAAAAAAACCTGATTCTAAAGACATCTCTTTATTTTCTCATGTTCTCACTATGTTCTGATAGCAAGGTTGTTTCCAGTTTGGGTCTTTCACTTCAGGCAAAACAGATGTGTGGCAGTGTTTCATCATGAGTTGGTGACATCTCACTGTTTCTCTGCTCCATCCTTTGTCTTCACAAAGATGATCTGTATATGAGGCTCAGCTGCTTCTCAAACGGATGATTGGTCCCACACCTGAAGGATGAATACAAGTTCAGGTACACAGGAAATTGAAACATATGCCTAATTAGAGGAATTCATTCTTAATCTCAGTCTATGTAAATGTACAGGAATTCACCATTCAGTGATTATGATGATGGTTATCAGAAGCCCCTTAAAAACATGCTGGGATCACTGGATTGTGATCACAGGATTGTGTACAGTAGAAATGGCTGACAAACCTTGTTAACAGGGTTTATGGGCGTGCGGCCAGAGCCAGTGTGAAGCCTTTGACGCTCCTCATATCGTCCAGGAGACCTCTCCCTCCGGACGTCCATCATGCGGCCTGGGGAGCGGTCCATGCGAGGGTCTGCCATGGCCCTGCCCGGGGAACGCTCTAACCTGGGGTCGCCCATGGCCCTGCCGGGGGAGCCTACTATCCGGCTCTCCAGCATTCTGCCGGGAGACTTCTCTCTCTCCAGAGGACGACTGGGAGACTTGTCCCGCCGAAACTCTGTGCGAGCCTCTCGGTAGCGGTGAGGTGTGCCTGGATCTCCGTGGACTAGAGGATTGGCAGCCAGCCTTTTAGAGATGTGCTCATTGTAGGAGGGAGGCCCACGCTTGTTGGGGCTGCGAAGAGGAACCGATGCAAAAAAAAAGCACCCATGGGATTTGGTTAAAGGAAGAGATATTTTGTGTGTCAGGTCAAGGGCTTTGCTTGGCACTGTGGGAGTCTGGCTGCTTAGAGAATGTAAAGAGGATAATGAAGTCAAAATAACACGTATCTCATATGGTAACATAGTCCGCATGGTTACTTGTGATTAGTGATGACTCCTGAATGAGATGGAAGTCTGAGGATGATTTTATGAGCAACAGCTTTGATGGAGAGTCAAACCGCAATAGACCAGTCTCAGGAAATGGAGAAAGAATTTATTCAGCAAATTCCTTTCAATAACGTTGGGAGGCAATCCAGAGGCCATGAATTAAAAAAAGGAATAAAGAAAATTAAAAATACATTTTAAGATTTATTACAAATAAAAAATGAACCCCTCTTCCTGCAAGCAAAAAAGAAAATAGAAAAAAAAAGAAGAAAAATAAGATGAAGTCATTTTTCCAAACATTATAGTAATTCAGCCATCCCCACCAGTGGATGCCAGCCCGTGCCCTTCAGTGCCAGCTATGCCCAGTGACCTGTCAACACCAGTGTGCATGAAAGAGCCCAATGCTTACAGAAACCTGTAATGTCAGCTCTCACTTCTTGCCAGTATTTGACACCTTGTGCCTAAGAGACATTTCTGACAGTGACCATTAACAATTAAAACAAATCTTAGAAAGTGCCTTTTGGATCACATGTGTCCCAAACATAAGAATTAAGGATAACAGAAGGTGACTGTGAGCTGGGGCTGATTTAGACTGTCTGTGTGTTCTCACCTGCGTCCAGAGCTGTTACGCTGAAGATCTCCTCCACCTTCTTGATTCTGGACCAGGTTTCCTTTGCAGCAGATGACCCGTAGTTTGTTTTGGTAAGATGACGCCAGGTAGATGGCTCCTGAGGAGATGGCAGGGCCAAGGTAGCGTGGGTTTGGGATGTCCAAGTGTGCGTATGAGTGCGGACTTGAGAAAAAGAAGAGTGGGAAAATAGAATAATAACCACCGTACCCTTCAAATATTAAAACACTAAATAGATGATATTCCTCATGGTTCTCAAGTGATGGGTCAGTAATAAAACTTTGGAAGCTTGGCACATACATAAAAAATTAATAAACCAATAAAAACAGAATCTTCTTACCCAAGTGCAGCATGTCCCTGAATCTCAATAACATCCAGAGAGTTGAAGTAGGTCACAAACAGGTAGGGTTCCCTATAGGCTGAAACACCAACATACCGCTTCAATCATCAATGTGTTTTCTCTAATACAACTGACAAAATTAAGGCTCGTTACACTCGGGGGGAAACAAAGACAATGATTTACACTAACCAAATGAGAGGGGCAGACGGCTCCATTTGATATCATCTGTTCTACTCCTGCGGCCATATGAATCCACAAACACACCAAACTCTGCAAAGTAAATTCCAGCTATTGGTCAAAATTAACCAATCCCAAACATAACTGAAGGCACAATCCTAAAACCAATTAAAATCGACATTGCATACAAGAAAAGCTGTTTCCAGCATTGGCTTTACCTCTTGTATGTAATCAAATGTGTGAATGATATACTCATGTGTGCCCACGCAAATAAAATGTCTAACCATGGAAACAGAGCAGGTATTCATCTTTCTGTGGGGCTGTGGTGACCTGAATGATGGAAATAGGAAAACTGTGGGAGGATGCAGCGAAGACAGCCGAAGCAAGTGTTACGTCGTTTTTATCCAGGAACTCTGCGGAAAGAAAATCATCAGTGTCAGCTGGGAATGCTGAATTCACACAGAGACAAAATGGAACTTCCCTCGATTGGCATCCGGCTGTCAAGAAAGAACACTTTAAACCACAGCGGCCTACCTTCCAGCACATATTGCTTCATCTCGATTTCATAGAACTTGTTGGTGCCGATAATGATGCTGTAGCCAGTGAAGTGAATACAGCTGCAAGGCTCAGATGTCTCAATCTCCTGCAAACACAAAATCAAGTCAGCAGAGCACAAACCGTTTAGCACACCATCTATGAGCCTTTACGGTTCATTCACCTTTCTGATGCAGAACTTGTTGAGGCTTTCATTGTGTCGCAGAATTGTAATTTTGTTTGGCATAGCGGCACAGATACAGATCCCATTGTCGATCTGTAAAGACAAAACTCCTGTCAGGAGAGCTGAAGATATCTGCTTCACTGCATTGTTGTTACTGTGGAGTTAAGCTTATTAACTGCGGCTGAATTCAGCTCCGGAGTGTTTTAACTTTGTGTATGTAACAGGTTGACTCGCCTTTCCAGAGGAGAAGAGGTGGCATCCCTTGACTGTCTCAAAGATGAAGGGGTTGAGGTCAGGCTGTGCTGGGAGATGGGACTGTGACAGCGACTGCTTTACCTTCTTGATCTCCACCAGACACAGAGCCCTCTCCTCGCCTGAGTGACACATCAATCATGCCATGCATAATAAAACTCACAGGCAAATGGCCAACATATTTCAATGCATTTGAACATGTTTAATCCTAAGTGGATGTGGCAGATTTTAAATGAACTAAAACTAAACTTTGCATGATCTGATTAAGAAGAGCAAGCAGTTGCTGCTATAAATGTTTATAAGAGAGGCACCTTTCTGAGTAGTTTTAGAATGACTTATAATAGCTTCCATTTACTCACCAGTGATCATCAGCAGCTTATCAAGTTCCTTCAGGATCTGGATCTGGAAGACTGATGTCAGGCCAGGGATGTGGGTCAAAGAGTTCTTTATGACGTTCAAAGCATACAAACCCTCCTCAGAGCCAACCAAAACGATCTGAACAAAAAAAGAAAAGGGGCATCATGACAACTGAACATTCATCTGGGTGACGTAACAGTGAGAGACAGGATAAAATCTTACATATTATATTATCATATTTACCTGGTCAGTGAGCGGCAGAGTGCAGTTGATGTCCAAACGATCGTCACCTTCAAGTTTCAGCAGAGAATTGCCGAGAAGTTTCTATTAAAACAAACAAACAAACAAAAAAGATGTCGACAAACCAGAACAAACAGAAGGAGACCGGTGAAAAAAAGTTCCGGAAGAAAAGTCGGCAATTATCAAGAGAAGCCAACAGTGCAAGGAGGTCAGCCAGACAGTCTTCACAAAACACCACACTAGTAAAGCATCCATTACATCTGGCTGAATTCATGTGCAAGCTGGAGACGTCTAAACCAGAAAACTGCTGTCATTCCACCAAATACAAATGAACTAGGAAGCACTGGTAAAGGTTTATACCATGGGCTCTGAGCATTTGCTATTCTCTCAGTAAAAATATAAAAAATACTGTTTCCGAGTTCAAATTTTAAATTGGCATTTCAGTGAGCCAATGGTGAGAATTTAAAAGAGGCCACAGCTAAAAAGATTTCTGAATATGAATGAAAATTACCGTGGAAAAGAAAGAACCCTGGGGAGGTAATCCCACCACAAGTTGAATATAAAGTGTCGAGCCAGGAGATTCACCGTGAGCATGTGAAAGAGAGCAACAGAGCCAATGTGCTGCACAATATCCCCTGGATATAGATCTTTTCTGTACGAAAATGAAATGCTATCTTCTCTTTAGACCTCGCAAAACTGAGAATGAAATAAAAAATATAAAATATTTTTAAAAGCCCAAATCTGATCTAATGTAAAAATCTTGTTTTATCAAACAGTCCCTTTTCATCTATGTCCAAGGTGTGTGCAGGTTAATGCTGTGTTCATATTATGATTGGAGTTCTTTTTTGTTAAAGCCCCGTGGTTACCGGATCCTGTGGACATTCATGATGTCCTTACAGACATTCAGGATCTGATACTTACTGTCTTTTATTCCATAAACACAACCTAACATGAACAGCACATGAGCTATTACTCAGTGTTTATCATTTATTAAGCAAAAACAAAGCCAAAAGGCACTGTGTGCATCCTAACTGCATCTGTGAGAATTAATAGAGTAATTAACAGGCAGACACGGCAAATCAAACTTTGTTAATTGCGTTGCAGCTCTGAAAGCAGAGGTTTAGGCAGCGCGTCTGCAGCAATCACATGTGGGCCAACATACAACAAAGAGCAAAGGATATCCACAATGGTCTTAGAGAAAAACATTTTTGCCCAAGAGTTACTGGTACCTTTTAGAGTCCCTCCTCCCAAGAGAGTATGTCCCACCAAGCGTCACAGGCCTCATTTAACATGTCAAATGTTCAAGATTGTGATATTGTAATTGCTTTGAGGGATCTGTCCGAAAAAGGGCCTATTCTATATATCTTAAAAAGAGCTTTTCTTAGGTTTAATTTTTTTGATCTGAGCAAATTTTGGACAGATGAAACAAAAGTAGGAATATTTATAAAGGCTTTATAAAGGCTGCCAAGCACAGTAATGAAGGAACTGTTCTCTATAGCAAAAATACTCCATTTCCAAAAGACACAAAGAGAAGCATAGATGAATAAATATGTCCTTAAAAAGCTGCTAAACACAAATGAACTAAATTCCACATGAGGGCTGATGTCTGCCATTAGGATCAAATCTCAAACGTTTACATGTGTATATCATGTTTCACTAAGGGGGGATAAAGCAGAGCATTGCTTTAGCAGAAGCATGCATGGCAGCATAGGACACCAAGTCAATGTGTGCAGCAGCCTATTCACACCCGTGTTCTATGTAAGCGTCTGAGTAAATTGAGCTGTTTCTCCAGGACAGCTGGTCCCATTAACCATGATCAGTAGCTGACCCTCAGGCTGTGTTGACCTGCACTGAAGTGCATCAGTGTCGTATGCGTAGTTGTGTGCAGCTACTGCATGCTCAGTCGATCGGTTGACTGGGGCCCAAGCATTCGTGCAGCTTATTACTGTACCTGAACCAGAGGGGATAGGTTCTTCTGTCTTTTAGAACCACCTGCCTACAACATGATCCACGTAACCAAGTTGAATGGAGATACACACACGCATACACACACACCAGGACAGTTTAATTACAGAATAAAACACAAGGACAACAAATAAATACAGAATGTGATGTTGAGAAAATGCAGAAAGAGAGAGAAGAGGGAGAGGAAGAAAAGGACGTGAAGGCACTGGCTGATGTTTAATGAAAGCATTAATTACATCTTACCTAATTTTCACACCAAACAACACAACCACCATTGGACTGGGGAACAACTTGGTCTAAACCTAATAATTAAGCCCGGGAGGCCCATGGCTACAGCTACCGTTCATAAAAAAAATAATCTTAAATTCTGAACCCCATCAATCTTGAAAAATACCAATGAAGATATTTGAAATGCAAAAATGATACTCACGGCATCAGCATCCACTTTGTCTTTTGATCCTCGGCTGCCACCCACGACAGACTCCAGCACAGCCACCCAGCGCTGTTTGTCAGGGAAACTGGGAGCCATAAAATAGAGTGACTGGCCTGGCCAGCATGTGGTGTGAGGATGGGACTCCAGTTTTAAGACATATGGGATGTCTGTGGAAAAGCAAGAAAGGACAGTCAGTAGGTAACTTTGTTAGGAGCTAGACTTCACAGCACAGGAGGACGGTTCTTTAATATCACCTGCACTTAGGAAGCACAAAAACTGTAGGTTAATCCTGAATATGGTATGCTGAGTAACAAAATTGGTTCTGATTTTGTACCTGACTTGGCAGTGTTGATGAGCTCTGAGGACCCAACAGCTCCATGAACAGTCACCTCTCCATCAGGCAAACAGAGCTCAAACTCTTCCTCAGCTTTTACACAATCTGTAAGGAAAAAGTTGATTTCTGTTATAACATACATCATGACAATCTGCCTTAGTGAATACTGAAGCAGAATTTACGTTTAAAATGTTAAAAACTAAATTCTGCCATCTTCCTGACCTTCCCGGGGCTCTGCATCATAGATTGACACTTTAGTTCCATCGAGAATTACATATTTCCTCTCCCATCCTTGCTGCCCACGCTTGCCATTTCTGTGTAAAGAATGTGTTTTAAAACCCCGGCTTGCATCCCTGCTGTGTATGACATATTGCACATGTGGCAGTAAGGATTCGTTACCTTGGCTGCTTCATCCATCCCTCCAAGCGGACGTGCCCGCTGGCCTCTTTAACTTGCAGAGACGGTGAGTTAGCCTTTTCTCGGCACAGAGCCTCAGAAAAATGAGTGGCATATTCAACTGGAAGACCGCAGGTGGCCGGCAGACATGGTGAGCATTTAGGGTGGCATAGGGTATGGCACTCTGTAATGGGACAGCGAGACGACTAAAAACACTCATTCATAACAGAAACATATTTCAGAGGCTCATGCCTGGAAGAACAAAGAAAAATCTTTAAATATCATATTTCATTATAACTGGTAAACCTTCTCCTAGCTCTACGTTGTTGGTTTAAGAATATGTCAAACTCTTGTTCACCTTTAGATATCATAAAAGATGGATCTATAATCCTGGTCAAAACGAACAAATTATATTTCGACCAGTAAAGTGACATCTAAACGTGTTCACATTACGAATGCCCAGCTACTGAGCATGAAACAGACCTAGACAAGTGGCAGCCTGCCTTCCAAAATGAACAGTGTCCAGGCAGACGGCACATTTGGCAGCCCTCATGTTGAGCCCCACAGTGAAGCGATGAGGGATGTTGTGGTGCATTCTTTCTTTCACACGGCGACCAAACTCTGCAATGCAAGGAGGATTGAAAATAAGTGCTGGGATGGAAGCTAATGAAAGGAGGGAATGTAATAGCAGTCTTTTATGCGGTTTCTTTTTGCCCCAGTCAGCAATACATATTAGATGCATCCTTCCAGCCAGTATGGGGCAATTTGATTAATGAATTAGTGAACTTGATTACAGATATTAGGATTGAATCTTCCATAACCATAAAATAACCAAACCTAATCAGATTTTACAAGCCACTGAGCATGGAATGCATTAAAGGTTTTCTGCATGAGAAGCTGTCCATCATACCATATGCTATCTGAATAATGACTCCAAGAATGACTCCAAGAACAAAGACTTGAACTTTGCATCAAAGTTGGCCATCAAGCACAGAGTCTTTGGTCAAGTTACAGTGAGCCGATGGACAATGAGACAGACGTACAACATGACAATGAGAGTGTGGGTAGATAGTAGACATGCATGTACACCAGATGAGCTCATGAGTTTGAGTAGCTGCTGTAACTGCTAACTTACTTTCAAATGTGACCCTCCTCTTTTCTGTGAGGAGCAACAGGAAAAAGACAGAAAGGAGAGAGCAGTCTAACAATAGCTAAGTGGAAGCAAAATATCATGGACATTCAGGGGCCTGAATCACAAAGCAAAACTGATGGCGCCTGTGATGTCAAGTGTTTGGGCTGTTCTGAATGCAGCACTTTACTGCTTTTTGAATTCTTCAACTTATAAATTGTTTCAGAGCTTATTAGGGGATAAGTCATTTACACTTTTGGATATGATACATCGGATAGGCTACTCAGAGATAATATAAGCTGCAAAGATTCTGAGTCTATGGTGAACACTGAAAACAACCTTTTTGTGTTAATAATCCATACTTCTTTGCTTTGTGAAACAGGGTCAAGCAGGATTACTTTAGCTGGATAACAAGGTAAAAAGAACTGTATCTTTGTTTGTTTTCAAGTCAGCCGATGGTTTCGAGCCCTTTAAACATGTTTCTGAGTGTAGTTATCCAACTATTTCAGCTTCATAATCGTGCTTTGTGAAACTGACCATTGAGAGAATACACATACAACACACCACATAAACAAAACGGGTGACCAAGGAGTCAATTTTGTTTAGCATAAGGTTGAATGTTTCTGTGAGGTAAACTGCACAGCACCAGAACAGAAAATCTGTGGTTTGAATTTACACCAATTGTCTATGATCTGCCTTTAGCTTACCTGTGTATTTGTTTATAGTAGTTAAGCATATGTATATTTTTCTTTACTTACCCTCAGGTGTAGAAGTCTCCTTGCAGCGAGTGGAAGGGTTGAGCAAGCTGCTAGGGTTGGGTTGATGTTCAGGCGATTTGACAATGGCTGACATAAGGATCTGATGCCGAGCTTGAGCTGGCGTGGACGAGGCCACATGCTCCTGCGCTTTGAAATGAGCCGCTAAATCATCAGAAGCAGGGAAATAAAAGGGACAAAAATTTAGAACAGCAGCTATTAGGCTGGAAAACATTGGGCCCCGTTAAAAAAGGATTAGGGTTAGGAAATGCATAGCTCAGAAAGAGACTTCTTCAACCGAGAGCAGCAAAGAAGATCATTGCGGCCCACAGCTATAACTTTTCACATTTTTAATAAATTCTAATAAACAGGACTGAAAAGAAATGTCGAGATCCCAGATTTCTTGTGCAACAACTTAATCAAGGTGTCATTCTTAAAAAATGAATAAACAATAAAACATGTAAGAACCAAAATGGGCCACTCTGAGGGAAGAAAAAATGACCAAGGATTAACATCAATAGCATGGTGGGCTTAAAGAGTTCTGTCCCCACCTTCTTCTCTGAGGGATCGCAGCTCGATCCTCATCTTCTGCAGAGCTTCTTCCAGTTCTGCGCATCGTGAACGCTCCTTTTCCAAAGCCACTTTCATGTCACTGTACTGCATGGGAACAGCCGGCTGGGCCTGTGAAGCCAGTGCCCCATTAGTTGTGGTACCTACATCTTCCCGCTTCCGCCCAAATATGCCCTGTACAGAGGGAAGCATTTAGTACATTTTGTTTTTTATTTTACATTGTTAAGATGTTCCATTGAAGCGTGTATTAAAATTAAATCTGTTTTTTTTTTTTTAAAGATACATTGCTTAATATTTGAACAGACCTTCTTTTTTTTGGTAGGCTGGTCCATTTTGGCCTGCAGGAAGTCAATGAGTTTGGTCTGCTGGGAGATGGTGCCTTCCATCTTCACCTTCTCATGGGAGTACACAGCCTGCAGCAGGGAAATCAGAAGCTCAGAGAAAGAAATGCCCCTGAGGTTCACTTTAAAAAATAATTCCCTTGAGTACACATAAATGAGGATTTATCATCAGTCTAACAGATACCTCGTTACATGTAAATATCTGCCACACTATTATACTATTTGACCAGGGTGTCCTCCTTGCGGAGCCTACCGTATTTAATCTTACTACAACTGTATTGCCTGGAGCACCTGTATGTTCTCCAGCTGGTACTCCAGATCTGTCCTCTCAGTTTTCAGCATGTCAGTTTGGTCCAGAGCATCCTGAAGGCCTTGGGTCAAACGGAAAATGTGGCTCTTCTGCAGGTCCATCTGCTGCTGCAGCTTCCCCTGCTGTTGGGACCAGCAAACAAATGTCTAACTGATGTCCAGGTGGGCACTTTTCATAGGTGCAGCTGTTAATGCAGGCTGATCGCATGTCTCTTCCTACCTCTTCCATCAGCCTTTGTTTCAGTTCTCTTTCTGTCTCCAGTTTCTGTTGCAAGCTGCGGGCATTCATCTCCAGCATGGCATGCTTCTTCTCCAGATCATTGAGCTGTCATGACATATGTAAGAGACAATTTGTCACAAAGACTAAAAAGTAGAGGATCAGAGACCTAAATTCTTTCAAGCAAACACAGCGAATAGACAAAACATAAACTAACGAAAGACGTTTGGGAATTGTAAAACACAAAATGATGCAAATTGTTGAAACAATGTTGTAACCAATTGAAAAGCAGCAGCAGTTTTTTTCTCCAATTCTACTTAAATGACTAAGGTTTTGAATCAGACATTTCCAAGTGTTGATTGAACATGTTATAATTTATGCCTCTATCATCGCTGCTGTGTTGTACTTTCACCCCACGAGTTGTAAAATAGATAGGATGTTTTCTTAATTTACTTGTCTTTTCTAACAGTAAAGACTGATGAGCTCTTCCAGGAATCCCATCAAACACACCATTACAACCTCCTTAATTGTAAAGAACTGAGCAAAGGATTAAAGTTAAATTAAATGCGATAGACTCACAGTATCAGAAAGACTTTCAGCCTTCAGTCTTTGCTCTTTCAAAGCTTGCTGCAAGGCCTGTATCTCAGCCTTATGTTCTTTGACGGCCAGTTCCACCGCCTGGCGAGACTCGGTGCTGCGCTGCTCCGCACGCAGCCTTTGAGAAACACAACAAGCCGTGATGGACAACAATAGTCTATGCACAAGTGTATATATCTATTTAAAACTATAAATGCCTGAGTGTTACCGGTTCTGCTTCTCATTGTCTAGCAGTCTCTGCAGGTCCCTGGTGCGTCTCTCAGCTTGGTTTTTTTCATCCTCCAGAGCTCCTCTCCACGCCTCCCACTGCCTCTCCTTCTCCAGCAGCTCATCGTTTAGAGACTCCAGCTCCACCACCTGCTCCTCCAACATGCTACATGTTGTCTTCAGTGTCTCGATGTTCTGAGAGCATAAATGAAAAGAACAGACTGAAAAGAACATCTTTTGCAGCTTTTGGCTGTACCACGTGATTGTTATCACATTTTCACTGACGGCCACAATCTAAAAGCTATGATCCTATAAAATCACAAGGTAAATTCTGTGGCTTTGAATTCAGCAGTTAATTTAAAACAGTCACTGTTTATACAGAAATGTATACCTCACAACATCTGCAGTTAGGAAATATATTCACCTTGCATCACATTCACTGACCTGAGGTAAGCAGTTAATGTATGTTACCTGTTTCTGGTTGTTGAGGTGCATTTCACGGTCAGCCACCTCCCTTCTAAGGCGGTCCACCTCCTGGCTGAGCTGCAGCTGATCCTCCCTGTCATCTGATGCTTCATCGAGCTGCTTTGACAAGTAGAAGTTTTGGCGGTTCAACTCAGCATTCTCCTGACTCAGCTGTGTAAGCTGCTCCTCCAGGTCAGTGATCACCTGAGACAAAGCAAGCGGGCAGAGGTTTTAGCCTTGTAGGTGAGAACAGAAAGTTGAACAGGGGATTAGGGTAGCAGTAGATAACATATATGTTTAGCACATAGTACACCTGTGCTGAAGATAGTTTGGGACTTTTTGGACTAATGAATACACTGAGCCTATCCATCCTGTGCTGAAGATAGTTTGGGACTTTTTGGACTAATGAATACACTGAGCCTATCCATCCTGATTTTTCTGCGTGACTTGTTATAGCAAATAACATGTCAGTCTGGGTTTTCACGACAAAAAAAAAAAACGTAATTCAGTGGATCGTGTGGTCACATCAAAACTTTTTTTACATGTGAACAATCAGGGTCTTTAAAAAACTTTGGACAGTTATTAACATGCCAAAGGACAAAAGGCTGGTTCAGCACTTACTGAGCAGCTGTCTCGCAAAGCCTCAAACTTGCGCTGAATGTCATCCCTGTGGTTCTGTGAGAAATGAGGGAAAAGGGAATGACAGAAATTCAATCAAAACAGACATCATGGGCAATGTTACAGCTTTAGCTCAAATGTATACAAACCCTATCAAAACTGAATCAAAATCGAAAGATTTACAATTTGTCCATCTGCATTTCTATGAATGCGTTTGCAGAAGCTCATATTACCCTCAGTGCAGTGATCTCTTCCTCAGCTTCAGCAGTGGTTTCCTCAAGCTCAGTCTTAGCTTGCTGTAGCTGAGTCTCCAGGGCAAGGCGTGCAGCCTGCAGGCTGCTGATCTGGGACTCTCGTTCTTGCAGGGATAAGGTCAACTCCGATACCTGTCTCTTGATCTCCAGTTTCTCTTCCTCATGTTCTAGGCCCATCTACAGGAGAGACAAAGTTATATTACTGTACTTGTACATCGCAGTGCCTGTAATGTATTTTTGTCAGCATTAATAAAATGTTCATTAATTAATTTAACAGATACATTTGTAAGCCATTTAAAAGCAGTGAATGTGTAATGACATATCAGACAGCCAGTCCAACTTTAGTTAATCCAAGTTAGTTTAACACTTTTTGATATAAGAAATTGGAGGACAGTACATTTATTTGAGGACACTGGTTGACACGGGTCCAAACTGCTTTGTCAGTACAAGTTAAATTTTAAAAACTATGAGGGAATTTAGCTTGTCTGTAACCAGGATGGAGCAGCCAGTCGTAACTGAATCGTAACTGATGGAGCTGGACTGATTGTGTGTGAGTGGACTGAAAAAGTGTGTCTGTAAGTGAGGGCACAGAGAGGACAGTAATTAGTGCCAATCTATGCATCATGTCTTAGTGGGCAAGAGTGTGAGGAAGAGGAGAAATGACAGCAAGCTGTCCATCAGCAACTTCAAAACACAAGTTCTCAAGAGAGATTGGCCTTTGGTAGCCTTCAGTTTTTTCAAAACATAATCTTTTTTTTAAATTCCATATCTAAATAATACTTTTCCAAGTCTGCTTAACTTGGTAATTTGACCTTATCCAATTATCCGCTTCTCTAAAAAGTATCTATTGATGTTTACTAATCAACTGCCTTAATTCCATATGTGGATAGTAATGATGTAAGGCTACAAGCTGTGCTGGTTAAAGTGATTACTTAATCTTGAGCTTATAGATCTTGCACCTCTTTACCTCCTGTTGCCTTACCTCCCGCAGTCTGCTCTCCAACTCAAGCAGACGAGTTCTCTTGGTTTGCTCCTGCTGACTCATCTTCTCCAGGTGCTCCTCAAGTTTGGCATTTTGGGCCTCCAGTTTACCTGCCTGAGACTCCAAATAAAACTTTTGCTGCCTAAGTTCTGAGATCATCTCCTCTTGGGCTTTCCTAACAAAGAAAATATGCACAGATTGTTATTAGAGTTCCAAATGTGTTGGGGGGGCTATTGAGGAAACACAACATGGGAAAGGGATTTGGTTAGCTCACATATTCTTTTGGGTGTAGATGCTGCTGTTAGCGGCCAACTTGTTAGCTTCAGACAGCTCAGCGATGCGCTGCTCCAGGTTCTTCATCTTAGAATCCATAGCATTAATGGTCTGAGAAAAAAGATGACAAACAGAAAAAGAAATGGTTCCATCAATCATTTATGTAGCACAGTTCAGGCAGTAGCACATGTCATGCAACACGATGCTTTACTTTAACAAAACTGTTACAATTTCATAAGGTGTCTACTGTGGATGTCAGATGACTGTCTTTAAAAGCTTCTTAACTGCCCTAGTTCTACCAAGTTAACCAGATTAAAACTTAAGCTCTGGCTTTATTGACCAACACAGAGCATACTACAATTTAATCCTGTAATTTCACATTTTAGTGCATTTGCACCATCAGATAAAATGAAGTTACTCAAAAGACGATGAAAAATTCAAAGCTTGGTGTCAGCAAATGCCTGACTGGATGTCCGTTTCAGTGCGCCCTTACTGCTTTCTGCTCGCTGATGAGTTTACAGTTCTCCCTTGATTCTTCCTCATGCTGTGCCCTCCTTGCCTCAAGGCTCTCCTTGTCAGCTAGGTCAACCTTCATTTGGGCCTCCAGGACCTTGGTCAGTCAGAGTCAGCAAATACAGGACACGTCAGTATTAATTTGACAAATTCATGTCAGTGATCTCCCACATCATAAAGCAATCCCTCATGACATGGTAAAAGTACAACCTGGTGTGAAAACTTTAATTAGGGTGGTGTCAGTTCTCATTGTAAAATAAATGAGACTATACAACAAACACTGATTTGAAATGTCACGACTGATAGTGATGACTATGTGAAAAAAATATCAGACTGACCCACCTTAATCTTGTCTTCATAAAGTCTCTCCTTTTGAACAAGTTGGGTTTCCATCCTCTGTGCTGTTGACTGAGCATCTCTCAAGTTCTCCTCCAGTTCCTGCAGAAATTCAAAAAATAGTTGGATATTTTCCAACCACAAGTGCAAACTCTCCCATGACAAAAAAAGAAAGGTTGAAACTTGCATTGAAGAGCTGGAAATCCACAAGATGATTGTAGCGATACCGACTCATGTTTCCGTCAATAAAAGGCATGCAAAACGTTAAATTAGGCCATTTATGAAGCTCTGTTCTATCAGATGAGGAGTGTGCATGTGAGTTCTCAGATCACTGCGAGGGTGAATTGGTGTAGAGTTGGACTAATGGGCAGTGGGGTGAAACTAGGGGTGGAGTAGTGCAGAGTATTAGCAAGCCTTATCTGTATATCTCTCACCAGGATCTTTTCAGCCATCTGCTGGATCTGCTGGGATTTGGTCTGAATGTCATCTTTCAGCTTATTCTCCCTTCGCTCAACCATCTCCAGTCTCTTTACCTGGTTCTCCAGGGTCTTCCTGCCCTCCTGCTTACACGACAAAATATATAACATAAGGCTAACTGCATGGAAAATGGCTTGAGTGTGATTTATGTCAAGTTGTCCCACCAAGCAATAATGGCGTTTTACATAAAATTTTAACAAACTTGTTACACATTGTTTAACTTTGTAGATTTAGTCTGGTACCTCTGTTTCTCTGAGACGACGCTTTAGAGTATCACTTGAATCGGTCTTGCCTCGCAGGCGCTCCAGATCTCTTTCCAGACGTTCTTTGGCTTGCCGGACATTCTGCAACAACTCTGTTGCTTCTGTGCTTGCTTTCACTGCCTGAGGGAAATCAGAAGGTCAAAGGCTGTTAATGGATTCCCAGAAAAACATCTTGATATGCTAGGGCAATTCCTGCCAGTGGACACAGAGAAACAAAAAGCAACTTCAGTAAATAATTGGAAATAAACACAACACACTGAATGATAGGACTCTAGATAAACAGATCATAGATGCTTTCAAATACAAGGGTAAAATAGTCAAGAACTGATGTACCTTTGACAGTTTGTCCTGGAGCTCTTGGATCTTCACCTGTTGTTCAGAGTTAGTCTTAAAAAAGAGGGAAAAAAATGAGTTCTCTCATCAGACAGTAACTTTAGCTCCACAGAGATATCTGAACGGAAAAACAGTCTGATCATTATTTTACCTTCTCCAGTTTAGAGAGAAGCTCTTCCACTTCAGCTTTTCCCTGCTCTTTGGCCTAATAATACAGAACATTTATGGTTTAATCAATACTGAGCTCCTGAAACCACATTCTCAAATCAGGAAAAAGAGCCTTAAATATGTAGTTCAAAACACATTACTTGTACTATATTTACAAAATATAGTATACAGCTCAGTCATTTATTTGAAATGTCATTCAGACTTAATGATCAGTTGCTAATGCTATTTTCTATGTTTTAAACTGGGGATAAAAAAAAGTACATATGACATTAAGGCAGTTCTGAGAAAAAAAATAATGAAATGCTTTACACAGATTAGAGACACTAGAGCAGAGCACAAACATTACTCAGGGATTTTAAAAAAAAGAGAACCTGTTGATTGTGACAGCGCTATTACATTAACACAGTTGGGATTATACCTTCTGAATCCTCTGCTGGTATTCCACAGCTTTCCGTTTGAGTTCTTCGCTCGTTTGTCTGGAGTCTCTAAGCTCCGCTTCATAGAGGTCACTACGGCGCCTGGCAGCCGATAGGTCCTCCTCCAGCTGCCTGATGGTCACCTGCATCTCTTCTAGCTGTGCGTGGTACTCCTAAGGATATAAACCTCACATCAAGATTCAAAGAAGTGCGGGAAAAATACTGTGGTATGATGATCTCAGATCACACAGTTATCATTATGCTCAACTGATACAGAATGTGGTTAGACAATACAAACTTGGTTGAAACCTGTTTGAAGACAAGAGGGATGAATCACTATTGTCATCAAGCAAAGTAAACATTTCGTGAAACTACCTCTATATATAAAATGTTGTGAAATATCAAGCAAAACTCAAATAAATGGTAAAGCTTTTCAATTATTACTTGGAAAGTGTGGCATCAATGCAGACAGCAATTGCAGCCAGTGCTACAAAGACAAAGATGTACTTCCCAGATCTGCTGACACGGTTTCATTGTGCAGTAATTTATAAAAGCTGCAGTGCTCTTTGGCAATGACCATTAATCAGCAAACATGCCAAAATCAAAGATTACAAACCGAGCATTGCAATTTTAAGGTTGCAGTTGCCAACTTTACAACACCAGATTCCAAATGAAGAAAATTAAGACTTTGGTCCGTTAGAATGTTTGCACAGAATGTTACACGGGTGTTGGCATCTCAAAACAAATCATTTCTCGCCCAATTACAACAGGCTAAACAGTTAGCTTAGACACATCTAAATTAGCCAAAATTTGACTCGGGTACATATATCCTCATTCATGTCTAATGTGTTATTTGAATACCCAACTAAGAAAATGACTGTGTATCATCTCTCTGCACAGAGGGTGGGGGAATCTATTAAATAATGATCTCTGCTTTTGCACCTCATAGGTATGCCAACTGCAGGGATGACCTTTATAAAAGGGAGAGGACTCAGAGGGGAGGCTCTGTCCATGTAACAGACACACTGAGAAAGCATATTTTCTCATAGTTTCTAGAGATAACCCACTATCAGCTATTATTTCCATTTTCTCAAACAGCAGCTGCATGGGTGTATTTCAAAGGAGGATGCATTTTTAATTTTCCCTTCAGTAAATTTTCATTATAGCTTCCTAAAATCTGATTATGCCGAATAAGCAGATCCAGAGAAAATGTACACACTTGCTCTTTAATTTCTTGCAGTTTGTTGCTCTGTTCTCTTATGTCGTGTAGGAGCTGCATGGCCTTATCATCCTCTCTGGACACCTCAACACGAGCCTCCTCCAAGCTTCGCTTCAGGCTCTGCAAACACATGCAAACAGACCGGCAAAGTCAAGGCCGGCTTAGCATTGTTGTTTTAAACTTTGAAAACACAGACACATAATTACCATAAAATCTGGAGTAACACTGACTTGCATATGGATTTCATCACATCCAAAGATTCTCAAATTCCAGTACTGTAGTGGTATGACTCACACTGCATTCAGTAATGTAGGTGGCAAGGTCCTGCTCCAGGATGCTTCGCTGAGTCTCGGAGGCCTTCAGCTCTACATCCTTCTGGTGGAGCACTGACTCCAGGTCAGTCATTTTACGCTGGAACCTGGAGATTTCCTGCTCCATCTTAATAGATGAAATGAAACAAGATTCACCCAAGGATTTCAAGTGGAGGATGTGTACAGCAGATTTCTGGAAATCAATTGTTTGCAAATTTCTCTGTGGATGTATAAACTCATGGCACAATCCTTGCATGCCAAGGCGTTCTTGGCTCCTAAATGTGATGCTGATCCAGATTAAAACCTATCTCTCCGACCCATCGCCCAACTAAAAATGTCTCAAATCCCAAAGCTGTAATGTTGAACAAACAGCAAGATTATCTTGGCTTATTACAGTGCCACAGTACAAAACAGAAGCTTCCTTGATCTGTGTTAAGCTAGTCGACCAAAATAAACACAACATGTCTGGTAATAAAAGAAGTAAATATGGACTCATTGTGCTCAGTCCAAAAGGAAAGTTTCAGTTACTACATAACCAATTAAATCTAATCTCCAACAGTAAGCTTCTGTTAGTAATTGCTTTAAAAAAAGGACAAAATTGAGGATTGCCAAAATAAGACAAAAATCCAACTCCAGCTCATCTGTTTGATTGAAATTCTCAATATAATGCATTAAATAAAGCTTTGATAATGAAAGCATTATCAGGCTGTGCACCCTCACCTTATGACATTTGTCTTGAGTATCTTGTAATTCTTTGCTTTTAAGATGCAGTTTCTTTTCCATGGAGTTGGTCTTTGCAGGAGAATTGAGGCCGGCAGACACTGACCTAGCCAAGGACATGAAAAAAAGGGTCCTCAGTGAATTTATTAAAGTACAAACCATTTTAGATCTTTTTTGACTGCAATAACTCATTATGTCAAAAGCCAGCATCCGATTGCCAGAATGTGCATTGTAAAGTTTGATTTTATTTGATTTAACAGTGATATATGAAACTATTTTCAAACAAATTAAGTGGATGAAACAGTTGTTTGTTCCTGAAGAAAGAAAAAAAACATATTATAATTATCATATTATTATATATCATTAAAATTATATACACAGAGTATATATATGCTTCATCAATGACTGTCTAATTTGTTTTAAGTTTTGTTCTGGATAATAATATATTGTGATATTAAGACGTACAATAAATGGCAGTGTAATATGATCCGAGGACATATCAAACAGTAGCAAACCAAATATTAATGTAGCAGTCATAAATTATTCCATTTTCAAATGGGAGGTTTTCTTTCAAATGTTCAAAATAAAAATTCTGAATTAAAATACAAGAAATAAAAACAAAAGCAACAGCCGAGTAAGCATGGGGACATGAAAATAATTCTACAGGAGGGTTTGGGTTCTGCTGCGCACTGAGCTTTGAACACATTTCTCTGGTTTATGTAAGGGTTTTTTTGGCATCCTTTCGTGACTACTTTGAACACCAAAATCAGTTTTCCTATTTTTCTTATGGTTTATGGTCTCCCTGAATGGAAATATTTTCAAATAAAATGAATGGTTCACAAATACTGCAAGGGGATGTTTAATAAAGTTGACTCAGGCTGAGTCATGTTGTTAAAAATAATCACAAATATATGCCCTGCTTTCTCTGCTGCTCTGTATGGAGAAATCTCCCACCTGAAACTATTCTAGAAATGGTACATATACATTTCAGTACATAAAGAAAGCATTTTGATTGACCAACAAAAGAAAAATACCCCACTCATTTCCCAGCCAGCTCAGGCTCTCCTATTGATTGAATACTCAAGGGTTCCCTCCAGCTGTATGTGTTGCTGTTTAAACATGTGAAGTCCAGAAGTTTTCCAGGTGAACGGTTCACTACACTGTTCTTACAGGTAGGAATGCAATACAAATCCTCCATGTGGGGTTTCTAGATGGTACAGAAATGGTGCTTATAGATATTAAAAGAAAGTTACATGAAGCAAAGGTTAGTAATCTTTCACAAAACTTCCTGATCATTTTCTTTTTGTCATTTCAGTCTTGTGTTAGCGACATCCACATAAAAAGTGTCAATGAAAGAAAATATCCAATAAGTCTAAATATGGACAGAACCACATAGGACGTTAACCAGTGACTTACAACACAGCAACACTATGCCATGCAAAAGTGTTTTTTCAAGTTTAACCAAATTTTAGTTTTAAAAATAATTAGTTTTCATTTTATATATTCTTACCATCAAATAAATTACTCTCTAAAAATTATTAATATAATTATTCCAAAAATAATGAGCCACTTTGCATAGGGAGATCGAGTGTTTCTTGAACTCAAATGGTGTTTTTATAGTGGCTCTACGAGGTAGGTCGGGGGTCTTTCAAAACAATAGAAAGTGCCCTCGGCAGATATTCCCAAAATTTGGGCATTAACTGCCAATATGGCTCACCAAACAAAATCATAAAGCATGTAATAGCATCAGATAAGGTTTTAAATGGTCACCTAAATCAGTAGAACTCATCTTCTTGGTACTATGAGCACCATTTCAGACACACCATCACCATCTGGCATCACTCAAAGCACTCTGGTCGAGATACTCGGACAACTCTCAACTTCAGACAGAATGTCCAAGTGACATTTTTGTCACCCCAATCATCAGTGGGCAAAAAATGAATAAATAAAAAACAGAAATATCACAAGTTGTAAGATCTATTTCGCATTGCGTGTCCATTAAACACTTATATAAAGGCTTTAAACAGAGATTTTTCTCTTAACGTAGAGCAGTCTACAATTAAGGAACATTGCAAAGAGGATTTTTCTGACACTAAACCACAGATGGCTTCTTACAAACTTGAGTCAAGCTGTTAAAGGGATTTCTTGTTGAGTTTTGCTAATGAGGAGTCAAATAAGTTCAAAAAGGGTAAAAGAAAAAAACAACAATAATAGCTGGAACCCCCAAAACACCTGATTAGCATTTCATTATTCCTGGCTCTGAGCACATTTCTCATTCCTTTTTGGTATTGTAATGAACAGTGTGAACATGCATATGCATGCACCCACACAAAATTGTGATACATTCTATGAGCTCTAAGCTCCTCTTAGGCAAATGCAGCAAAGAAAATGAGTGGCCTCAGTTAAAAACCATGAACAGATGACTGATGGTGTAACAGCAAGGGACAGAAACATTAGAGGAGGAAGAAAATAAGAGGAAGAGATGAGACGGGTAAAGATGGGGGTGGGGACTGAGGAGGGAAAAAAAAACACGGTAGTAACCATAGAAATAGATTCTCTCCCCCAATCTGAGCCCTCATCCTTTTTTCCTGTCTAATCTGCAAAGGTTTTTTTTCTTGCCTTTCTGTTGCTGCTGCTGTCATGATCCGCAGTCTCCAGCACCATCAACCTGCCTGAACACTGGCATGGGGCTACGGAAATTAAATCCACCCCTTTCCTTTATTTTCAAAGGTTAAGTAGCCAAACACCATTATGGTAAATTACAGCCCCAAAACCCATGCCGTAAAAGTCGTAAACCCATTATGTTTCACAGAAAAAGAGAAACCACAACAACAGCAGTGAGGGTGGGAGTGTATCTACGTGTGGGGTTCCACTTCTCAGCAATCCTCATTGACACACTCAGCCGCATACCAATCAGTGTTGATGGCACGATAACATAGGCTAACATTCTCTGGTTCATCATTTGATCTACCTATAGATCAGATAAATTATGTATGACCTCAAGCACAAAAACATAAAACGGAGGAGAATGCCTCAGCAGAGGGGGATCCCTCCTCTCCCTCATCCTTTCTTGGCACAGCACACCGTCAAACCAGTTTTAGCCCCAAATGGCACAACACTAAGAATGGGGGAAAATACCAACTGACCAGGCCACCATGCTAGGTCACCTAAAACAAGGCTACCTGGAAATGGTTGCTGTTTTTTTCATTAGTAAACTAATGGCAGAACATCAGCCACAGCTAGCATGGGCTCTTTGACCAACAAAGGTGTTGGAGAGGTGCATACAAGAGGACCCTGTGCTAATGAAAAACAGAGGATTGACTTTGTTTAAAAAAAAAAAAAAAAAATGTAAATCCCAACAATATGAGTAAACAGGTAGCACTTACTCAGTTTTGGCCAACAGTGTCAATGCTCTGCTGAAGAACCAGCCTAGAAAGGGCAGATCCTGGCCCTGGAAGCCCGCTGGCAGACCTCCTCGCTGGGTTGCTGAGGCTGGCCGGGGGGCAGCCTGCTCCGGCTCCTCAAAATTAGAGGTGTCATCTTCAGCATGCAATGCAGGAACGAAAGGCGGGAGAACTGCGGGGGTAAGGAATGAGAGGAGGGAATAAAGAGACGACAAGGGAAAAAGGAAGCAGCGACAAACGGGGCACTGAAAAAAAAAGATGTTAAAAAAAAAAAACAAGGAGAAAAGGAAGAGAAAGGAAGGGAGGAGGAGCACAGTGGTGGGAGCCTAGAGTGCGGTAAGTCGCGCGTTGATGCACATGCTGCCTCTATTTCTCCCTCCTCCTCTCACATACACATGCTAACTCACTCTCCCTCACTGCAGCAGAGCAAGCTAATCAGCTGGAGCCACAGCTGAAGCAAAAAGCTCCATCAGTTTTGACTGGACAATCAAGAGCTGGAAATATCAGGGCCAACATTTGTACATCTTATACTTTTGCATTAAATATCCTGTCAAAGACTATATAAAGAAAAACATAAAAAGCTCCTAAATTCTAATTCCTGCATAGTAACTCAGAGACTGCATGGTATGAAAAGAAAAGGGTAAAAAGAAACTCATGAATATTCAGTGTTGACAGGAATAATCAGGAAACAGCTTAATGGAAAAGATGTTTGATAAACACCCCAGAACAGGAGGATTTAATCTTTGGAAAAATTATCATCTGGGGCTAAAGCAGTTCTGCAGAGCTAAATAAACACTCATCACCCCTGCAGCTACATCTGTGAATTACAAATGCATTGTAGAGATGTGCTTGGTAAATGTGACAACGCTCCACTGAAAATCTAATCTGAGTGTTATGGGTCTGTTCTCCAGCAACTGGTCAGCTGGCATTGTCAAACACGGAGGGAACAATGATGGAGAAATTTTCCACCTTAGAGAGTGTATTTCATGTAATCTCTTAACAAGCACATGAGTTGCAGATATTAACTAATTTTGTAGTTGAAAGACAGGATAACAGAGTGGCAGAAAAAGGGAATCCCCAGACCTTGTCTTAAATTGTTCCAGTCTACACTGGAGAAGAAAGAGTGACAGCGGAGTCCCTGGAAACCCAGCCGTTCTTTTGCTCCGCACAGCAGGCTCTGCACCAAGTCAACAAACTGCTTACTGGCATGAGGCTCCTCTGGAAATTTTAAGTATCGCTGAGGGCACAGAACACAAGCATTACATAATACATGGACAGATCCGAAAATCCTTGTTTGCATCTATATATCTAATTGGTTCTATTAGGAGTAAATGGCTAATTCTCTTCAAGAATCCCAGGACAATTTATTTACCGATCAGACAACCAATGATGGACAATACATGACCATCTTGTCTGGGACAATGTACCTGGAAGTTGAGAATGTTGTGAATAGTCTTGGTAGAAGTGCCATCAGAAAAGGGTGACTTGGCATATATCATTTCATAGGCAATGACCCCAAGGGACCACCAGTCACACTCAACCCCGTAGGTACTCTGAGAGCCCCCGTTCATCGCTGAGAGGACCTCGGGGGAGAGGAAATCCTGCGTCCCGACTGGCACAGTGGCAGTGGAAACCTGGAAAGCCATGCAGAAAACACCTCAAAATGGCTTTCATGGTCAAGAACAAAGAAGTTAATTCATGGTTGAAACTCTGCAATCCACCCACTGTTTTGTTAGCAGTCAGCTTGGCAGCTGATCCAAAGTCGGCCAGCTTAATGTGACCAGTTCGATCAATGAGGATGTTTTCTGGTTTGATATCTCTGCAAGAAGATCGTTTTAGAAGATATATCCAACACTGCTTTTAGGGAACTGCTTTTGTTGATAATGTACAATAATATGCCAGCTAGTCTGAAGATAATGGAAGATGACTTTAAATTGTCACCACTGTTTTTAAAGAACATACACCACAAAGTATGAAAAGAAGCTAATTTTAAATTAAATAGGACAGTTAATGTGGATGAAATGGCTGTAAATCCTCTTAATCATGTTCTGCTACAACAGACCAATATAAAACACAGACGTTTTATTAAGAAGCCGGTGTCTTACCTGTGGACATAACCCAGCTGGTGGACTGTATGAATGGCCTCCACAAGCTCAGCCAAATAAAACTGTGCCATGGACTCATCAAACTGATCATCGTATCGGTTCAGCAAAGACATCAGGTCCCCCCCTGGCATGTACTCCATTGCCTAAAATTTGCAAAATATATACACATTTAGATATAAGTAGAATAAAACCGTGACCATCCTTATGAATGACTATGAAATAATAGATTGGATTTCATTGGTGGAGCATCAAAAGCTGTGGATCATTAATAAATACATATAAGCATATCTAAATTTAGAAGGAGAACCAAAACAAGAACAAGATCAAAGCACTGTTCAGTTCAAACCTATAGGGTAGTTCCTCCCATTATAGATTCAGTTATGCAACAACTGGAAACTACTACTGATATTTCTAAGATATTGCAGTCAAAGCTGTGCTAAAAATACACCAAGAGTAACTGCATAGCCCCCATGCAATTCAATTTCAGTGATCTGAGGCTAAAGGACAATAAAACTCTGTGTTATAGTTTGGAAACCAAAATAAGACATGCTCATGTTGACTATGTTATTTGCTGTACACATAAAGAAAGGTGCAGGGGAAGCCGATCTGAGCCATGCAGTTGCATCAACACAGCCATAACGGGCGAGAGCTTCTGGTGCATGAATGGTCTGCAAGTCTGAATGAACGGGAGCATTCTCTGGTGTTACCTAGCAACAGGAAGACTGGGTGCCTCTCCGACACACGGATAAAGATGGATGCTTTGTATTTTCCTCCATGCTCAGTTAGCGAGCAGGGTGAGAAAGAAAAAGAGGGGGTAGAACAAGAACGGAGACAGACAAGCAAGGGGCATGAAGGTAGTTATATATAGAGACAGGAAGAAAAACAAAAGCGCAGTATACAATGTAAGCCTTTCCTGTGCAAAAAGCATTTTCTCCCTGTCTACCTTAGCAAGCCCAAGTCATCAAAGGAAATATAGATTTTGTGAAGTTAACAACCATCAAATCATTACACTGTAAATTTTCTGTGATGGACAAACCAACGGTTTCCTTTGCAGAAAGGCAATAGGATTACGGAAAAGCTAAACTCAGTGCTTGACTTTTTGTCCATCACTTCTCTACAACTCTGCTTCTTGAAATGAAGGATTTGTGATGTTAGCAAGGCTCAAAAGGTTCCCCACAGTACTGTGGAGTACTGTGGGGAAAAAATAAAAAGTGTCTTATCAGCCCTAGCATAATCCTGGTTGTTGGCAGATGTACTGGTGAAAGGCCTGCAGTAATTTTCAGATCATAAAAATTGTATCAATTACCGTCTTTTGATTCCTTCCATCAACATTATATGATCCACTTTTGACTTTTCACATATTTTCAAAATTGACTGTGTGAGGCAAGAAACAGCCACTTCCAACGTTAAAGTACAGTTTAGGTTTCAGATGTTGCTTTTTCTATAAGTTTAATTATGAGGCATGTGGAAGGAATGACATAGTTAAATTTTGTCTGTTAGGCAGTGACATGAGAAGTCATCTAAGAGAACACCATGGACCCAAAAAGGAAGTGTGGTTTGGAAAGTGAGGGTCCCAATACAGAGCGCTCTGCTGCACTCATTATGCATTCGTACCTCCCTTGATACATTGGAAGTACTCCAATTGAGGGAATATTAATTAAAATCAAATAGTTTTTTACCAAGGAAGTTGGTTCCAAGTGTGGAGTAAGAATAAATATAATGGATAAGATGGGCAGCAGAAATATGACATGGCAAAGAGAGACTGGAAAATTATCAAATCCAGGGAAACACTTATCACATGTTTGAATCCTGACATGTTCAAGGTTTAATCTTATTGTTTTTGGTGGGAATAAGAGGCAAGATGAGTTTAGTGGAACAGCTGTATCTTAGGAGTTATAGCACCTTAGTCCCACTAACAGGGATGTGGAGGATTGAGTAACATTTTGAAAGTGGAGAATAATTTCCAAGATGTCCATGGTACTGACGATTGTATGATGTTTGATGTGTTATAACACACAGTTTTGGGAGTGATTGTGCTGTATGCTGAGGTGAATAGCAGTGATTCATATCCCTTAAAAACAGCAAGGTTGTTGAGTTTTCTCCGCTTGCTTTCATCAAGATTGTATCACGGATTTCAGACGCATCAGTTTCCCGTGGGTGAAGAGGGATGCGGGATGATTTGGCGGATAGACACCACAGGCTATTCAAGTTTCATATGGAAAGCAAGCAAATGGGTGGTGGAGGAGATGTTTCATTAACAGGTCTACCTTCTGTAGACCTGTGTAAAAAGCAACACCCCAGACCCATCAACAATTCTCTTTGATGCCTCCGGTTCTTTTTCAGGGACTTCGAACTAGTTTCCTGCTCTCTCTCCGCTCTATGACTCTCGTGTGCCATCCAAGCAGAGACACAACCACAACAGGAAAAGAATCTGCCCCAAGAAAGTGTTTGAGCATTGGCTGCTATACAAAGGAAGGTAACATACAGTGCCAACTTTGCAAAGGGATGGAAATCGCCTAATCTTCTCTGACATGTGCTAAAGGGGTGCTACACAGCAAAAACATTAACACGGACTACAACACTTCGCTGCCTGACCTGTACACAGAGAGTAGTTTAAAAGTCAGCTGTTGGTTTTCTGCTGTCCTGATCAGGAATGAAGTCTATGAAATGTGCACATAGACACGCACACCTTCCTTTTAACCCTGCTTGCGAATGCTTTTTGCTGTGAAAGTATAACTATAACCCCTAACTCCGGCTAATAACTCTTCTTGTGAATTAGAGATCCTATAAGATGGGAGAAATGCTGCAGTCTCACCAGGTAAACATGATCTTTATCCTGGAAAGCATACAAAAGCTGAGGGATCCATGGACTGCTGTTGAAGGCCAAGATCCTTCGCTCTTCCTCGTGAAAAATCACCTGAGAAGTGAAAATGCATGGAATCCGTATTTATGCATGTAATGAAGGCGATACAAATAAAACAGCCCAACTGTGGTCATTTTGTGTATCTTTTATGTAATCTGATCTCTGTACTGTATTAATTTAAACAGTAAGACACCTACATAAGAAATAATAGTATGCAGATTAAATGGTAAACCAAATTAAAGTGGCCTCTTCTTAGGCATGTAGCGATTATGAGCATAGGCAGCTTATGTCATCAAGCCAGGGAACAAAACCTAAAAGTAGACAGCAGTTGTAAAAATAGAAGTATATGTATGTTTGTGTGAATATATATATATACCCACTTCAGCATGCATAGTCTACACAACTTTTTATTGCAGACCAATTTCCTTCTGACAAATCTTCTTTTGCCTTGCTTGAGGTTTTTAAGTGGAATGTTATTTGAATTAGGCAAAGTAGCCCCAGGTGGCATGCACAAAACATTTCTTGGTCATTCAAATTGTGCCTGAGAACTCTTCCAGTCTCAGCTGTTGCACTATTCTGACTGAGAGCTGCTCTATGAGTCATATGCCAAAGAGCTCAGCTGTCAAACAGCACACCAAGAGTTGATTCTTTTGTAATCTGCTATACAGCGCTCTCCAGTGGATAATTTTAAGATTACAATGTTGGAATACCAAATGGAATAATACACAGTTAACAATGCTTAGCCAACACAGATCATAGAATGTGTAAGACTCTTATTCTCACATATATCCTAAAATATCGCTACATACATTGGATTCATTCTGACTAGATGGTGCTGATATGAAATATAAAAGGCATTTCAGTCAGGTATAGCAGGCAAAGCACATGAATGTGCATAATAATATGAACAATGGCTCCATGTTCCTGTAAGGCATCAAAGTGGGGGGATCACAGAGTTCATTAACAAATCTAAAAACAGAAAAAAAAGAAGAAACTTAATTAAACAACTTGGTCTTAAAGTATCTTTTCAAAGATGTGTCTGTTTAGGATCTAAAATAGATCAGAACAATCACGAACACGTTTCCCTACTGTGAAATCTGCCACTGAAAAAAGAGCTATTGCATGTTTAAATTTAAAGAAAGAATGAAAAACCTAAACATGCTCTCCCACTTTAACATTGTTTTCAGGATGCATTGGTAACCTTTTCTAGCTGAATAAAAGTTAGGAGTCTTACATTTTCTTGAGTCCGTAAAACTGCTTTCTTCATCACTTTAAGTGCACAAACATCTCCTGTAGCCTTTTCTCTGACGACTTGGACTTCAGCAAAGCGACCACGACCCACCACTGCTCGAAGCTCAAAGTCATCAGGCAGTGGCTGCAGGGCCCGCAACTCAGAAACCACTTCTGAAACTGTTTCACACACAAACGGGTTTTCAAATGTAAGTATCTAAACATAACAGGCAGGCAACAACATCTTAGGCTGGAGACTGTTAACTGTACACACTAGCGTAAGAGACATTTAATAAAGTCAGTCTAGCTTGTATTAAATATAAATGGGAAAATATTACATTCCATTTTCCATATTAGCTAAAGTATCTTAATCTTCAAATAGGACAAAATAAATGACTATGGCAATATCTTAAAAGCTTTACAAAACATGTTAACTGAGACTTCCAGACTATTCAAATGAACTGGCCTCAATAGCAACAAAGAACTCTTCCACGTGGGTCAAAGTAAAGCTTACATTTATTGACAAACTTTGCAACATGGTGAATCTTTAAAAGTTCTGGGGAGTTGCACTCTTGGTATAACAGCAGCAGAGCGTCCACAAACTCCTCCCGTCCTAAAGTTCGTCCTTCCTGCTGCCCACACAAGCTCACCCTTCCCTGGGGACAAAAACAGGAAAGGGAAGTCAGCTACTGACTGCTGTTACCACAGATACTCTGTAGCCGTTTGAATTCGAGTAGGTTTTTCATGCCACAGTATGAGAGATTGTAAAAGATGATGGCTTTACCTGAAACACCTGGTTGAGTCGCAAACTGCGACTGGTGATGGGCTCCGCAGAAGAAAGCGTTTTAAGGCTTCCTTGGCTCACGTATTTGAATTTCAGCATGGCTTTCTTCACATAAGTAACCTAACCGAGCTAAATATAATAAGGTATAGTTCAAATGCTGCGTTATAACGTGTTTCTTTAAAACACAGACCAGTCATCAAATGTCAACAGTCCTTTCCTTTAGCGTGTCCGTAAATAACGGTGGCTGCAGTTCGTAACGTTCCTAACACACGAGAACGCGACACGCCGTTACTGTATTTCATTCACATGTCAAAAAGCTAACTGGCCTGGGGTGACAATACTCACCGGACTGCCATGTGGGCATAAATAATGCTGTTTTTACGGAGGCACACAGACGAGCCAAAGAGCACACTGTTGTCCTCTCTACCGCCGCTATTTCCGGGTCAACTTTCAAATTTTGCGCGTTTCCCGCCCACCTCACGAGCCTGTTGAATGACAGAAGCGTTTGATTGGATGTTTCGATTTTTACATGGGCGGGTCGCCATGTTAGCTTTAACCAATGGCTGATTGCCTAGAACAGAGAGAAACGCGTCCTCTGGGTAAAGCACGAGAACCAAGAGCCAATTCCAACTCTGTCCCTGTATTTTAATTGTACTGCTTTGTTATTCAAACACATTTAATTCTTGTTATTTATTAAAACATAATCATTGGCACTTTAGTTATTTATGAAAACTGTATCAATTTTATAGGTCCAGTTTCAGGTGTTTCATCCAAACACCGTATCACAATCAAGCAAATACCTCTCTATATAGGCATCTCATAATAACCAATACTTTTACTGCTCTGTCTAGTTGTTTACCACCCTGTAAGACAAGAAATTAATCTCATAGACTGTTTCAAAGCATTTACCCAGTCTTCTTATTCGTGCCTCATGAATTTTGAATACACTTCAATAATTTACACAAACCCAAAATCAGGGCCAAAACCTTTATTTCCAACAGAGATAAATGTGTCATGATTTTCAGTCCCGGTTTTCCAAAACTGCATGGTAAGATAGCCTAAACTAATGAGGGTCGGTTGCCCTCAGCTTTCCCAAATTGCTTTGGGAGGGTTTTAGAGGTGTGCTGTTAAGGTTTGGGTTGGGTTTGGGATTTAGGAGTGGGGTTAGGGTTGGGAGTAGGTTTAGGGTTTGGATTGGGTGGTGTAGGAGTAGGTCCTGGGGCAGGGGCAGGGGCAGGGGCGGGGGCAGGGGCTGGGGCCGGGGCAGGTGCAGGGGAAGGGGCAATAAAGCACCCTCTCTTGTGCCACTGCATGTCCCGCACACGTCGGACGGACTGGATCTGAGGTGCAGTGGCTCCCCAATCATTCCAGTGTTTGAAGTCTCCATGCTCAAACACGTACTGACGCCCTCTGTAACCTGGATACATGTATCCAACCCACCTTGAGAGGAAAGAGAACAAGTACCATTTCACATTTCTGTCACAGCGAACCTTGTTTTCAAGGCACTTCTAGTCCTTTATAAAATATATATCTTATTGCTTCTGGATTTAGTTTGGATTCACAACAGTCTATACAAACATCTACAAGTAAATGTGTGATTGAGAGGGCTGATCTTACGTTCCACTGATAGTCTTAGCACTGGCCACACGATCCTGGAAGCCATAAGCCCACAGACTGGGGACATCATCGTCAACAATCTCCATCTTTCTGCCTTCAAAGCCTGCACTCTCAAAGAAGTGCAGCTTGTGATCTGCACTGTCCTAGAGAGAGAGAGAGAGAAAATCTGTCTATGTATTCATCTGTATTATACAAGATGTTCTATTAAACAATGATCAGTTAGGAATAAAAAGAATAATATAAAATTGTCTTTTATTTTAAATGCAACAATTCTAAAGACTGTGCCATATTGTGTACTAACCACTTTCAGAGGTCTGAAGGAACTCAGACTGTAGCTACTCTGGCTGTTGGTCCAGGTGCTCCAACGAGGATATTCTCCCTTCTCAAGCACAAATTGCTCACCTGCAAAACCTGGGCGCTCAAATCCCACCCAACTGATTGAAAAACGAGAAATGCACGACGTGTAAATGCATGCACGCTAAGCAAAACTAAAAACCAAGAGATTCAAGGGTAACCAAGAGTCACTTACGGTCCCAACTCCACAATGAGCGATCCAACTCGTTGTGTATTCTCCAACACATCTTTGCATTCGCCAGACAGCTCTACCTTTTTTCCACGAAAGTTCTCAAATTCAAATATGGCCAGCTGAAATACAAAACAAGCATTGGACAAAGTGGTCCAAATTCTGCAATGTGTCTGAGTAATGCTTGCAAAGTAAAGAGTAAAGTCCCTCATGTTGAAAGTGGTACCTTATAAGTGGCTCCTGCTCCTCCTTGGCCCTTGTCTGCAGGCAGCTGGTCTGGGGCTCCCTGCTGTTCTGTCATTTTAAATTGTTTGCTATGAAAAAAAAAGATTAGAAAATGCATTGTTTTGCATAATATCAACAATTTATGCTTACACACTTTTTGTCTAGTTTGAAAGAAATCTCATCAATGAATTATATTTTTTAACACACAGAGGCAAATGGGCCTTTAAAAGCTGGTTGTCATTTTCTAACTTCATAAATCTATCAAAAATCCCTTTCCATACCTGTATCACAGTCAAGTACTGCCTGGCTTTTTGTAAGATTCGTTTTCAAAAAGTTTTAGAGTACACATATATTACCACTTTTTTATGTCTAAATCTGTAAGCAGAAAAAGATGGAGAAACTGAAAAAGGTTATTAAAATTTTTCATTTTGATCATTTACCTGGATGGCTTGTGCTTCACTGCACCCCTAACAAGCCACACACTCCGGCTTTTCTGTCTTTTCTTCCCGTTTCTGCCTGTCTGAGTGTGAGGGTGTATGTGGTTGTGGAGGCCTGGCGAGCGGTTGGTGGAAGCCAGAGGGGGTATTTATGGTTTATTTCTGGCCACAGCAGCAAAAAGCCTGTTGATGCAGCAAGTCTGTCGCACCCATTGTGTCCATCACACTGCTTCTCAATAGGCTTGCCCCCTGTCCCTGGCACACTGGCAAGCGCAGCCTGGCTCTGCCCATGCTGCCATCCTGACCATGATCCTATAGTGGCCACAAGCACTGACTGCCAGCCAAGAGAATGAACAGAGATCAGACTCACTCAGCACTATTGGCCCCACCCTGCTATCTTACTCCCCTCTCTCAACTCTTCTACCTCTTTCTTTGCCTTTCACTTCAATCGACATCATGAAAAAAAACTGCCAAATTTTGATTTCTCGTGCTGTAAAAAAAAAAAGTTTAATGACTGGATGTTTATTTGGACATACTAAACAAGGTTCCGTATTATGTCTCCACCAAATAATGCACACACTAAAATTCATAGAAAAAAAAGTTTTAATAAAATTCCCTCAAATTCCATTGAACATACATTATGATTATCATAAATGATTACAGTTTTCAGGCCATAGAGCTCCCAGAATTATAAAAAGGCACATGATCAAATCTCAAGCATACTAATAATTTTTCTCAGTTAAAAAAAAACATATTTCTTGAATCTGTTATTGCCCATTGAAAAAACAATGAGTTTTAAAAAGATATTGGGTCTGTTAATAAAATAAGAGTATTTTTTCAAATCTATTAATGCTGTAACAAATTGAAGAAATTCCCTGAACTCTGTTACTGCACGTAATTCTTAATTTTTCCATTGCTCAGACATACCACGTGGGAGGCAATTTGCTATTTTAACCGTTAAAGTGCTTTTGGCTTTATCTGACTGGATTTGAGAGTGGACAAAAAATGCAAAATTCAAGCTGTACAATGTAATATAAACATGCACACGTTTTACCACTTATTGTCAGTAAACATGGCTGTCTATGACTTTGTGGGCAGTGAGGGGATCTCTGCACTTTGACACTTAAAGCCATTCTGGAAAACGTTTGGAATGCTTTGAAGGTAAGAAAGAGCCGAAAAGTAGATTTGTGTTAGCATTAGGTTTGACTTTGTAGTTGTGATGAATTAGAAGCCAGTAAATACCCCATATTAGTAAGTGTTCTCAATGCTATTCAAAGGAAAACATGCATGTAAAAACCGATTTCCTGCAGAGGCCCTAGAGTCATCACACCCAGTCATTATAAAGAAAAATGGATAGTAAGACAGTGCAGGACTTTGCTCTAATTACACTTAACTATTAAATTTTTTATAAAACATTGGCGTGGCACATCAAAGTCTTGGCAAATAACCTTGGCACCATATCTCATTTACAAGCCATAAAAGTTCTTGTTTGCCTCTGTGTCCAGCAAGAGCCTGAATGGAACTCCAACGTGTTGGAGATAATATCTACAGTAAGGCACTCAAAGTGCAGAGTGAGCAAACGTGTCGACGTTTCTGTCAGCAGCAGCAACTGGGATGGACTGGACCTTGCTGGGGAGTAACGGCATAGTGTCACCTAAAAGGGAAAGGAAGATGCAATAAGTGAATTTTGTTCACTAATATTTCTTTACTCCACACAACTCTACATGCATTCAGTTTTTGCCAGGATGGGAACTTAAATGAACATTTTCTACAGACATACTGTATGTTACAGCTAGAATGCAGCTGTGTGCTGCAGTGCCACAGATCAGCACAACAGCTCAAGCAGAGGAAAGTTCATTTAGGTTCAGCTGGAGCTAGCTGTGGTATAGTCACCCTGGAAGAAGAAAATGTGGTTGAAACTACACTTTATCGTTTTTTTCTTCAGTTTCTCCAATTTGGATCACACTGAAGCAAAATCAATGACAAAGTGACCACTGAATCCCAACTCTGTGAGGGAAAGCTCCAGTATGCGTTTGGCGAGAATGGAGTTAAAAAAGAAAAAAAACAAACAAGAAAAGTAACAAAAATAATTTTCATACTGCAAAAAAAGGACAGAAAAAAACTGATGGAACGATTCTTTGATGTGTGGAAAAAGTAACAATTGTCAGATTTCTATATATGAAACTGACTTAATAGTTTACATGTTCATACAACTAAACACCAACAAACTAAGCTGGACAGAAGGGAAAATGCTCACCTGAGTCTGGCTAAGTTTCCCCTTCATACTGACTCATACGCTTCTTAGACTTTAGCTCTTGCAGCCAAGCAGGTGAGGACACGGCACTGAGGGGCACATGCAATAAACGTGTCAGTAATTCTCTAATACAGGTCTCCTGCTTTTGAGTGACTGATCATCTTGTAAAATGTATCATAACTGTTGGAACAGACCCTCCATTCTTGGCGTCTAGGGGTGGCAGCACGCGCGCAGCCCCTGCAAGAAGAGACCCTGAACGGGGAGATCGCGATAGCTGTGTTGGAGATGGAACTACTTCCTCGTTGTGAGTACCCTTGCCCTCTCCTCTCTTGTCCTCTTCTGTGTCCTCTCCGGCTCCTGGTCCTCCACCACCTGTTCGCCTTTTTATCTGAGCCTTAAAAAGGAATGCAAACGAATAAGTCTCACATTGTACGTTTTTCCACATGGAAAAACATTTTAATTCAACCTATCCTTCAGCACATACAAGTAGTGCTGTGGGGGATAGACCAGGAAACACTGGGACTCTCTGGGAAGAGGACGATGGAGAACAGACAGTCTTTGCTGTGGGTTGCTCCTCCTCAGAATCAGACTCCCTTTGCTTGGAAGATATTTCTTTTCCATCTGAAAATAGCGTAGAGAGATCAGGTGAAAGAGAATCAGGCATCTCCTCACAATCACGTGTCAATATTAGGTGTTAAATTCTATGAAAAAGTCACTGTGCCAAATCAACATTATGATATTAGGGATGCTTCACTAACTTGTGGAGTCATGGATCCTCCAGTCAGGTTTGCCCTTCTGATCCAACCCTGCACGCAGTGAGCGTGATGGACGTGAGCGGCTTCGCCTCTTTCCCAGCGCTGCCTTCGATCTCTGCGCGCTGGTATCAAGCAGAGGAGTGGAATTCTGAGCACAGACACACAAACAGGATCAAGTGAGTAAAATCCCCTGCAAAAGCCAATGGTGGTAGCCAATGAGATGGACATAAACGGAGGGCTTTGACTAGAAGGGATGGTTTAGACACAAATAGTCCCAAACCTCAGGAAGTGGAGGAAAATCTGGCTCTCTGTTAGAATCGCTGGTATCAACTTCTTCAAAAGGGATGTCAGGGACTTGGTCAGGGACTGGTGCTTGACTGAAAAGGACAAAACAACCTCAGTAGCATGTCCTATCTGTTTCATCAAGAAGAACTCGTTTAGGGCTATGTCTTTCACTCTTTTAACCACAAGAGGGCGTGGGTCCTTAACCCCTAAAACCCCTACACAAACTTCACAGCAAACTCCCACCGCTCGTGGTTATGCTGCTACAGAACATAAACAAAAACAAACAGAGCAAAAGAAAACTACCATACTGAGAAACCTGAACTGAACTGAGCCCTTTCCAGACCTGTGAAGTTAAGTCTTTAGTGGCATTAACCTACAGGGCTTCTGTTTCCCAGATATGCTAAGATGGAAAGAACCCATTCCTCAGAGGAAGATGGGCAAACGTTCGGTGTAGGCCACAAAGATGGACACTTAAACCCTCAGTTCTGATTTTCTCCATAAAATTAGACACAGGAAATCAGGCTCCCTAAAAATACAACAGAAAGCTGTACATGAGGAGCTTTATAATGAAAGCAACTCCTACCTGTCAGGCTGAGACTCCGGTTCATAAACTCCGTCCTGTTTGTGGTCTTCATCATCTGCCAAAGCATCATTGTCTTTGTGCTCATCATAAACTTGTGGCTGTGCAACGGACACAAAGATTAATTAGAATACAAAAGAGAAAACATGTGCAGTAGAACCAGCAACAGATCAGTAGATGATTTTAACATTTTTGGAAGCTTACTAATTGATGAATGCATCTTGCACTTATTTACTTTGCGTGGATATGTAACTGTTATTTCTAACTCTTTACTCTCCAGAAAATAATCTTTTTTGGTCTGTTTTTAAGCATGTTTGAGAACTTTGCACAGTGGAGCTGGGAAAAAAGACTCTGCTGAGTACTGAGCCAAGATACTACAGAGGGACAGAAGACTAAGGACCAGCCAAGCATACGTCTTTTAATGAGCTGGTCACACAGACGGGGCTGTCCTCAATAAACACCACCAGCGTGTGCACGCGTGCACATGCACTGCCACACACACACAAGTACGCCAACGCAAAAAGACACACGAAACACGCTCATGGTGTCACGCCCCCATGCTGGAATGCATGGGCCTACACACACACGCAGGAAGCCACACAAACATTCCTCTGAGCTCACCTCACATTTTGTGAAGGGGCACGTCCCACTGAGGTGCTGCCTGATATTGTCACCCGCATCCAAGACAACCCTTGAGTAAACACTGCTGATATCGTCTCCACGGGCCTGTTTATTAGTCAGGACTAACTCAGTGGCTTCATTTGCACAATGCCTGTTATCTGGCAGCATCACAGCATGAATGAATAGGGCCTCTGGTCATTTTCCTATAACCACAAAGTCTGCTCCAGCAGAGACTAAATTTATATTAGGACAGCTCCCCTGCCACGAAATGATCCTGCACCTGTCTGATCCTAATCGAAGGCGTAGCTACAGCAGCTAAATAAGTCACTGATGCTCACTGACTTTATGTCTTTCAACTGTCAAATGATCTTTTTCAAAACACAAGCTAAATCAAAAGATTTTCAGGAAGAAGGCCGCTCACAATGACATGAGAGTTTTATGGTACAACGATTTGAAACCTGTAAGTTTAAAGTGAACCAACGAGTTTTGACAGGGTTTCCACCACAGCTTCCATTTGAAAGCAGATTCACAGCAGGTTTGAAATGAAACTGGCTGTTTGTCACACTCAAATGTCTGTTCTCAGACATCTCTCTGCCAAAGTGAGGCAGGTGACTTTAATTTCCCTGTAAACTGAAACATTTTCACTTTCAACGGGCAAAAATGCAGTGGAGCAAGATTTCAGCAAAAACACAAACAAGAAACTGTCAAACGATACCTGCCGGCTGCAGAGCCGGTGATGATTCCCAGTAAGTCAATTTAGGAATGTCTAATACCTAAACTTTGTTTTTGGGTTAGAGGCATTTTAAGAGGAAGCAGGGTCTCCATGCATTATGCGAAAAGGTGTTCTGTACCTCTCAAATGCTACAAAACATCCCCTGACTCACTCTCCTAGTGATCACATTAGTTTTTCCAAGACAGAAAATTCACCAACACACAAACACAAATTTACATGGGAATGCTGTTAATAAGAAGCACTTCTGACATTAAACTTTCATCGGAAAACACCTGTTAGAGGTTCAGATATTGGTGTGTTCTCCTAAAGCCTGTTATGGGATTCCTAAGATACTTTAGTGGGACGAGAACAAGTGTAGACATAACCACCGTATAAGTTAGAAACTACATCCGTGCGACAGTGCTGCATGTGTGTAAGAGGGGAGGGAGTGGGGGTGGCGTTGTGCAAGTTAAGTCAGAGTCCTTTGCTTTATAGGTTTTACCTGCATCGCATTTTTGTCACGGTCAGTGGAATGTGAAAGGGAGTTTGTTTGCAGTTAAGTGGAAAAAGCGTAACAACCTAAACATGGCCTAGGCGCAGCTGAGAGTGCTCCCGTCTCCTGAACAACACACCACCTCGAACACTGCTTTGGAAAGCCTCTGTAATGAAGATCTTATAATCTCACATAACTGACAACATCATACACGTGTGGCTGATAACATGACAAAAACATAAAAAAAGAGATAGACATAAATCGTAAAAAGAAGATGTTGTGAGCACACACGACCAGCCAGATGAACGCTGTCTCAGTTCGACGTGCTTTGTTTTTGTTGTCCGCTTTATCTCTGACACACACCACAGACAGAAAAGGAAAGTTCAAGAATACACGCTGATAAAACCCTACATTCAGACAACTTGGTCAGATAGCCTTATCCTTCCTCTGCCAGCAGTGTGCCCTGTTTAGATTTGCATGCTTATCTTTAACTAACAGCCAAAGAAGTATTTCTAATACATGGATGCATGGCGGAAAAAGTCCAAGCCCAGGCCTTTTCTGCTCCAGAGCATCATTATCGTGTCAAATATGACTGAAAGACGAAAACAGTCACAATTTTAAGGCCTAAACATAAAATGACTAGTTGTTAGATTCATTATACAAAGCAGACAGTGTACCATGTATTGAGTAACTACATCAGCTCTTACAGAAACGGCTTCCGTGGCTCTCTTCTGGACATTCTTTCGACTTCTGAAAGAGAAGCGACGCAGGGACCTCCTGCTATTTCGGGTGAAGCTACGAAGTGGTGAGATGGCTCTCTGAATACTCCCGTCTGCATCTCCACCTTCTTTTGCTTCTTCTTCTTTCTTCTCATCCTCCTCCTCGTCCTGCCTCTCATCTGACTGGCCCCACACCAGTCCCAGAGCCCCTTGCACGGACCGCCGCACGCCGCCCACCCAGCCTGCCACCTGCAGCTGGACAGCTGAGAGTTTCCCTCCCAAGTACTGCATGGTTCCCAAGCTCAGACTGCAGTCCGTCCTGATGCTACGGTCACCATGGGAACGGGGTCACCAGAGAAACCAAGAGTCAGCTTTGGGGTTAAAGGGCTTTTGTTGGTAAGACGGAAAATTGGGTCCGTGATCCGCCTTTATTTTGTAAGTTAAAGCAAGCAGAGATGAAGGAAGGATTCTCACAACTGAGTCACAAAATATAAACCATCCATCAATGGTCCGTGGGAGCCTCCCTTTTCACAATATATTTCCATGGTGTGGGTCACATAAAACTTCCTGGAAAGGTATCATTTGTTGTCAGAAAGAAGGTTGAGCAGCCATGTGTCATCTCATCCACGTAAAAGGCAATGTCGGAAACCGGCTTCTTTCCTGTAGCTTTGCAACTAGGTTTCAGTTCATATTTGATCATTTACCTCCGTTCATTTGCACCCTCACTCTCTCTCTCCCTTTCTCTCTCTTTCTCGCTAAAGCTTGTCCTTCCACAGTCAAGCCTGTTTGCTTTGTGTGCCAATGTCCCAAAAATTGTGCGTGGGAAAAATCTGCTGCTCCAAACATCCCAACCCAAGCACAGAGTGTTGGACCATCCGTGTATCTCCCGAAGATCTGAGTGATTTCAAAGAAACGTCAAAACAAAGCAGAGGTCTGTGCTTGAATGTGGAAAATCCCGGGGGAAGGTGCGGCAGGCTGGGCAAAGGTGCGTTCTGTACCTCCCTCCCGTGCTCTCTTCCTGTAGGTAAATGAGGAACGGCATAAAGCAGGTCTTTGTGGGATGAGTAGAAGACTTAGGGAGAGAAGCCTGGAAGAGCCCTGACGATTAGGAGAATGGAATGGAAAGCAGACATGTAAACTTTCTCGTCTATGGATAAGCCCACCCTCTTTTGTGGGAATGTGTGCCAGGGTGTGTGTGTGAAATGTTAAGGGGTAGGAGAACGTATTAGGGGTGAAGGGATCGAGGAGAGCCATGTATGGTCATTCTGAAATGCGATCCTGATGGACAGGACCTGACCACCGTGCACCTTCTTACAGTTAGATCCATTTGTCTTGTGGTCGGTAGCCTGAACAATGTTGCACACTTGGCTGCACAAATTGTGTTTGCTCAGCAAACATGCACCTCATTGAGCTCTGACTAACACACAAGCTTCTCTCTGACACATTGCCCTGAGTTTTTTTTTCCTATTTTGCAACAAAACAATGTTCCATTTTATTATTTCCACCCCGTAGTTCAGTGTGAACCTGAATCTGTTACAAAAGGTGTTGTGTATTAAATAAGCTTGCCGTTTTGAAAACTAGGAAGTGCACTTTCTAAAAGCAGCAGCGCCCCTTAGTGGCAAAAAAAATAGAGGCCAACAACAACCAAGGCCTTTACAGCTCCCAAATGAGTATGCACAGGACTGCTGCATGGATACAGGAAAACAATGGCCCAACAGCTCTCAGACCAGATAGCTGTTTCATTAGAGCTACAGAAATACTGCCCGTGCCTTGTCTCTTATGCGAATGAATTGTATATAAATGTATTTGTAATGATCAGATTTTCAATCAACCCTGGTGCAAAATGCAACATCTGTTTAAATTTTTCCCTCATGCCTATCATAAGCTCACCCTGCAAACATGTCAATTACATTTACTGACCATCTGAACCTCAACCTGAGCTATTAGGGCAACTTCTGCACAGGAGAGCTGCAGATCTGCCCAGATCTGTTGGTACAGACATGGTCCGTTGACTATAGCTGCTGCAACTTCAGAAAACAGAATTTCTTTTATCTTATTTTATGGCTTCTGCTTTTAATTAGAATTTCGTCGACACTAGCATCTTGAAACACTCTCTAGCTTCAGGCTAAAGTACTGATTTTGAGACATGACAGAACATTAAATGAGCAGAAAATTATTGACTGACAAAAAGGAGAGGAAAGGAAAGGATAAATGGATTTCCCCTTCCTCCTTTATTCCAGCCCTAAAAACAGCTTGGAAAAGTTAACCATTAAACCTGACCCTCAGTCCCAAAAACCCTCTAAAACATTTTTATCAAAACCCCTTTGAAACCCTCCTTTCATAGACATACAGTGAGTCCAAGAAGTATTTGATCCCTCGCTGATTTTCTTCGTTTGCCCACTAATAAAGATGTGATCATTCTGCACGTTTAATGGTAGATGTATTCAAACATGGAAAGACAGAATATCACAAAGAAAATCCTGAAAAAAAATCTAAGGAATATATATTAATTAATTTGTATTTCATTGAGGGAAATAAGTATTTGATCCCTCAGTATGCATTAGGAGTTCTGTCTTTCACAGAGCAGTTAGACACTCCCAATCAGCTTGTTACCTGAACTGAAGCCACCTGTTCTCACTACTCACTTGTGTGAAAAAAAAACCTGTTCACAGAATCAGACAATCTGACAGATTTCAAGTCTCCAACATGGGTAAGACCAAAGAGCTGTCGCAGGACCTCAGAGTCAGGGTTGTTGACCTCCACAAAGCTGGAATGGGCTACAAAAAGATTGGCAAGGTGTTGGATGTGAAAGTAACAACTATTGGTGCAATTGTTAGAAAATTTAACGAGTATAACATGACCATCAATAGACCTCGGCCTGGTGCTCCAAAAAAGATTTCACCTCTTGGGGTGACAATGCTCCTGAGAACGGCCAGAAATAATCCTGCAACCACTCGTCAGGAGTTGGTAAATGACCTGAAGGCAGCTGGGACCACAGTGTGCAAGGAAACAATTGGCAACACTTTGCGCAACAATGGACTAACATCCTGCAGTGCCCGAAAGGTACCCCTGCTCAAGAAGGCACATGTGGAGGCGCCCCTTAAGTATGCCAATGATCACCTGAAAGATGAACCAAGTTATTGGGAGAAGGATCTGTGGGCAGACGAGACCAAAATTGAACTTTTTGGGCTCAACTCTATCCACCATGTGTGGAGGAAGAAAAATGCTGCCTATGACCCCAAGAACACTGTGCCCACCGTCAAGCATGGAGGTGGAAGCATAATGTTTTGGGAGTGTTTCTCTGCCAAGGGTACAGGGCTACTTCACCGCATCACTGGAAAGATGGATGGAGCCATGTACCGTACAATCCTGAGGGACAACCTCCTCCCCTCTGCCAGGAAGCTGAAAATGGGACGTGGTTGGGTCTTCCAACATGATAACGACCCGAAACACACAGCAAAGGCAACAAAGGATTGGCTCAAGAAACATCACATGAAGGTCATGGAGTGGCCCGGCCAGTCTCCGGACCTCAATCCGATTGAGAATCTATGGAGGGAGCTGAAGGTCAGAGTTGCCAAGCGACAGCCCACCAACCTTCCTGATTTAGAGAGGATCTGCAAAGAAGAGTGGGCGAAAATTCCCCCTGGTGTGTGTGCTAAACTTGTGGTTAACTACAACAAACGTCTCACTGCTGTACTTGCTAACAAAGGCTTTGCCATTAAGTATTGACTGTGTTTGGCTAGAGGGATCAAATACTTATTTCCCTCAATAAAATACAAATTAATTAATATATATTCCTTCGATTTTTTTTCAGGATTTTCTTTGTGATATTCTGTCTCTCCATGTTAGAATACATCTACCATTAAACGTGCAGAATGATCACATCTTTATTAGTGGGCAAACGAAGAAAATCAGCAAGGGATCAAATACTTCTTGGACTCACTGTATCTTATATAATATCTGACTAAAAATGTAAAGGCTGAAAATGTCTTCCAATCTCAAGTTTCTTTATTAGCTCAGAGGATGCTTTCAGCTGACTAATTCCATGTGTGGTTGTCAACCACAACGCTAAGGACATTATAATGAATCAAAGCACACTGTTTAAAGTGGAACTGTCCCAGAGGTGCAAACTGCTGAGTTGGCTCTGCTACACACGCTGAAAACATAACCAGTTACAAGGCAACTATTCAGTAAGTACTAACAATCCAAAAAGACCTTAGAAACAGTGGGTCAGTCATTTTTTTTCTTTTTCAATGCTTTCCTTTAAGCAATCGTTTGAGGAAAAATACAGAGGTAACCTGATGATACAGAAACTATGAAGTCGAAAAGGATCTCACTGCCTTAATGCTTCAGTCAAATGTATTTTTTTCATATTCAAAGCTCTGAGTTCAAACCCAACAAGACACAATAGGAGCCCATTGTTAGCACTTATGCAGTAACACCAATCTCTCAGAAAACAAAATGCAAAATGTATGGTAATGTAAATATTATCTGTAGGCAGCCAAGACCTTTTCTTCTCTCGTCTCCCAAGCACAGATTTTAGCACTACAGGTTTTTTGGCTTCCCCTCTCAACTCTGATGCCAGATTTTTGGTGATGTTTGGCCCACATACGTTTGAGGGCCATAACAAAGGGAAACTGCTAAATCTGAATAGTGTGTGTAGGACCATTACACTTATATCAGAAGCCATCCTCACCTCGTCTTCTGCTTCCATCATATTCTCTGTCTCCCCTCTAATGTAAGTCTGACACAGTGTCATGTCCACATTTATGTCTTTTGTAGGTCAGATGTTACTGTGTTAACTATTCAAAGTGTGAGAAATGTCAGATCCTTAAACTTCCGTAGTTTCGGAGTACAGGCTTTGAAGCTTACCTAGACATCAGTTGTTTTTCTTTAATAAATGTAAACTATTGTTTCGGTGAGAGTAGAATAACCATAACTACCGACACTAAACAAAGCCTCTTCATAACCCTTAATACATCCAGACTCTTATACTAAATAATGATTTAGCTAACTAGATACTAGATACAATTATGTTCTCTCATAACATGACTCTGAAAACAGATACTTGTGTTTCTGTGAGTAATACGGATACAAACACTCATGCACACACACACAACTTGCTAAGCTCAATCCGGCTGAAGCAAGTATAACAAGATATATTTCTTGTGCTACAGGAATGGCAATGTGTTGGTGCAGGTGAGGTATGCATGGCTGCCAGGCCGACATGATTCAGGGGTGAAATAACCGCATCTGCACGTTCACTCCAATCTCTGTGCATAGCCTCGCCCTTTTCTGAGTCAATGGGCAATAACACATTTAATGCAAACATGCTGAAATGTATGTCATCGAAGCTCGGATCAGTTACTGTTTTGGTGTGTTACAAAGTTGCTCTGCACTCAAGTGTTCTTTCTTCTTCAGTTAAGAAAGAAAAAAGGGGTTTGTGCATCTGGAAGCTTTTAAAAGTTAAGGGTGAACAGAATCACTTCTTCATAGGATCCTTACCAAGTGGAAAAGCAACTTCCATTGGGAAGACATATCATTATATACATATATATATACATATATATATGTATATGTATATATATGATATGTCATTACATATATATATATATATATATATATATATATATCATCAAATAATTTCCCTCTGGGATTATTAAAGTATTTCTGATTATCAAGGTTCAACATAAGGATGGGACTTCATGGGAGCAAATATAGTTTGCTCACCACAGGATGCGAAAGCCTCAACAATGAAGAGGAATGAGCAGAAAAAAACAACACATCTCTCAAATTGGGATTCTGGATCGACAGAAGAATTAGAAGAGCCCGTAATGCGAAACATATGACACCCTTTGAGGCAACGTGCCCGAGACACAAACATTTGGGTGGCTAAAGTCTTATGGGATATGATCTCTTGTTAGATTCAGCAAAATGCTACAGAGTTAAAAGAACTCTTCTGGGACCACATGGACACAGAACATTTTGTGAGTTTTAGATGGTAAAGCGGATCTGATCTGCTTATTTTCAAGCTGCAGTCTAGTTTCACTCAAACAGAAACTAAAGCCAGAATGTCACACACTAACACAGTGTCAGGACAGCTGTAGTGAGGAGTTGTGATGAGCGTCAAAGGAGGAAACCCGTCCTTTTGATACTTCAAGTAGTCATTATCCATAAAAAGACTAACCAACGTAAATGAACGTTTCATTTTGTTTATGTAAATTTATCCAATTACAACTGAGCCCCTGTTTTAAATATCAAAGTACCCTATAATTCCTAAATCCTGCCTCTAAATTGGATGGAAATCCCTCAGAATGAAGGCTGACAGGCGTAATCACACCAGTGTAAGCTGCACGTGCCTTCACAAACAGCCCATTAACCTGCACTTATCTCATTCGAGCATTTCATTTTACCTTCCCTGTGTCCTCCTCTTCAACCTCAGCTGCCATCGTCTCCACTTCATCTTCCTCTGTTTTCTCTTCTTCCTCATTGTTTCTCTCCTCCTCCTGCTCCCCTTCTTCTTCCTCTTCTGCTTCCACCTCAGAGATAGGCAGGTTTCCCTCTGGCTTCTCTTCCTCCTCCTCTTCTACCTTCACTTCATTCTCCACGACCCCACCTATCTTCAGGTCCTCCCAGGGTGGAGGGGACACCCGCTCTTTCTCCACCGGCTTGTGGTCTTCCTGAGAGTCCTGGGGTTCAACATCCAGAGACAGCAGCAACCCCTCGGTATCACCAAGGCCATCGGCCCCGCCATAAGTGATGGGGGTTTTTTCCGCTTTTGCCTTGGAGCCCCTCGTTGGTTTGACAGAGAAGTCGTCATAATCAACATCAATCAGAGACGTTCTGACAGAGAAGTCATCATAAGCAACATCGATCAGACACTCTGTGGGCTCAGAGATGTTTGACGTGGGAGAGCACAATGTCTCTGACTTCTGAGGCAAATCTTCACCGTCAAAATTGATAAGATTTAGCTCGCTGTTATCGGACACGCTATCCTCCTTAATGAGTGAATCAAGCTCTTTTCTTTCTCCCTCTTCTTCTATTCCTTGCTTTTTTCTGAGTACAGATGCCCGCTGTCTTTCTAATTCCCCTCGCATATTTCTCTCCAGCTCCTCTCTTTCTTTCTCCATCTGTCTCTTTCTTTCCTCCTCTCTTTGTTCTTCTATTTCTCTTATTCTCTCCAACTCTTCCGCCTTTTCCTGCTGGACTTTCATTTCAAGCTCAGTTCTTTTTCTCTCCTCTTCTTCCTGTCTCTGTCTTTTCCTCCGCATCTCCTCCTCTGCCAGTCTCTTCTGTCTCTCTCTTTCATCAGCCTCCTTTGTTAATCTTTCTTTCTCCCTCTCCTCTTGTCGAAGTCTCTCCTCCATCTGCCTTTCCTCCTCTCTTTTCTCCTCCTCGAGTCTCTGCCTCAGCAGCTCCAACTCCACTTGTTCCCTCTCTACCTCCTCTCCTTTGAACCCGTCCCGCTCCTCCTGCCTTTCTTTCTCTTTACTCATCTCTTCCTCTCCCAAATTTATCTCCAGATCATGCTTCTTATTGTCTTGAATCTGTCTCTCCTCTTCTTCTCTTTGCCTCTGTTTTTCTAATTCTTCCTTCAGTGCTTCTGCGTTCCTCTCTTCCTCTCTGAGTCTCTCCTTTTCCCTCTCCTCCTGTTCTTGTCTTAGTCTCTCTTCTTCCTGCTCTTTCCTCTTTCTTTCCTCTTCCAACTG